CGTCAACCAATTCAGGAACAATCTCATTGAAGCTGGCGGACAAGAACGATACCTCGCCCGCATCAAGCTGATCGACTATACATCGTCGAGCGCAAGAGGGTGGAAACTTCAGGTTGCCGTCATTGCCCTCATTGCCTCAATGAGACGCCGACGAAGTTGGCAGTATGTCTAGGTTGCTGGACAGAGCTTGAGAGCTGTGGAATTCGACCATACAGACTACAAGCTCCTGAAGACGATGAAGATGAAGCCACAAAGAGAGAGCTTGACGAGGAGGTTCGCCGACAAGAAGAATCGTTGTTCAAGAATACGGTCCACCAAGCACAGGAAAACGTACCTGAATCCAACGATTATACGGCTTCAATCCTGACGAGGTCGACTACAACGAAGGCGATGACGAGGAAATGGCTCAGGAGGAAGAGACTCAGCAGGAAGACGACGAGATCGTTGAAGAGGAAGACGATGATGACATGAACGTCGAACCCGAGAATGAGCCTTCATCCAACCTGCCAGCATGGACCAAGAATCTTGCGCGTGGAAGCAAGGGTTTGCCAGGAGACGGACTTGTCAACAATGATGTCTCTGAGGCCGCGGCTCACTTGTATGACAATGCCGTGATGTCAAAGATCATCGCAATGTTCAGACTCTACTACAATCAGAGAGTCACTCTGACCCCAGAGGAATACTATGCGTTGATGACAGCCACCAAGCGAGTTCGACTGGACCTGGACGACTTCTGCCCTTACACAGGCGAAGATCAGGATGGCAAACTCAAGCGGCCGACTGAGCAGGAATTGGACGAACTCTTTCAGGAGAAAGGGAAGAAGAACTCATGGTCAGAGGGAGAAAAGATGTACTCTGGGCGGCCGAGAAACATGATGATGCCTGTCATCAAAACTTTAGAGGTTTACGAAAAGATGATGGAGTTTCTCGTATGTGCCGGGTACACTCCCGAGTCCTTAGGTTTCCTCATGCCAATGACGAAGATGCAAGGTGATGCAAAGGAGAAGCAAGAGATGAGGGTGACCATTAGCAACTTTCTCCGACGATTGATGAAGGGAACTTTTCCCGAATATGAATCATACACCTTCTTTCGTTCCGGGAGCCACGGCTTCCCCAACTGCATTGAACTCCCAGCTTTCTCGGTATATCTGAGTCTGAGAGAAAGGAACAAAGGGTGGAACTACTCTTTGCTGCCCAACAATGCGGTATTCCATTACCTCGCAACTTCATCAGCAAGATGGCTTATGCCATTCAACTCGCTGAGGCCGAGGCGATGAGGGGAAAGTCCGAAATGAAAATGAAGATGGCTCCGAATCTGGGGGACGAAGTGGTAAGTGAGGTATTCAAAGCAGTCGGGGACAGCGCCGCCGCCAAGCGTGCCACTGCAGACGCAAAAGCCAGATCATCAACACAGCCTTCACAGAAACCTGAAGGTACTGGTTCAGCGTCGTCCTCATCGGCCAGTGCACCAAAGGCTAAGGCTATGCCGAAGTCTTATGGACCATCCAAAGCACCACCTGCGAAACCTCCATCGCCGAAAGCTGCTCCGAAACGCGTGGCAGGTTGGGAGAAATCTCAGAATACACCCCAATGGAAGAAAGTCCGCCGCGAGGAGTAAAACAACCACCTCTGTCCATACAAATGATCACTGGACTATAAGATGTGTATCGTCTTTGCGAACAGATGATCAGGAAAAGACCAATTGAGAGGACTCTGAGCGAGACAGTAGACTAATTCGCTTAGGTCCCAGATTCTCACTATTCCCAATCTGCACGATTTTTTAGCAATGTGCACGTGAATTCACTAGTTAGCGCCAATTGCTATTCTTGGTGGAGCAGTCTACTTCCGTCGTCGACGGAGTGACTTGCGAAGCCGTAATCGTAGAGTAGCTGCAAGCTAGTGATAATTCGCGTTGTACAGCTCGATCTTGCGCTGATGCATTGCATGCCAGAGAGTAGGCAACCCCGGATCCACTACGCTCGTCGGGTGTGGGTGAAGGGGAAGCTGAATGGATTTGCGTGTACAAAGGCGTAATTCGTGCACAACAAAGGACATAATTCAAAGTTCCCACTCTCGTGCCTACGGTGCGAAGTCACCGAAGGCATGGGGGGTGTTAAAGGGAACGAGGTAGTTATGCATGTGTAACATGTATTATCTACAATCTGACAATTACCGCCATACATTGGCTCAAGCGTATGGAGAAAAGGCTGCATCGCGTGACTCTGCATGGTAATCATCGGCTACCGGTAACAAGGGTACTACCTGATCGAGATAACATCCAGAACAAGGATCAAATTGTTCACAATATATATATAACATTATGATAGATATTATATACATAGCTATTCCCCCGCATGATATAATATCTTAGGGGAGCTTTATTAACATCACTGTGGTGTCACTGGAACATGCATTCTTCACAGCAGGGTATCTTTTGATTTGCTTTCGTTTCTTTCGGTTTCCTTCGGTTTCCTTTGGTTTCCTTTGATGTTTTTTGATTTTCTTTGGTTTGGGGCTCGTTGGATTCTATGTTTTTCCTTTGATTTCCTTTGGTTTCCTTCGGTTTCCTTTCATTTCCTTTTGTTTCCGTTGGTTTCTTTTGATTTCCTCTGATTTTCTTTGGTTTGGGGCTGGGTGGATTCTATGGTTTTCCTTTGGTTTCCTATGTTTTCCTTTGGTTTTGTGTGGTTTCCAAGGGAGAAACAAAGAAAAAAAACATCCAAGGAAAAGACAAACCAATCAAGGAAAGTCTAAGGAGGCTATAAGCTCACAGAATGCATCAATCATGCCTGTTACTAAGACTTTCCTTAAATACTATATTAATATACATCATATATACAATACATATGACCAGTGGATCATGGAGATATCCATCATGATATCCATCCTTCATCGCAGTTGTGAGGAGCAGCACCTCTTTCAACCTGGCTCTTGTGATGCGGTGGTGCTTGCAGCGTCCGCCCGGCCTCATGTTTCCAGGACAATTTCTTCGAAAAGCTCAGATATTTCCCAGAAAATGTTCTTAGAACTTTGAACTTAGAACCACTTAACATCACTTAACTGTAATTATATAGATGTGTCAATGTCTTTTAGAAACCGATTCAAACACCTGGAGAAGATATCTGAATATGATTTGAATGTGAGCAGACAGGGGTGGCATTCCAGGTTTGCGGCCCGACCTGTGGTTGATTTGAGCAACTTGGCTTGGAATGGAGCACTGCCTTGGGGGAATACCCTGGACCCACAGGCGATCCATAGCCCCGATCCATACCCAGGATCCATACATCTCTGAGCTATCTGATCCATACCCATACCCTTGATCCGTACCCAAAAATCCTAAATTGTACTTATACTGGGGCACTTTAGTATATTTTCTCAGTAGGTCCTCTTGTACATAGCTCACTCGTTCCATACGTCCTGATCCCCGCGGAACGATCCTTACTCGGTTTCTTGGAATAAGAAATCGGTTGGAATCCAAACTGTAGACATGATTCATGAATTTCAAAATCATAGTGTCGTGCGCCAAATCCAATCTTGTATATGATCACTATTGAAGTCATTTGAGAAAATGATGATTTATATCATCATTTTCTCTAAGCATTGCCATGGTATCCCCCATTGGGTGCTTCCAATCCATACCATCCACCGCTAGGTCCCGTGGCCTCTTTGGTTCACGCGGCCCGGCCGCGGCCTACCTTGAGCGGCTCGCAGGTGCATGGGCAACCCACCAGGAGAAATACCTATTGGAAAATAACATCATAACTTACATAACCTATGGGTGAATGGCTACATTACAAAAGAAAAATATCATAGGTAGTTCCCAGTAGGGTTACTGTACATAATAATGCCTATTATTTTTTAACAAAACCTATGGAAACATTGGAAACATATTTACATAAGCTATGGGTAACCGGGTGGGAATAGTTACATGGCAAAATGATGATTCACTATAGGGGAAATGGATGAAAATGGATGAACATGGGCTACCCCATGCTACCGGCCACTGGTGAAAATGTCCACTGGAGAGGCATCAGAAGGCGTCTTTCTGCTGGCACATTTTGGCGCGAGCTGCGGACCAGGAGATGGACGGTCAGCTTAAGTGTCAGCTTTCCTGACCCACTCTGAGTATAGTTGATTGAAGGTTCAGGATTGCTGATGGAAGGATTTAACCCATTGCTGAGTATAGTTGATTTAACCCATTAATCCACTTGATTCAACCCATTTGGTTGATGGATTTTTGTTGGATCCAAATTTAGGCTACATAGCCAAACACAAAGGATGATGATCGGATGATGTTGCAAGGATCCATTTTGTGTAGAAGTACCTGCAATCCTAAAATACTCCAGGCTTCTCGTTTTTTCACTGATCCACTGCGGAAGCTGGTTTGGCTCAAAGATGAGGTCCCTGTTTGGATCCATCATGTTTTTGGTCCTATTCCAAAAGATGTGTCCTCTTACTTAAACCATCCAAGTTTGGGGCTCAATCATGTTTGAATCACATATGATTCGTATTTGTTGATCTTTTCTGATTGCTCAACTTGAACCATCCAGTTTTTTGGGGTTCGTGACGCAGGGAATTTGGGTATGATCAATCCATGTTTTCTCAGCTGTTTGGCCCAAGTATTGGGAAACCCTGGTCTTGGACTCTTGTGGAGTTCCCGGTCCAGGGACGGCGACGTTTGGGCCTCTGAAAACCAGGACTTTTCTGGATGTGAATAGCCATGAAACGCTGATGAAACCAGTCGAAAGTTGAATCATGTTGAGAAGATTGGACGGACATTTGGCGCCCAAATATCATGTGCAGTAGTACAAGCCCCTTTCCCATCCTTTTTCAGTTTGAACCAATTAAACATGTTGGCTGCTAATTGTGCTCATTTTTGATTTTTGTTTGTTTCTTGAAATCTTTCCTTTTGGCTGCCTCAAACCTGTCCACCTCATTTTTTTCGGGTGAACTCGCAATCGCGGGCCACAGGTCGCAGCCAGAGTCGCGAGCTGGGAACCATGCCGACCCTTGAGCTGGACCCAGCACCTTGGATCATGGATGAAAACCAACGAATAGTGAAATTTAGCAGGGCTAGAGTTGAGAAGAAACCTCTATAGAAATCTCTATGATTGTGATTGATAGTGGTGATTTGGGTGGATTTGGGTGGTTTCACATACTCGAAATGAAACACCCTGGCCAAACAGTGGATGGGAGGCTTGATTTGGATGTCCTATGTATTGCTGTTCCTTCAGTGAAGGCCACTTGTGAGGTTCAACACAATCAACACACACCATGTTTCAGTTGCCCACAGGAAGCTTAGAGAAGTACAGTCTGGTGTTGTAATTCAATATGGAGACGATCCCTGAAATCAGTGTGTATATACATATATAATCATATATATATGTATAGATATATATTATACATGTGTATAAGTTAAGTGACCTCTTTCGTGAGTTATGAAACCAACAACCAGTGCTATGGCAGCCAGACTTTTCTATAAAGTGGATTCAACAAAAAGACCTCAGAGAGTCAGAGACCATCGTTTAACCAAGGTGCACATGACTGCGAAACTGCCAACACCTTTCCAAGCAGATGATCTTTTGCAGGGCCAAGGCGCCAAGGCTTTGCCATCAGCAGATGCGGTTTTGACCACTGACCTGTCCTGCGACTTAAACGACACTGCCTGGCAGGTGCCACAAATCTACAAGTCCTTCAGGAAGCTATTAATATGTCCCTACAACTAGCACAGGAGACCAGCACCGTGGCTGAAATGGACAATGATGAAATATGATGAAGATTGATGAAGTATAGGATCAACATTTCAGGATATTTCAGGTGCTTCAATTTCAGGCCTGCCAGCATAGCTTTCCCATGCTTTCCCATGCTTTCCCATGCTGTGAGGTCCCTCAGGTCTGGAAGTGCAGTTGCATTCCAACAAAGTCACCATTCTGTCGCAACCTGCCAGTCAGCCAGGCCCACCGGGTCACCCTCCGGTGACATGGCTCCATGTCAAACATGGCTCCATGGAACTCCCCAGTTGAACTCAGTTGAGATGTTCAAACATGATGTCAGTGATGTCAGTGATGTCAGTTGAGATGTCGGAAAGGGATAGAAAGGGAACATCATCGAATCATCGATCGATTCCAAAGGGTATGTTTGGTGCCGGAGAGGCTTTCACTAAGTCATGTATTGGAATACAAACTGACTGATCCGGACATATCCGGGCATGTTTCTTCTTGGAAGTCAAGATGTCACCAAAGGCTTCAGCTTGAGCATCACGCTTGACAGGTGGCGATCCCTTGTTTGAACTGCCGCTGTTGCTTTCACATGTTTGCAGCTTGGCTACAACTGTCGTCTAGTCAGCTGCTGTGACCGTCTTGCCTGGTAGGCTCGGTTAGGCTGCGGCTGAGTGGCTGAACAATTGAGATCAGATGGAGGCTACAAGGCCAATATCATAATACCACTCTTTGACGCACCCTATTCGCCACAAACGATTCTCCAATCTTCTCCTTAAGGAATGGTCCATGGTTTCCGTCACGTGCAACTCATTTGGATTGCTGTCACTAGGCATTTCTCGGGCGCCGTCTCCAAGGTGCCAGTCAAGACAGACTTGCAATAGCACCAAGCACCATGGCCACCATGGGAAAGCTGGTGGATGTGACGCGGATGCACTGATCCAAGCACCAAATCCTGGCGTGCCCATATGGTGGGGAGATGATTTCCAATGGTTGGAGCTCATCATGGGTTATAAGAATTTATAAGATATAATCTATATTAATAGTATCTACAAGATATATCATCTAAGAAAAGATCCCAACACACACACACACACGGATATATACTGTATATATGTATATATATTGCAATAAGTGATGTCGGAGTGGAGTTTATGTAACGTAGCAACGTAACTATGTTGAACCTGGCTCCTTAGCCATTGGCTTAAGCAACTGTGTGACCCCCTGGCGGGCCCGATGTGGCTCGCTGGGGGTGTTGATCGGGCAAAGTGGTTTGCCCACCGTTTCGTTACCGGGCAGCTCGTGGAGGGGGCTGCCCGTGATGACAGTGGGAAAGCTCAGGGCACGGTGCTCGTGGAGGTCTTGGGAGGCATATCCACGAGTACCACCGGGCACTGGTTTGAAGGCCGCTATGTAGTGGCATCTGACCCGCACCTGCGGTGGTGGATGGATCAAGGCGACGGCCGTTCCTTGGCGGCGAAGTGTCGCTATCATTGCTGCGAGGTGCCTTCAGTGGATTGCCCTGAGCTGAAACGCGGCCGAAGCTTCCACTTCGAGAAGTTCCGGGTGATCAATCAGAAGGAGTTGGATGCCAAAGTCCCCGCGTGGGCGTTCGGTCGGTCATGTGCCAAGCTCATGAAGGCGTACTTGGCCAACCGCACCGAGGAGTTGCCTCCCCCTGGGGGTGACGGGCAAGGCCCTCGTGACGAACTACCTTGGCGTGAGGCCGGTGATGGAGAATCTTCTGACTCATCGGATGCAAGTGGTTCTGACCGTGGCGACTTGAAGGCCAAGCTCCAGGCAGCCCGTGACAAGGTGAAGGCGTTGGAGAAGCGCTATGCCCGGGGGGACAAGAAGGAGAAAAAGGCCAAGGACGGCAAGGAAAAGAAGAAGCACAAGAAGAGGCGTGGGAGCCGCCGTGAGGAGAGAAGTCGCTCATCTCGCCGACGGCGCAAGAAGAAGGGCGAGCAGTCACCCCGCCGTTCAAGGCGGGTGGAAGGTCCAGAAAAGGACAAGAAACCTAAGGAACGAGGAGCTGACAAGGAAAAGAAAAGGCGATCTAGCCCCACCTCCCCCGAGGGGAGTGAAGATGAACGACAGCCTCGACTTTTCGGAGGTGATGGAAGTGATGAGTCAGATCCAGGTCATTCTGCCCGAGGGCGGCCAGACCGTGGACCTTTCGGCGGTGGTGATGTGGTTCGCTATGGGGAAGGCTCTGACAGTGACTCGGAGTCTTTTCGGGACGCCCCCGCAGGCCAAAAGGCAGGGAATCAAGTCCACTTGATTCAGTATGCAAAGAAGAAGCCGGGCAGACTTGCCTCGCGTCTCCTCTTGAAGATGCGGAGAGAAGGAGCCCAAGGGTCTGTGGGGGCGAGCCGGAGAAGAGACGGACTGACTCCACCGTCGGCGGTTCATTACCTGGTGACAGTGATGGGCCCCCGCCTAGGAACAAAGCTGAACATGCGGAGCCAGCGCGAGCTGCGCACCTTGTGGGCCGTGCTGGACATGATGGCCCAGCATCGTCACGCCCAAGCGGCGGACTTGGTGGGGCAACGAATAAAGGCCTTGGAGAAGGCCACGGCGGACGGCCATTGGGCCTCAGCTCAACACCTCGAGCTACTCAGTCCCGAGATGGGAGGTCTCCTGGAGAGGGACGAGGAGATCTACACGTCCCGAGAGCATCTGCTAGATCTGAAGCTGCAGAGCTACGAGGGATGGAAGAAAGGTCCCAAGAGCGATCAAAAGGGCGACCAAGAAAAAGGAGGAAGAAAAGGCAAGGAGAAGGGTCGCGGGAAAGGAAAGGACAAAGACAAGCCGAAAGAGGGAGCAGCGTGACGGCACCAGGCGACCCAATGAGCCTGTGGATGGAGCGGTGGCAACGGTGGCGCTCGGAAGAGCACAGCCCGGCCGAGGTGCTGGAAGGATTATGGCTGCATTTGAGGTCCCTCCCAAGCAAGCTGGCTCACTTCTCACTGGCGTCTGCTGGGGATGGGGTGCCTCCCGGGGCTGGAGCCTCAACTCGCGTGAGGGGTGACGACCTTCTGCCCATCGATCTGAGGGAAGTAGCCACGCACCTGCTGGATGCGGGAAGCACCGTTGCCAACAGCGTCGCCTGCGTTCTGAACTCCCTGAACTACCTGGCTCTGTGTTCTGGTCATGCACCGGTTCCGACCGTGATGCCTGAGAGGACGCTGACCAGCCCGCAGAAAGAGGTGATCGAACATGTGCGTCGAGCTGTAGAGCATCTGGAAGCTACGGGCGAGCGGGTTGCCCCCTTTGAGCGCATGTCTGCAGAGCTGAAGGAGGCCAGGTTTGACTACTCTGGTGAACCGATTCTGATGATGGAGGACTTAGAGGCTGAGCAGGTTATCGCGGCCTGGCCGGCCATTGGCCAAGCGGCGGTTCAGGATGCCACGACATTCTTACCGGATCATATCCGTGAAAAGTTGGAGGACCCTCGGGCTTGCCTTCTACCATTGCATGAGTGGCCCTCACCAACCCCCATTTCCAAAGTGAGGGCCTCGGATGAGGAGTGGCACAAGGTAGTTGCAGCAGCTCACGTGAGGGGCTTGATGGTCCCCCTTGATCCGGAGGATGTCTTCAAGGATGCCTCTGGTGAACCCGTGCTCAATGGGGCAGGCGCGGTGCCCAAGTTTAAGACCATCGGGGGCCAAAAGCAGAAGTGCCAGCGGTTCATCAGCAATCTGATCCCCTCGAATGCATTTCAGACCCGCATTGACGGTGACGACAAGTACCTCCCGTACCTGGGACAATTGACCCTCTTGGAGCAGGAGGCCGATCAAGTTTGGTTGACCGACAGCGAGGACTTCACCTCATCGTTTAACCTGTTCCGTCTGCTGGCGGCGTGGCACAAGCTGATGGGGTTTGGCAAGCTGGTGGATGCGTCAGCTTTTGGGGGTCCTGCCGGTCGGAAGGTATACCCGGCGATGGCCGTGGTCCCTATGGGATGGTTGAGTTCGGTGGCTGTGGTGCAGGCGATCGTGCGGAGCCTAGTCTTTGACCATGCTGCGGTCCCACGGCAGACGGAGGTGACCAAGGTGCAGCCCATCCCCGACTCGGGGGACCTTACAGTCATTTACCTGGACTCATTCGATGAGCTCCGGCGGCTGGAAAAGGGATGCAAAGAGGCTCTGGATGAGAGCATGTCCGACCGGCATGCCCAGTTCCTGAGGGTGTGCCGTGAGAAAGGCCTGCCGTTGAATGAGAGCAAGCGGTTGGTGGCTGCTACCAGAGGGACGCTGCAAGGAGGCTTGCTGGACGGCGATGCCGGCCGGTATGGGCTGTCCCCTGACAAGATGGCAAGCCTCATAGGGCTCGCCAGCTCACTGATTGGGCATCATCAGTGGTCAGAATTCCTTTCGGCGGCCGCTCTTCTCAGTCCTGCAAAGCGTGTTCAGTGAGATCCAGTGCAGGGCTGCCTGCCGTGACATGGCATCCCCAGCAGCCACGGTGGTTGACGAGGTCGTGATGGTCCTGAGCCTGGTCCCCATGATGTTCACCAACCTGAAGGCTGGGCTGGACGAAGAAGTGGCTGTGACGGACGCTTCACCCTCCGGAGGAGGTGCTGCAGTGGCGACGCGATTCAGGCCACCGCCCCTGACTGTTGACAGCAACCCCAGGACCTGCTACGAGTGTGGCAGCGATTGCTCGAGCCGAGCCAGGTACCCTTGCCCAGCGGAATGTGGAGCCATGTTCTGCTCGCTGGCGTGCGTGATGGGCCATCGCGACATCGACAGGCCAGCGGCTGGTGAATGCCCGCGCCGCGCCTGGCGCCCGCCCCGCTTTGGTGAGCGGTTTTCGGGAGCAAGGGCGCCTCTCAGCCATGCCGCTGCCTTGGAGGGAAGAATTGAAGTTCAACCCCCGTTTGATCTCCACTTCGGCTTGGACATGTTCACAGAACATGGGCGGTCAGAGCTCCAACGCCTCATGGAGGACGAGGACCTGGCTGCAGAGCATTGGGCCCCTGAATGTAAGCTGTTTTCGCGGGCCCGGGGCCGGCCGATCACGTTGGAGGACGGCAGGACCATCCAAGGTCCTCAGCCAGTGCGTGACGGTCGCCACCTCATGGGCTTCCCGTGGCTTTCCCACGACACCCGTGCACGGGTGAGGCAATCCAACAACATGGTCCTCAAGGCGCTGAAGCGAGGCCGTGGCGTCAACAGGCCCAACAGGTACTGGACGGTGGAGCACCCGTACCGCTCATGGATGTGGGACTTCACTCTGGTCAAGGAGATGGAGCGCGAGCCGGACTTCAGCCACTCCGTTGGGTCCTCCTGCTGCTTTGGTGGGCAAAGAGAGAAATGGTTCTCCTTCTTTGGAGATCTTCCTACGTTGCCGCAGCACCTGGCGGTTGACTGCCCGGGCCACCAGGGCTTGCTCTCCTACCAAGTCACCCAGCGGGCCGACGGCTCCCTGGTGTACCCAACAGAAGAAGAGGCAGAATACCCTTGGGAGCTCTGCACTGAGTACGCCGCGGCCTTGGCAGAGCAGCTCAACCTTGATGGGCGCTTCGAAGCAATGGTCAGCGCCGAGAGGGAGCGCTACTACCTGGAAGAACTTGCACAGTCCACCGGGCGTCTGGCTGCCACACCGGTCAAGGAGGCCGTGGCCGCCGTCCTGGTCAGAGAAGAAGCCCTCATGATCCAGTCTGAGGAACGTGCCCACCTGAAGATGCTGCTGAGATCAGCTACTTACCGAGGAACCGACGTGAGGTTCTTCGTGGAACTGGACACTGATGGGCACCCCACAATGCATGAAGTCCCGTACCTGGCAATGCGATGGGACTGGAAGACCATTTTGGCCTTCCCATGGAAAGAAGACGGTCACATCAATGAATTGGAGCTCAACGCCGTGGCAGTGTACCTCAAACGCAGGTCACGGTCGCAGTTGCGCCACGGGAAACGATACTTTCATGTGCTGGACAGCATGGTCACCCGGGGATACTTGGCTAAAGGCCGCAGCAGTTCCCGGAGGCTCAATCAGGTTCTGAGGAGGTGCACAGCTCTTTCTCATCGCATCAGATGGCTATATGTTCCCCCTGTGGACTATCAGCAGGTGGAACTTCGCGGACAAACCCAGCCGCCTTCATGAGGCGAAGAAATAGCCTGATGTATGCTGGGCTGCATCCTCGAACCCTTAGAGCCTATCGTTTAGCACTGGATCGTTTCCTGAAATATGTGAACAAGCACCGTCTGCCACTACGAAATGCCAGGTCGTTGGACAAACAATTAGCTGAATTCATAGATTTATCGTATCAAGAAGGAGAGCCCATCTCCTACGCAGGACACCTTATGTCCGCCATCAAACGGTTTCACCCGCAGTTGCGGTTGTCTTTACCCAGGTCGAGCCAGCTTTTTCGCAACTGGCAACGCTGCTATGTCCCCTCCAGGGCGTTGCCAGCGTCTTGGGACCTGGTGGAAGGCCTGATGGGCCTTGCGTTTCACGATGGCCAGCCGACCTTTGCACTGTTGTTGGCTTTAGGCTTTAACTGCCTTCTTCGTACCAGCGAGATGCTGTCCCTCACCCACAGACATGTGGTGTTCCACCCACGCCGAACTGGTCTTAGCGTGGTGATTCCTGGCAGCAAAACCTCACAGGGCAATCCGCAGGTGCTCTTGGTCACGGACCCTCAACTGGTGCGGCTCGCTAAGACCATCGTCCAACCTACTTCAGACGCACTGCTTTGGACCGCAGGAGCCCACCAATTTCGGAGGACGTTCGATGGATTCCTGGTGCGACTGCAGTTTTCCTCGGGAACTTATACCCCCTACTGCTTGCGTAGGGGTGGTGCCACCTGGTACTTCCAGTCGTCACTTTCTTTGGATGCAACGGTTTCCCGTGGCCGCTGGTCCTGCAGCAAAACCGCCCGTCAATACATTGACGAAGGGACAGCCCAACTGGCCCATGCCTCTTGGACGCCTTCACAACGGCATACAGCGCGCGCCTGGAGTCGCATGGAGTCGCTTCCTGCTGAACTACGCCAGGAGGGCAGAATCGGAAGTACGTGAGGCTTCCTTTTTCTGAAAGGTGGACAACTGAGGCTCTTGAGCCATAAAGGCCCTGGTCTCTTGAGACTGCAAGGGCGGCCCAAGCACCAGCCACCTGTGCTGTGAAAGGGTCATGACTCTTCTTGGGCTAGCTGCGTAGGTGGCGTAGTTAGCCAGGCTGTACAGTGGTAGAGCCTCGACGTAGCAACTGTGAGGCACCCCTGAAAAAGTGAAGGGCGTGCCTGCTAGAGAGCCTTTGGTGAGACATATATATATATATATATATATATATGACGTGATTATGAACTCACATAGCTATGGAGAATGGGCCATTTATTTATTTTACTTCGATGATTTACCTATTCAAGATCGCCCAGGTGTGGGTCCTCCACGTCCATGGGGGCGATTTAGAGATGGAGAAGGCCCACGGTGGAGATATGGAGCGACCTCCATGGGGAAATCGTCGATGAAACATGGGGAAAAAGTGGGAAACATCAGGAGCTTCGAAGTGACTTTCCGAAGCACCTCTGTTTTATCTGTTTTTGTTTGGAAGAAACATGGGGGGTTAAGATAGATTTAGCATGATTCAGCCAACCAAAATGGAGATTGAAACCAATTGAAAATATGTAAAGATGTTTTTTCCCCCAATAAACTGTCACGAGATGTCACGAGTTCACCGGCGGAAATGCCGAGATGCGGCAAAGCTGTTGGTTGGGTTTTCATCAAAACTTGAAAGCAACAAACAGTTGAGTGTTTCCCCAAGTCTTTGGTGCCTTTCCCAAGTCCTTGCATCATATGTCACGGTCAGCTCGCCTGTACCGAAAAGTGTGACACATGCCGCGAGGTCTTGAGAAATCTGTCGAAATGTGGCGCCATTCGCTATGACCTTCAAGCCATGTACGTCCTAGGCGGCTGTACCTCCACAGGGATCTCCCAGCGATTCCACATATGGCAGAGAAATGAAGCAGGCTAAGTCGCCCATTTGGAAATCAATCAGAAATATTCAGAAATCATTGTGGCCCTAAATATGCCAACTTTTTTTTTTCAACCGCCAACATCCTCCACATCAAAGATCTATCAGGCTCCAGGCTATCGGCAGACACTATGTACTCCATCTACCGCGCGCAGCTGCACGGCACAGCGGAAGATCCCTCTGAAACCAATGTGGCGATGAAGGTGGGGGGCCCATTATTGTGCGTTGGGGGCCTGGCTTTGTCATGTCATGTCATGTCCCCCCAAAAATGGGGAAAACTCAGGCAAAAAAAAACCATAGGTTTCACTATGTGTCAATGATTCAATCATATGAACTGATGGTTCCGATGTGAAACGATCATTTTTTTAGGGGTACAGCAGAAATCAAGACCATATGGAGTTGTTTAGGTGTTTGTTCTAACTAATGAGTCATGACAGTTAGATGTTCAACGACTTCTTGTTGAAACTACGGAAATGGGCAGGATGCCATCCAATTGGTTTGAGACAATTGTCCTTCACTGCTGGGAAACTTGGAGGGAAAACTCACATCGACCCGCTAAATCCTGTTTGGAACTTGATTTCCCAGCTGAAAATTTGGGCATCTTCGGCGTTTTTTGGGGGTCCATGTTGGTTTGGAGGATAAGATGAGTAGATGAGTGCATAAGGATGTTGCAAGGGTGGGGTGGGCACGAATGAAAAGAACTGAGTTCATTGATTTTAATGACTCCTGCTGCAGTGCAGCTGGGTGTTGTCCAACAAGATGAAGAAGTGGGACATCTAACCAATGAGATGCAATCAGCCAAGAGTCATCACTTGGAGGATGCAAAAGCATATAGCCAACAGATATCAACAGATGCAATCGGCCAGCTCGGCCTAGATCTCATCGGGCAGGTGGTTCCTCGCACTTCAGCTGCGGGGATGAAGCAGGTGGCGAGAGAAGTGGAACTGCACCATGCTTGCCACAATCATGTCAGCATCAACAAGCTGATCGCCACCTTTCAGGCACCCGGGAGTGGGGACAGGCGGGGACCATTGATGGTAGAGCTTTACCGCTTTGGCCAGTGGTTTGTTTCTGCTTATCCCAGAAACGTTGATTCAAAGTCGGTGACTTGAATCTCAATTGCACATCTATATCCTCGATATCCTATCTATATCCCATTGTTGAAGATGACTAAATATTGACTAAATATTGATAAGATTGACATTTTCATATTCTCTTCATTGCCTGATCTCATCCTGAGGTGGAGGAGGCTCCCCTAGGGCCATGCTGTGCAATGGCCATGCCGTTGCCATCGCAGGATCTCATGGAGTGTGTCACCCGGAAGCGCTGCTAGTGGGCTTTCCCCATAGGTCCATAGGTTCAGTTCTTTTGAGGCTGTTTGAGACCAAAAGAAAAAAACTCCACTATTTGACCAATAATTATGAATTGGTCATCCATCACCAGGCCAAAAAGATGTGAAAGACACTGTTCAATACTGTTCAAACCCGGTGGAAATAAGCTACAAGGCATTTTTCACTGCTATGCAGGGAATTTGTCCAGTTTTGTTGGGTTTGTGTCCAGAGTCTAGATCATATCAGCGCCATCTTTTCTGTTTGCCTGTCCCATGAGTGGGAGGTGATTTCATCGCCGCAAATGAATGAGTCAGCCCAATTGATGTCGTGCAGCCCATGTTCTTCCAGGAATTTTTGGGCCATTTCTTCAATACGCCTTTGCTTGGAAGTGCTAAGTTGGCACATCATTTCATGGGAATGTGATGGAATATGCCAGTCATTTGCCGTTCACAATCCTCTTTTTCAGTGACGTCGTGTTCCTGAGGGGTTTCGACCCAGTCCAAACCTGGTTGATAAACTTGGTGAAACCATCCGTTTTAGTGGTCAGATAGTTTTGACCCATACCCAAAGACCACCAAAAGAAAACATATAACATCATATAACATAATATAACAACCATATTTCAAAACATAGCGGTAAATCATCCTTGTTCGGTGGATACCCCATATCCGTACATATCATATCATATATATATATATATGTATATATATATATATTATTATGTATATATATATATATTATACACATTCTTTAGCAAAGGTCCTGAGCAGCAGCAGCAGTGAGATGATGGCGGCCAATCTGATGAAAGGCCTCCTAGGAGCTTTGCAGCACCTCCATAAGCAGGAAATCATCTACCGCAAGCTGAGCCCCGAGAACATTTTCCTAACAACGGACCGAGGGCCCCGCGTCGGGTGAATGAGGTTGAATAGCTGTGAAAAATGTGGCGAACATACATCGAAGCTGGATGGAAATGATTGCAGCAGTTGATATTCAACTTCTGGGCCGTTTGCTTTTGTTCAAAGGGGGGGACTCCTAAAATCCAATGTTTTAGATTTTCCCCAGCATTTTGTTCGCTTTTTAGCTTTTTTCGTTAACCATATGCATGGTTAACCCTGTAAAAAACCCTCAGATGTTCTGTGGCATCGGTGAATCCCTTGGAGTTCGACAGGATATGAAGCCTTTGCTCTCGGACTTTAGCCTTGCCATGCGACTGAGCGAGTTGAAACGCTGTCCCATCCAGCTGGGTTCTCCGGGCTACACTGCTCCGGAGATTCAGCTGAATATGGAGCCCACCATGCAGAGCGACGTCTTCAGTGCCGGTGCTGTGTGACTAGCCAGCAACTTTTCGCCATAGCCGCTTTTTCGCCACAGATACCAGATCTCAGAGATGAAAAACTAAAAACATCTCATGGGGCCTCCACTGTTGGGAAGTACAGCAAGGGTTCCTTGGATATCCTTAGATGAGGTTGAAAGTAGCTGGGGGATGCTTGCCAAACTTCGGGGATGGCAACATACCCACAACTGGTTGGGATGTGTTAGGATAGGTTGGGATTTTTGTTCAGGAAGCCCATATTTTGTTGAGATATAGTAAGACACCAGGCCGGGGTTCCCGCATGTTTATCTCTTCATAATCCGTTCAACCACGTTGTGGCTTGCAGTCTCTGCGATAAGGCTCTTCTTCATGATTGTGAAGCAGCAGCCTTTTGCAGACTCAGACGTGGCCACGGCAATTAGCAACAACATCACACACAAGATCTCGCTGGAGCATAACGAATTCAAAAATAGTCCCAAGCTGTTCCTCAACTGCACAGAGGGGCCGCAGGTATTTTCTGAGTGAATTGTGAACTCATGAGTTCATAAGAGCTCGGACCTTTAAGATCCTTTAAGTAGAGATGTCAATATTTCACGATTCGTATCTCACTTCAAAGTGAGCGATTCGCTTTCACGATTCGTATCGCACTAAATTGGGCACGTCCTTGGTCATTTTCTGGGTCCACGATTCAATGGACTGATGGAACATGATGGAACCAATTGCCAAAGATCAAACATGCTGAGACTATTTCAGAATTGGTTGAAACCACCTAGAAATCACCCAGCAATGATGCTGATGGCACCTGGAAAGTCCACCATGCGATGATCAGCAGTCCCTTTGGTCCGAGTTTTTTTTCATGTTTTCGCATCCCTTATCCCCTATGTATCCCCTATTTATCCATTCTTTATCCATTATTTATCCCCTATTTATCCCCTATTATATCCATTATTAATGGCCATTATTTAAATCGATTTAATGATCCACCTTCATCCAAGAGATCGCGAGGAAAGACTTGGTGGAGGGACTCATGGAACGCTCGCCGGTGAGTCGACTTGATGCCACTAGCGCTTTGGCCCACGACTTCGTCCAGCAGGTAGGGGCAGGTCGACGTCGTTTGATTCATATTCACATAGAAAATATTGATGTACCCAGGAGGTATATGTTCTATGATGTTATAGTTATATGGATGTTATAGTATGTTATAGTATGTTATAGTTGTTAGTTGTTCTTTTCTTTAGAAAAGATGGTTAAACTATATATGTTAAGCTCCTATTTTAGTACATAAACTGTTTGCAGTGACCCATTGCCGCGGCAGATTTTCAGGCCGTGATTGTGCCCCATGCACCACCTGGTGATCCCAATGCACGCTCGCAGCGCTTGCGACAACGCTTCGTGAAGATGCTTGGCGAACATCGCTGACCGCTCGCAAATCCCAGAGAAATGAAGGTTATAGGCTTTAATTGTCGGACAAACCCATCTAAAAAATGTGAGGTGCCAAAATGAAAACACAAAAAGATATAGAAAAACATGTTTGACTACCTGAGGGTATGAAGGCTTTCACTATGTTTCTTATTGATGATGTGTCACTTGTGCAATGGGGTGATTGTCACGAATTTGGAGAGATCATTGTAATGCACATAATACACCTTGGGCATTGGATTGAGACTCTGGTACTGCCTGGTACCTTAAACAAATTAGATCAATCATAGACAATGCCGCAAGCCCAATAGGAAACCACACCTCTTTGACCGGAAGGCACGGGTATTCAAGACATTTCAAGACCATACCCTGAAAAAATTGAGAACGGTTCAACTTCATGGATTTACCATGGGTTTACCATGGTTTACCATGGGTTTACCATGATTTACAATGGATTTACCATGATTTACCATGGGTTTGCCATGGTCATGGTAGCGGCTTTCCACAGCATTGTGATGCCATTTGAGGATGCTTCCTGGCGAGTCTCCTGCTTCTCGGCCAAGATCACCGGCGCTGGATGATGTTGGGGACATGACCCGAACATTACCTGCTTAATCCCTATTGCAGACATGTCATTACTGACAGAAATTTTCATAAATCGACTTTTTCCAGGTGTAGTCTATCACAACTATTGTGAAGTTGTGTAGCCTAAGTCATACTGAAGGGCTATCAGCACTGCCAGTGTTTCCACCCGTGGATCTTGGGGCCTTAAGATGTCTTAAGGCCGCGGCCGAGGGCGAGGACAACTCTACTCAGGCCGAGCTGCAGGGTCATCATTACACAATATAAATATACGTGCATGCTGCATATATATATATATATACACATTAAAATAAAATATAACATTGTGGATATACTATGTTCTATTCTTTTATATTTTATTATATTATATATTTTCTATATTATATATTATATATACACCACCAAATATCCAGCCCTACTCTTGGTTTACCCGGTAGCCACTGCGCGAATGCAGCAAGATCTCACCGCAGGAGATCTCACCGCCCAAGAGTCTGGATCCCAGAAGATGGTATCATATGATGATATGGATGATATGGAATATCCATGATGATGATATGATGATATGATATATGATGGTATGATATATGATGATGATAAGGAAATATCCATGATGGCGTGAAATGCATGGACATTGCACCACAAGATGGGTGGAAACGAAGCGATTTCTGAAGCGATGTTCTGCAGTTTGCTGGTCGAGCGATGTCAAAAGTCAAAGTGACAAGTTTGGGTTTTGCCGCCCCTTATTTCGAGAAGCACCCGTTCATAGTTGGTTCCATCACCATCCCCTTTGTTGGATGAGCTCCTTATCATTGTACACATTTCTTGGTTTTCCTATGTTTTCCCCCAATTTTCTACGCACATTGCCGGCCCTGTTATCTCCCCCATCCCGGTCAACCTCGGGCGGCGCAGGTGCGGCGTCAGATTGGAAACTGAGCTTTTCGGAGCACGGTCGCCATGAAGCCCTGGTCTATCGCCGTCGCTACCTCTTCAGCAGTGGCACCACCAAGATGCTTGGCGGGAGTCCGTCAATGCTGGGAAAATGATGAAAAAAAAAGACGAAGCAGAAATTTGCGGTGGAGATTTTCTTAGGTATTTGATTATATAGATTATATAAGTGATTGGGATATGTTTAATGCAGTTGAATCATATAGACCGGAATATGAGGTGGTGTATGGACCTAATATAGACATGTATATAGACAGACAAAGCGAAACTATGGATGGGATTTTCCCAAATCCGTAGCAATCTGATTCTATCTCCAGTATTTGATGACTGATCTATTTATTTTAGTTTTTTTTCGTATTTCTATCTTTCTGTTTATCCATCCATCGATGTAATCTCTACCTAGACCGTCCAAGAACCTACCAAAAAATGGTTGGTTACCCTCATGTAGTATTTTTTGCCAATCTTTCTAGGATCAAAAAACATGGCATTTGGAAATCAACCATTTTCCCAGCTAGAAACCTCCGTTTATATCCAGGAGGGTCCTAGGATCAGATCGGCCCACATTTTCTCAATTCCTTCCGTGCCGATCTGAGGAGCTTCCTTCAGATTATTCCCTTTTCCGAGATCAAGGATCTGCAGGAGACCAGTCACACCATCTGGCAAACCTTGGAGATCCTCGGTGTTTGTGGGAGCTGTAAAGAGGAGCCAGATGAGCACTTGGCAGTTGACACTGGTTCGTGATTGATTGCCATGTGTATATTATTATATATATATGTGTGTGTACATACATATATACACACATATATATATATATATATGTATAAATGTATAAATGTATACGCATTGTCAAGATTTATTGGGGGTTCAATGGGTCTACTATGGTCTACTTACATGGTTTATTGGGGCTTGTGAATCCATCCCTTTTATGGGAACCCCACTGTCAATCCACAGGAAAAATTAGGAAACCCCCTGATCTATCCCAGAACAAAAGCGGAGTTCACGCAGAAGTAGCTGGCAGTGGTTGCACTCATCCATTTATCCGTGGAAGTTTTGCAACATGTTCACCCATTCATACTCTTTCAAGTAATGTCTAATCATACCCTGAGGGCTAACCATGGATAATCCATGTTTGTTTCCATTTCAAATAGTGATAGAATACCGCTCAAATTCGTTTACTACGGTGGATGGAAGAAATCCTGCACCACCTTGGATGGCTGAAACCCTATAAATAATGGGATAAACCACCGTTTTCAACTGGTGCAGGATTTCTTCCATCCACAGTATCAGTTACCCTCTGGTAAACTAACATAGCAATTGAACATGGCAATTTATAGTGGATTTTCCCATTAAAAATGGTGATTTTCCATGATTTTCCATTGCTATGTTAGTTCACCAGAGGTTCATTTTTTACCACTGAGGTTAGATGGATGCCTGCAAGTCCCGCTGGACGGCCTAGACGCAACAGCTGAGCCCTACTCTCCGCCACAGCCCAAGATGCGACCGCTTCGTGGTGAAATGCCCAGTTTTTGTTGGTGAAATTTGTGAAATCCTCATGTTTGGTGAAACTCCCGCAACTCAACTGCCAAAGTCACCCTTTGAGTTGAGTTAGCAATCTTTGGCTGAAAACCTGGATATTGCGGTGGAAGCTTCCCCCTCCAAGGGCAATGTTGCCATTGGAACCGGCAAACCTGGCAGCGATGATTGGTCAATCTGCGCTGAAGCAAGGACACCCAGAGCCGTTGCGGCACAGGAACTTCCATGGAACTTCCATGAGATGAGTGACCTACAGAAGTAGAATGTCAGAATGTCTTAAATTTTTAAATGATATTAAAAGTAGGCTCAGGGTCCCACATGGTCCCACCATGTTCCACCCCTTCGGCCTAAAGTTCATCTCGTAATTCATGGTTAAATGACGTCAAACGAAATCAAACGAACATTGGCGGGAAGCCTTATTTCATGTGCAAAACTTGATGAAATGAGCATATACATATACACATATACATATTGCATGACAGTATCTTGATGGTGGTCGGTTTTCTGAAGCCCTCAGTCCCACCAATTTGTTCTGCAGCCTCAGGCCTCCAAACGAGCGAATCACCACAGGGATGCTACGCCACTTGGCTCGAAGGGGAAGTGGCAGAAAACTGCAAATTCTCCAGAACACGGGGTACCCCTAAATCCATTGGTTAATCATAGTGTTTGCATATCTTTCCATTTTCTCTCTAAACATTGGCATTTGCATTTTCTCTGAGACACTCCTCCTCATCATCATCATCATCATAATCATAATCGACTCATTTTTCACAGGGTCCAGCCACTGTACCGAAACCGCGCCGCACCATCTTGCGGCGCAAAGCCATGCGTTTTTCCCCTCTGCAGGCACTCCAGATTTGCCGCCAATGCACCGAGCAAATTCCAATGGCAGTGCCAAAATACTTCGGATCGACAGCACCTCTCTCTCTCCAGCAGCAAGGGGTTTGAAGCCTAGAGAGTCGCAGTCTCCTGCAGTTCAATTGGCTTTGTCCGAGTGAATCGGCCCAATTCCATCCACTCTATGAAATCATCATCTTCTTCACTGTTCTTCAATAAACTGACCATAAATTGTGGGTAAATCCTGGGTAGACCCATCATGACACACCCATCCCAATTCCGACGCACCCAAGGTCAGTACGAAGGAGATGATTCATCGGGGGCCAGGCGTGACGGGTTACTCCACCTTGATCATGTTTGATCTGTTGAATCTATTGTGATGGAATGATTCATTGATCATTGCTTTATTTCTGAAGACTGATGAATATAGAATCACTTGGTGAATGATGAATCAATATGACGATTCAATGACAATTCAACAGTGAAGTAGTGATTCTATGATATTCTATGTGCATTAATTTTCTACCATGACATGTGTTCTGGGATGTTTGATATATATCATATATATCATATATCGGTATATCCATTGCAGAACCATGTCCCGCGTCAGGGGACAACCCACCTGGTGGATGCCATCTCAAGCGCCGAAAAACTCGGGCGAGAAGGCGCTGGTGGTTAGGATGGTGTGGAAAGGTCATGCCCACATATGGATACATATGGTATATAAAATGCGAGTGACTTGGTCTCTGAAAAAATGGAACTTTGTCCCATTTTGTCCCCATGAAATCAGCTACCAGGTACTACCAGGTAGTGTACCTTAAAGCCCTTTGAAACCAGGCCTCAATGGTGTCTTGAAAACCGCACAGGTCTCTAGGGATATGTTTGGCACCTGCGCCTTTTCACAAAGCAACGAAGATGGGCAACGCCGGCGCTTCGTGAAAAAGCTTGGCATGGGCGAGGAGCGAAGTCCAGGGGCCGCAGATGTTTCAAAGATGGCGATACCAGGTGCATATATTTGGAACATTTTGGAACCAGATGCACACACACAGATATATGATATATATATATATAGGTCATTCATCATATATTTTTGTATCTACGTCTCACATGTGCCAAAAGTGCGGTTTTTCGGCCCAATTTGACAGAGAGAAAAACGTTTTCGTGGCAGGAGGAAGAAGATTTTGATGACACCGCCTCGTGGCAATCCTGGAGGTCAGCGTTCGCAGTTGATCCAGTGGATCCAGTGGATAGGGCGACCAACTCATTTTTTTGGGGGAGGAAATACCCTCTGGTAAACTAACATAACTATGGAAAGATCCACCATTTTTCATGGGAAAATCCACTATAAATCACCATTTTCAATAGCTATGTGACAAATTACCAGAGGGTATCTAAGGCTAGGAAGGAGAAAGGGAGTAATTACGGGTTGTGAATCTACGAAAGAACATCAAGCGATTGGAGTATTCGATTCTGATCTACTTGGTGATGATCACCTAGGCTATGAATTCTGTATTGTGCCTACGTTTAGCTTTGACAACGTCCCTCCCTAAAGTGATCATCTGGGATCATAAAGTGAGGTACTGTGCCGCCAAATTTAATTTGGGATGCTATAAATATATATATGCATAATTTATATTACAGTATATAATTAATTTGTACAAGTTTGGCCTCCTCATTTATAAGTGGATCTATGCAAATAACTGGATAAGTCCCATAAATCCCCACCTTGTAGGTTTTGTGGTGGCTCCTAGCGTCCCAGCGTCCCAGCGTCTCCGGCGTCTCCGGCGCAGGTCTGAGGCAATGCTTTCCAGTGCCAGTCGTAACAGCCGTGGCCGCAGTGGAAGCATGGCCAGTTGCAGCTAGGCCCTGCCAGATTGGTTTACATTTTGAACTTACCTTAAAATGTGGCAAACCGCCACAAACCAACCATCATTTTTCACCATCCCCAAGTCGTCACCATATTTTTATGGATGCGAAAAAAAAACGTCCCCCTTTTTCATAGGTTTAGCATAGGGGAAACCCCACATTACAAGATGTGATTCTTGTATACTATCGTGACTCACGAAAAAAACTGGGGACTTTTTAAATTTAATAGTTTAACTACCGACATCTACCGAAAATTCCACAGAAACTGGGTATGTCAAGATATTTTAACTCACCAAAACGCGAAAAACAACTGGGGATTTGAAGATTTGGACATATTTTTTTAACTCAAAGAAATGGGAACTTCACCAGGAAAAAAAACAAACGTTTTTTTTGATGGGATTCCACCAGCCAGAATAGGGAATAAATAATTTTAAAACCAGCAAATTTGGGGCTATAGCGTACCTTATTCCGGGGATTTAAGCGAGAAAAACCATGGATGGACAGCCTAGCATTTGGCCAACGGGCAGAAGCGTGCTCTTATCGGGGCAACAAACAATGACTTGGCCAACTGGAGTGGGATGAAAAATGAGTTGAGCAAACACATTTTGGGAATTCAACAACCAACATGAACCAACATTGAGACTTAACAGACAGGAATGCGAATCTAATCTAGAAAAAATGGAGCTTTGCCCGCACAATTTTAGTTTATTATTGTTGATTAAAGATTATTTCAGCAAGGGATTTTTTTCAGCAGCAAGAGTCTGGATATGTCTGGATGAAACCAACACTGTCTGTGGTGGTTGTTAGCATTGGATGACCATCCCATCTGGTTCATGCCTGGCCGAGGTATCAGTAATGCCAGTGCTGCAGCCATGAGAGAACTTCTACTGGCCCAGAGCAAGCTGGATGCAGAACATACCTAATTCATATGTCAAAAGTATTTTTGGATGATCAAGACCCAGGCTTGTTTAAGTATTTTACTGGTCTCAAGACTAAGGAGAGAGAGAGAGAGAGAACATGTCCTTAATTTTCAGCAGATTATTTTTAGGTGATGGCGAACCTTTGGGGGTTTCACAGCTCAAGATATTGGTAGACAGCCCGGCTGTGAAATGACGTTGAGTCGAACATGATCCCCATATGATCCCCTAATGGAAATGGAACATGGTGGACCAGTAAACGCTCTTTGAAATTGTCTGAGCAGATGAAGAGGCATCACATATTCGGATATCAGATTTATGTAGATTTCATATGTGTTCATTGGTTTTATATGGGGTTTTTCTATCTAATCATTCCTGGTTTGCTTCAAAAATGGCTAGCCCATGGGGTGTTCTCGTCGTGTCCAGGTGAAGATGAAAGTGACCGCGACTTCGACGGCTTTGGCCCTCCGGCGGGCCCCATGCTCTCCCACAGGTGGGACCCTGTGGGATCCACCTTGCCTTAACCCACCGGGGGTGCAACAAAAAACACCTATTTAGGCCATGTTCATCAGTCCTTGGGGATGGTTTTATGATGGTTTTATGATGGTTCTTAATATGGGATGAAACCTGATGTTGAAATTTTCTAAACACCACATTAAACCAATTCACGGACAATAACAACTGTAGCCTCCAGCAACCACCAATCTTAAGAATAGAACATGGAAATGATATGAGACCGTTGCCATTCTGCTTGATCCCCAAACATCCCTACATAAACATCCCCGAGTTCCGGCGATGAGATCGAGGAACATATCATCCCTCAAGCTGTCGAACCCCTTCATGATATTGATCCCAAAAGAAGATAAAAGAAGGAGAGAAGAGACGACAGAAAATACCATGAAAATACCATGGAAGAATTCCCTCCAAAGCTTCGTGTGTGAAAAAGAACCCTGTCTTTTCTTACAGGAACCAACCTGTTATAACCTGTTGAGGGTGCCATCCATTTGAAGGTGGAGGATCCCATTGCAAGACTGAATTGGTTAGCCGGTTAGGTGTCCTCAAGCAGCAATGGTAAATCCGTATCAATGGAGAATTTCAATGGTCTTAGAGTCTTATTATATGAGTTAATTAATGATTTAATCATGGATATGAATGGTAAGAACCCTTCATCAATATTTAAGTCAGCCAGCTTTGATGACACCGGAGGGTACCGTTTCGGTTTACCCTCTGGTAATTTAACATAGCTATTGAAAATCACCATTTTTAATGGGAAAATCCACTATAAATGGTCATTTTCAATAGCTATGTTAGTTTACCAGAGGGTATCTTTACCACCAGCCAGACCAGGGGCAGCGGTATCCGTGGATCTTCCCCTCACTTGACAGTTCCATCGGACCGCTGTGGTGGGTTGGGACTTCACCGGTTGCGATGTAACTTGGAAAGTCCGACTATGAATGAAAGTTGCTTAAAAAAATGTCCGATCTTATCCATTTTATATCATTTTATCCATCTTTTAAGCTGAACATATTTGAATTATTTGAAAATATCATTCTCAATAACCATTACCAGGTGATGTGTCCCTGTTTTTGTGGCCGCAGCCCCCTACCAGGAATCCTCGCGGAGACAGATCTTGTCCCCGACGCAGCCAGTGCCACCAGCACGGGACTGGGGAACTTGCCAATTCAAAAAGGCCTGGCACAGCTTGAGAAACACCATCTTTGGTTGTGAGAATTGTTTTTTTTCCATGACCATGGGCACCCAAAAATCCAGTGGTTTATAATTTTATAATGGTTTACATGTATGACGATGTTCATCATTCAATGGCCGCAACTGGCACCAACCCCAGAATTGAAGGGGAAACCTGCGGGAAATGAAGAGATTTGGTGGCTTAATGGCTGAATGCATGGTCTCCGGTAGTTTTTCTTCAAATCAGTATACCAAGCTTAGTATTGTCATTTGTTGGCTATAATTCCAGTTGTTTTGTTGCTTAAAAAGGATTGAATCTTGATTTTCTCATTTGTTTTCCTTTTCGGACTGAGTCTTTTCTGCCCCAGGAAGTGGGGCCTGGTGGCCGCGGGCGCCAGAAGGCCAGAAGATTTCAGGGACTGTAAGGGTAAGGAGTTTAAATCCTTTGATTTATGAATTTATGTTCCTTCAGCTCATGATGATGACTGATGGAGTTGATCTTCCAGGAGACTTTTTGGTAAGATTAGGATAGATTAAGGATCTTTTTTTAGTTTATTTTTTTTGAACAGCGACCCTGGGTACCATTGGCTGGTAGCTTCTCATGTGATCTCACCAGGTTGGGAGGTAGAACGACCCCACCGTCCGTGGTGATCCGCGTTTTGTCGCCCCTTCCTCCATTTTATATATGGGATGTCATCCTTCCCATTGACGAACCCCATCATTTTAAACACATTCTTCCCTTCGTTCTTCCTTCCCTTGTTTCCTTTTGCTTTCATGCCTTTCTTCCCTTCTTCCTTTATTCTGTCCACTGTTTGTTTTTCTTTTCATCTTCTTTTCTTCCTTTTTTCTTCCCTTTATTCCTTTCTTTCCTTCTTCGAAACCTTGGAAACCTTGGCATTCTTTGGAAATGGTGCTAACTAAGATACAAATTCAGCAGTAGTGGTCACTGGTCCTTTTTGGGATCCAGAAAAACAGCACTGAGAAAAACCACACGTCACCATTTAGTACCAGCACCAATTTTTCATAGGATACCAAATTATTTTAAGGGAAAGTTGTCGCAAGTTAGTAGCATCCTGCTTTAAGCAGTATGCGACTTTCATCATTAGCTACAAACCCCGTTTCCTCAGCCACTTGACGAATCGATGTAGTTTGCGTGGGGTTGTTCACTTCAAAAGGCATAGGGATAATGATTAACGGGTCCTGATATGGGGGCCAAGTTCTCAGAAGGGTTGAATCCCCTAGCAATGAGAAGCCCTTTATGACGAGTCGCTAGGCGTCCATCGTTTTGACACGTTGATGATGATGATGATGATGATGACGATGATGATGACGATGATGAGATCATAGTTGATAATGATAATTGATGATAGTTGATGATTTACATATCAACACCTGGCGTATATATAGTTTGATGCAATGTCAACCTCCGATCATGTTGACACGTTTTATGATCATGCCATGTCTATGACTCTATGTGTTTGATGTTTTGATGAGTCTGTTTGATAGCTGTCAATATTTGATACCTGACACTCATGTTTGACAGACCCACAAGATGCTGTTCGAATTTGCATCCTGCAGATAGTTAATGCGGTAGCATGCTGTAGCATGTCTTGAACGCGCGTCGAGTTGTTGTTGCTGGTATTTTGATACTGCTGGTGCATTGTTAATCATTTTTAAATATTTTTACCCTCTTGTTATTTGACATAGCCATGGAAAATGTCCCATTTATAGATGGTTTACCTATTAAAAATGGTGATTTTCCATGGCTATGTTAAATAACCAGATGGTAAATGAAGTCTTTGAATTGCATTTAGCAATCGTTGATCCACAGGATCTGCGCATCAATCCATATGATAAATGAGTCATATCATATCTATCACAAAAAGTCGGAGAAGGCCATATTTTGTATAACTGTGGTTTCCCCCCCAAAAAAAAACCTTCACTCCAATGAAAACCACCTGAAGTTTTTTCTGTATGGCATATCTTTGATATATCTCCCATTAACCCATGAAATCCCACCAGGTGCGACCCCTTGGTCCCGCGGGGCAGCAGTTGGGCCTGCCAGGGGGAGAGGACTCCTGGGAATTTCTGGGAATCCTGGGAGGTGGATGCTTATTTATTTATACTATTTATTTAGGATTATACACACACACTTATTTATATATATATATATTTATTTATTTATATATTATATTATATGGACTATATAGACCACCCTTGGTTATCCCAAAATGAAATGGCGGGGCTTCTTTAGCCCCTAAAAAACGTTGTTTGTTCATGTTATTTTATAGTATGTTCGGGCCTTAAAAGGTGAGAGCCGCCAATTTCATTTGATGTCGAGAGGTGATAAGAAACACTTTGCTGATTGGTTGGCTCAGATGGACAACAAAATCAAAGCCTCAACATAAAGACAAAAAACAATTCATAAGATCATGTGTAACATGTGTAACATTGAATTCCCAGGGATTGTGCGGAGTCGACACTGCAAATAAAAGGGCAAGACCCAACCCCCACCTCACCCCACCCTGGCCTGAAGCAGGGCCACCTGAATTTCATGTCCCATCAGCCCCCCTTCACCCCATCCACCCACTCTTGGAAGCAACCAAATAGTACCAAATCACCAGGACCACCCAAAGAGTGGGAAAATGCAACAGTAAAATTAGCACCACCAACCCGTTCACCTCTGAATCATGATGCTTTGAGAGTTGGCAACTACCTAGAAAAGCACATAGGAAGACTCCAGCTTATACAAAATAGGGGGGTTGGCTTGGAAGTGCATGTGGCACAACATCTCCCAGGGACTGTGTGGAGTCGACACTGCAAATAAAAGGGCACGAATGCCCGGAACACCTGTCCACGAAGCTTGCCAGTAATTTGCTGTGCAAAGACTTGCAAAGATAGGCCAAGAGAAAAAAAAAACACTGGGTGCATTGTTTGGCTGAGACAGGTGGCTATTCTAGGTACTGTCCTGTTAGATCTCGGGAACTCTCGGGTGATAATAGTACAAAATGCAGGGACCTAACCCCCCTACACGAACACCACCCGAACATGCCCAGAATAAAATGTAGGGACCTGACCCATTATTTTTTTTGTCCTGGCTGAATGCAAGAAGTCTAAGGTCAAACTACCTTTCCAAAATTCAAAAAGGGGCTTGAGCCCCTTGGGCCTTTGAGCTATGCACAGGGGTTGGGACCATTGATATCATTGAATGTTTTGACTAAAAAGGGTATGGCCACCAAAATAATTTAGGGGACCTTACCCGACCTGGTCGGTACAAACGGGGCTAATATAATAATATACATATATATATATATACATAGATATGTGTATATATATATATATTTTAATACATAGGTATGTGCTGATATATGGATATATATATATATGTGTGTGTTTATTTATTGAAATAATATAGACATATATTATATTGTAATGTATGCAGTACTTAATAGTACATATGCTAAGTATGTTTATGTTGTTGTTGTTGTTGATGATGATGATGATGATGTGTGCGGAATATACTGTGGTCTATCGCACATATTATGTAATTATAGATGTATATTTACATGCATACGTCCGCTTATGATTTGCTAGATTATTGATTATTGTTATCTTAATATCACTGTTTTGGAGAACCCATTTGTAGCCACACAGATCTTTTCCACATGATTTTCCTATTTGACGATTTGGACGTTTCATTTTGCGTTGGATGTATACATACATCTGACCTTGATGTTCACCAGGGTCCCACGCTTTTTTGACCCGAACCCTACGTAGGATGACCAAATGCTTTGATATCTTTTGTTTGCCATTTTTGGGTATTGCTGGTATCACCCTTCAATGGTTGATTGCGGGCCCCCCGAAGAGTGACACACCCATTCCATTCCAATCAAAAGTGGCACCGCTCATACTAATCAACAAAGGGTTCATGAAGCTCAAGTCGTATAGTTCTTTACCTTCCTTGGATCTGGAATGTCTTGGTCCCAATGGCTTGCATTCCACTTCGGAGTCCCAAAACCAGGAGGATTTTAATGATGCCTCGTGGCAATCCTTCGCAGACATACCAAGAAGCCTTAGCCAGGCTGGGTTTCGCTCAAGAGTGGGGTGCCATTTTGGTCACACCAAGTTGGCCAATTTGTTTGATATTGCCATATTACCATGTGGGTATTTGACATAGCTATGAAAAAATGCCCGTTTACATGTGATTTACGTAAAAACAAAGATTTTCTATCTATGAGATCGTATTTAGATTTTGCCCTTATGACTGAGCGCATGTTGGTTGATTTTTGGGGTGCAGCCACTGAGCCACTCAGCCACTCTGGTGTGGCTGGAGCAGCCGCTCAGCCACTCTCAAAGTAGAGTGGCTGAGTGGCAAAGTGACTGGACTGTGATGTACCTATAGGTTTGGGGTTAGAGGGGTGGGGCCGGGGTGGGGGTTGTATCTGAGTGGGTGAGTAGCTGAGTGATGGTGCAGCCACTCTCCCAGAGTGGCTGAGTGGCTTGGATTTCTCGTACCGTGCTCCTCATCCACTCTAGATTTTGTTGAGCCAATCATTTTCTTGGATGTTTTGTGCCCGCTATTGTATCGTCAAATGGGCCGACAAATATTAAAGATCCAATCTTAAAAAAAAAAAGACGGGTTTTCTGGGGCAGTATTTCTCCGGAAAAATCTCCAGTTGGTCTTTCCTATGGGGATGGAACATCTGGCTGTACCATGGCCATACAATCTCTCGGAATCAAACATTGGTAACCGAAAATAGCCCGGTTGTAGATGATTTCCTCCTTTGAATGCACATTTATAGTGGATTTCCCAACCTCCGTTATTAACAGGTACTGTAATTAATCAACATTATATAATCTCCATCAATCATTCATTCTCAACCAGTAATTAGTCACCACTGTTGACCATTCATCAACCATTTATTTATACCTATGGTTTCAGCCAATTGAGGTTATCTAAAACCATGCTCTCGAGTCCTCCCCCAAACTCTCCTCCCAAATGAGGCCAGTGTCATGAGCGACATGAGCTTTGCTGTCGGCCCAAGTCCCAGCGGTGACATGATGAAGGACTCTGTCATCTCCATTCTTAGGGGAGTTTCATGGAGTTTCCTCTTTGCAAATTGGAGGAAAAAAGGCAACACATGTTTGATCACCGTTTGATTTTTGCCGTAGGGATATTTTTTTCATCCATGTTTCTCAGCGTTGCTGGTCCCAAAGGAAACAAGTATATATATATATATAACATAATTATATAGTACAATGTTAGGAAACAATCAAATATATGGGCCAGAAGAGCATTTGAACAGCTTACCCTGCTGCCTGGCGAGAACGACACATCCATCCCAGTGGTCGCTCAGTAAAATTCATCTCCTGGAGATGTCAGATGTACAGATGACAGATTTTGGCCACTTGGATTTGTACTGTATATTTTTGTGCATTCCTAGAGGCCATAGCATCTCACTTAGAGGATCATATCATTTGAGACTGTCATTGGTAGAATTATGCCAGAAAGGTACCATAACCAAGGTTGTCACTTGAGGGCTGCAATCCAGGTACTCGTACAGTACGTCATTGCTGATAGATGGTTCGCGATTTTTAGTCAGCCCGTAAACAAATTGCAGATGTTCCCTGTATTTGTTTCCATAAACGCACTCCATACAAACTTTAGATCATTGGCTTCCCATGATATCCCCAACCAATGATACTGATCTCCCACCAATCCCCCGGGGGGTCAACCCATGGCTATGCAGGACCTGCTGCATTCAGACCTATCACCCACTGATGGACCCGCAAGACGACGATCTTCGAGGCGGTGAGAAACCATGAAGTGGTGCCCCAGTCTGTTAGTTCTGTATAAGAAGTATATAGGGTGCGGTGTATGTTATGGTGTCCTTGGACGGAAACGGCCTCGCTTGTGCCCGTGGATTTGTCTCGCTTGTGCCCGGGTAGCCCCTTTCCACTCGAGCTACTGTCCCCTAAAAGTAGACCCCAAATCGTTGTTTTTCAATGTCCCTGTTGCCTGTGTGCATTATGTTGCTGCATGCCCTCATGTCCCTCCCTAATCCTCCCTGGTTCCCAAGTCTCCCCCCATGTCGCCTAAAAGTAGACCCTAAATGTTGTTGCTTTCCACATACAAGGTATGTTCAGGTCAATCTGGGCGCAAATGAGTAGTTTCTATGGGCGCAAGTGAGGCTGGTCCTCCTTGGACTATGGTGATTATATATAGATGATCATAATATATTATAACTATGGTTGGATGATGGTTGGATCGCTTGGTTTCACCAACTTATAACTCGGGGGCACCACGACTTTGCACGTAATTGTATATGTTTTCTTGAAATTTCTTGAAGGGCGTTTTTGATGACTATTCATGGCGACAGGAGGGGCACCAATCAACAACTACAAGATCTCTATCGATTGAATGCTGACGCGTGAGATCGCGTGAGCCATTGCCAGTAGTGCGTGGTTACTTGGCATGGACATGTCCCGAAAAGAGTGGGATGATGTTCTGATAGCTGATAGACATTGATAGACTGATAGCACGATTCTATCCGAAATTTGTGGAGCATGAGGATTTTTGTCCTTCGAAATCAAGGCTCCAAGAGCTCGCATTGATCGCTTTCGCTCGCCAGAAACTGGCAGCTGTAGCTACAGCAGCTTGCATTTTTAAGGACCGAGGTGAGCTAAGGCCTCCAGAAGTAGACTATCCTGGGATAGACTAGATCAGATAGGAGACTCCTAGTGAAGCACATGATTTTCATAGCTTGAACCATTTTGGTTGTTGATTTGAACAACACGTGTGTCCATGCAGCTTCGACTTGGTTGTAATACTTCACTTTTCCGGGTTGAAACAGCCAAGCGGCCACATATGATATGGATTCAAAACTCATTGTTACACTATCATCATTGCCATATCAAGCTATATCAAACTTCTGATTTATCCATTGAACCAATCAACCAGATTTTCTTCCACGGTTCGAAAGATATCAAGACATCTTTGAGGCTGCTCAAGTCCTGTCCACCCCGTATGGGGCAGGGATATGGAGATCTCGGCGTCATTTTGCCAGGGCCAAACTGTTCGGTCACTGCAACTTCCATTGCCCGGTCACAGCAGGATAATAGCAGAAGTGTGTTCCCAGCAGTTTTTTTTTGTTGGACCTTTTGTTTCAAAAAATGCATGCTTTGCCTGATATATCCTGATATAGATTTTCACAAGAATCTACCTAGTGCTGCCTGATCGCTCCAGTTGCTTTGTAAATTCGGCCCGTTGCCCCGTCCAGCTACGTCGCGACGTGGTCAGGACCTGGGCAGGACGTGGGCCGAAGCTGTGCCGATGAGTCTCACACAAGAGTTTGTCGGAGACCAGGCCTTGGCGCCACAGGGATAGCTTCAGCCATTGTGACTTATGGGATTTTAATGGGATTTTAATGGGATGTTAAATGGGATTTTAATGGGAACTCAATTTGAACATCAATTCCACAGTTGTTCCGTTTTTTTCACAGATGTTTAAGTACTTGAAGTAAATGGATGCATTCAAACCAAGGATTATTTTTCAACTGCTGCGATTTTGATACGTATGAAGTGATTCCCAAATTCACCTGACTTCCAACTGTGGAAGTTGAGGGCTGTCCTATCATTTTTTTCCCGGACAGCTTCAAGGGTTTGTGCAGCCAAGGGGCATTTTAAGACTGAAAAGGGGCGTGAACTCGATTGGAGCTGACAAACAGCCAGATATGTTATTATGTTTCTGCTGATCTTCGGGATAGGCGAGCTCAGACCCGAATGATGGATGATGACGGGTATTTGCCATAGTCTTTCTTCAGTGAGAAATCCAATGAGCTCGAATCACCTTCAACCCCGAGGGAATCCAACCAACGGAATGCCCAAAAGGAACTCTGTTTCCACACCACCGGCAAAATTTCGGATCGCAAAAGAAAACTGGAGTTGAACTGATATGAATTCATATCAGTTCATACGTGTCATACGTGTGATCCGACCATAGCACATCCCAGACTTGTCCCCTTGAGCGGCTAGCTGCGGCTAGCTGAGGGTCCTGGGGCATTGGACCCACTCTGAAAGATGTGCGATAGACCCAGCAGCAAAACTATATTGATATGATAAAACCAGACATTTTCGGAATGGTGTCCAACACAGACACACACACATACATACACACATATATATATATATATTTATAGATATGATATACATAGTAGAGTCTTAAATTGATATGAAGTATATATGCACAAATGGTCACTTGAGTCGGTTGAGGACGGTTTATCTATTGGGTTTATCACAGCCGATGCACACTGATGACGGCCTGCGAGGAGCTTTTTTTTTGAGGCCTTGGTGATTGGCTTGTTTGCCATGGAACGCATGCATTCCAAGGGCCTCATCGACGCAAACTTTGACAGTCATCCAGCACTGAAAATATGGAGTGGCGGCAGCATGTTTATATTGATGCTGCGCAGGTTGCAGACAGGTGAAGGATAAGTGCAGTATGAAAGAGATCAGACGGGGCTTGATTTTGATTTGAGGCTTAAGATTTAAGTGTTTGCTGTTTACCCCTTTTGGATTGTTGTGAGACAAGCGTTTGCCTTCCGATCTTCCCTGCGGCCATTCTTGTTCACTAGAGGATATGCATCCATGGCCGCATATATCTCATATATCATGTTATATCCTAATGTTTTCTCATGATACGTATCCCATTCCATTTTTGTCAGTTCTACCCCCTTTAAGAAACCATTTCATGATATGTTAGGGATCTTGAATGGGTGATTGGCTTATAATGGAGCCCTGGAATCATTCCCAATCATTCAGTCCCCCTTGGTTTTCTACGATGAGATTGTTGATGTTTATGTTGATACTATTTGCAACGTTTTTTTTAAATGTTTTTTTTTGGTACTGTATAATTCTGACTTGATCCTGGGAGAACTTTTTTTTTTTGACAATTTATTACCGACCTTTAGGGACTTGCATCTATATATTTGTATGATTTCCCTGGACACAGATGGCCAGTGGGAGCCATGACTCCTATATTTCCGCAGGAGATCATGGATGTCGATCGTTACAAACGGCCTGGCGTGATGTCGCCGGTGAAGCTGCATCGATCCTCGGCCAAGATGGCAGTGGTGACCAGTGGTCTGACGTCTTATGACAGGTCTGATAGGTTCAATGTTTACTCATTGTTTTATCATGCTTCACTATGGTTTACTCATGAGTTGGATGTTTAAGATTTCATACTCTCTCATGCCCACACACACATATATATATATAATTATAGATATACATATGTATATATAAATACATATATTATTAGATATATAACATTTAGGTCGTCATTGTATTTAAGTTGCCACAGACGTAGTTTACTGGTTGGTGAACAGCTTGGTCTTTGCACCTGGCCCCACGTTTTAACCCTTCTCCCAGGTGCGGGAGGCACTTCTGCGGTGCCGATGCTTGGCTCCACATTGGGAATGGTAATCATACCACCTATGAAAATCGTGATGCATGGGGGGATAGTTTATGTTTTTTTACCCAGATTATATCCAACATCATATGACATACGGGAAATTTATAATTTATATTATCTTATATTGATATACGTGTATATTTATATATACACATACATAACTCGTGTATTTTTTTGGAGATACCAATCACATATATATGAGTGTTATCATATGATGTTTATTGATGGTCATCATATAACATCCAACATATATAATTATATATATTATATATATACACATGTCGGCAACTAATGAATGGTGTTAACATCCAACCTTAAATAACTGTTGAAACAGAAATGTTAACCACAATTTATAGAAACATGTTAGCCTTAACTTAGATAAATGGGGATCAATATATGGAAGTATGTGTTAGCCCTTGTGAAGCTACCAAACACCTAGGAACCCAGATGCTAGTTAAGTAAATATGTGCGGACGCTTTAGTATTTAATATTTTGCGATCTTTGTATGTACGAACCAGCTTAAAACAAAATGCAGGGCGGGATTCCAAGATGTCCCATTTTTATCCATTTTTCAGAAACAATATTGACTGATGGATGTCGAACTTCTTCATGGTTTGGCCAACACATCGACCACTGTCACATGCGGACAAGTATAACCGATGCGTCAACATTGTTTGCAGCCTGTTTTTTGTTAATATCTAAGATAGAGTAAATTGGAACAAATCAAGGATGATGTCCCCCCAAGTTCTTGGGAGAACCATCAGTATCTATTCGGCATGGCGTTTGTTGAATGTTGTTTGGCAGGACTTGAGCCGTCCATTGCTGGAAAGGCAAAGCCAACCTGTTTCTGGAACTCCTTCGATAGATTTTTTCATGGTGAGAAGAATCAGAAGAAGTGGTTTTAGCTGCTTGAAAATACAACGAAACATTCGACTCAAGACATAATTTCCACCAGGAGGACCTGCGATTTCTGATGCAGCCAGCTAGTTTCGAGCCGAGGCGGTAACTCCGGAGGCGCAGCTTCTGAATCCGGGACAATTTCCATTCCAGCGATTACTGTCTTTGCAGAATCCTCTCATGTCATAGGGTCCAAAAGTTCCAAAATCACAATGGCTTGCACAGCCTCAAGGCCCTGATGAATGTGAACATGCCCTCGAAACTTAGCGAAATGTGGGAGGCTTTGGGTGGATTTTGAGTCCGATTGGGGGTGCCCAGCTTTGCGAAAACAGGGGCCCTCCAGTTTAACTTGGTAATGGAACGATACCATATGTTCCCAAATAATCTGTTTTTCTACATGTGTTTGTTTTTTGTGATTAAGATTGATTACCCCATATCTTTCCATATTTCCCATTGATTAGCCACATGTTGTCCCTGAATTCAACAGTTTCGCTGATTTCTGCGTCCCTATTTCTCCACCTGCCAGGTGAGGGTCTCAACTGCGAGCGCCGGATGTCAGTGGGCACTGCCGGACCGCAACCATATAGAATGCCAAACCTTAGAACGTCAGACAGACCGCCAGATGGAATGTCAGAGCATATGTCAGATAGAATGCCAGAAAGGCTGCCAGATAGAATGTTGGAAGATACGTTATATAGATAGAATATGATAGAATGTCACTGGGTGTGATCACTCGAAGAAAGTATTTTTTTTTCATATTTTCTATTTTCAATAGATGATCAATTAACACTGCATCTCATAATTGCATGGATAGAATTACGTTCCATATTTTGCATGGATGATTATCACATATTTTCCATAATTTTCCATAGAAAATTATCCTGTATTTTCTGTATTCCTTTAGGTGACTATCCCTATTTCCCCCACCATATTTCCCAATTCCTTCCATAGATGATTACCCGTTCTTTCCCCATATTTTCCATAGATGACTATCCCATATGTTCAATGTGTTCCGTGGATGATTGTACCATATGTTCGAATATTTTCAGATTATCCCCTATTTCCAATATTTTCCATAGATGCTCATCCTATATTTGTCCATATTTTGGATGATTACCCAATCCTTTGCCATGAAAAATAACCAATGGGTATTATGGGTATAGGAGAAAAAAAGGCCTATGGTATATGTATAGTATTCATATGTCTTCACCATCTAATGATTGGGGTACCTAATTTTGATACCCATGTCATATGCCCAGAGCCCCCGGTTTTTCACGTTCTGCAAGGATCGATTGTGATGGGATGATCAATTCAGCATCCGCTCAGAGTGATGCCTCGCAATGGCAGCAGCTGGATTTCATGGCTCCGGTGGAGGGACTCGGAGCGATCAACTGGTATCGAATGTGTTAAACCCTGGCTGCCATACCAAACTTGGGGATGGTTGGAATCCCACCCAAAAAAAGATGGTGATGACTTGGGGATGGTTTTTTCATCGGGTTTCCCACACTATTCCCTTTGAATTGGTAGGCCAGTTGGATCTACGAATTGAGTGTCTGAGTCTCAGCCACATGATAGTAAATCACTAAAAGATAGTGGTAAAGATGGTAATTAGTACGTTGTGGTAAATTACTGTTCTATCTTTTGGAGGCTACTAAACAGCTTGAAAGTGCGGGTTCAAAGCATACCAATAAGGGGTTTGGTTGAGGATGGTCCGAAGTGAAACCTCTCCAGGAGAAAGATCATGGTGGATAGCACGCCCATGTCGAATGAATCCGACTATCAATAATGAACATCTGAGGCTCCAGGGATGTGGCAGTTGAAGTTATTTTTTGACCATTATATCTCTGTATGTGTATATATATATTATATTATATTATATTATATATGTATATGTGTATATTATATTATATATATGTATATGTATATATATTATATGTTTTTTGTTTCCCATGTTTGGAGAGGTCGGAATAAAACATCTTCACAGTTGGTGGTTGGTTCCCTAGATTTTTCCAAGCATTTTTACCATGTTTCATCCATCTGAGGCAGGATTGGTTTGTTTACAAAAACTTCTTCCGCGGCTCCAGCTTAGATGTGGCTGGCACCTTGGCCTTGATTCCGATGGAGCATTCCGGGTACATAGTAGCTTAGGCTTAAGCTTAGCACACGACAGTTGGGTGGACTTTTAAGGAACCTCGTAACATCGGGGTTTCCTAAAATGGGGGTACCCCACTATGGATGGTTTATCAAGGAAAATCCTTTCAAAGTGGATGATTTGGGGATACCACTATTTTAGGAAACCCTCACATGTTCATCATGGTCATGTTGGATTGAACTTCCCACCTCAGCTCGTCAACGACTCTCTTTTGCGCGAGCGAAGGCCCATGTGCACATGTGCACAGACGTCCTGTACCGATTGGCCGATATTGGCCGGTTGATGAAAAATCAGGGGCAACCCCCATGTTCAGGGTCAATTCTGGGTAAGTTTGATGTTTCACTCCAGACTGCCAAGGTGCAGCCTCTGGTGATCGGCAGGGGGTGTGCCTTGGAATCAACCCATAGCCTCGGGTTTGCCAGTTACTGTACCAGTAATTTGACGTAATTTGACATAGTTGTGGAAAATAGTCCATGGACACATGGACTTTTTATAAATTGCATATATTTTGCATATATTTGCCGATTTAACATTGTGGGTGTCCATAGCTATGTCAAATTACCAGAGGGTAAATATAGGTTATTCCTTTGCCGGCAGCTCCACACCGGCCGAGACTGCGATGATGATTCACCAAGGTTTGTGGATGTGGGGGCTTTCCATCCGATCCACCTCTCCAATACCTACTTCTTTGAACGATGTCTTGGCTGGCGTTGCCTGGCGAAACTGGGGTTAACTGGATGATTTATGATTATTTATATTGTGAACCCTGCTGTGGGTGGACAAATCTCATAAGTGACTGGTACTTCACAAATCATTGGCCAACACCATGAAGATTTGAAATCAGCCATCCACGGTGCTGGGATGACCCATTCCAAATTGGGCTCAGACATCACTGGCAGAGGGCAGGAAATGATGCGCTCCGTTGCCAAGGCGGGCTGTGTGTTGAGCCAAATCCTTCGATGCACAAATACTTTGAGGCATACAGGCCCGATGGAAGTGGTGCCGACCATCGGTACCATCGGTAATCGGATAATCCATTGCATTTGCACCCCTGGAACTTCACATGGAACCCCAAAATGGCTAATCATAGCTATTGTTGATGATTGCTCTCCGAACAATGTGCGGGCTACCACCATATTCTTTGCAGGGATAAGCGAATAAGTTATGGTGCCAGAGGTGACGGGATTTGTGTCGGGATCAGAATCCAATATTGGACACATTTGGTTGTTCATAATTGAGGATGATTCATCCAAGTAAATCCAGAAGTTGGTTACTTAATTAGTGTGGGTTGAACAAGCATGAACAAGCTGGAATATACCAGCCAAGATCCGACATTCACTCGCTACATTGCCACGCTGTTGCCATCTGTTGGCAGGCCTTCCTGTGAGCTGGTGAAGAACTGCCACTTGTCAGAACATGCCAACTTTCGATATTCATCAAATTTCAGTCGCCATCATATACCCATCAGATGGCTGGATGCTGGATATAGTATCAGATTTGGGCGACTGTTTGGGACAAAGTTTCCCTCAATCGATTTCCTCTGGACACGGAGGTCCGCTTGATTCAGGCGTTTCCTGGTCCCTAAAGAAACATGATCACAACATTTGTGCAGGCGTGTGGAGCCATCCGCGACGGGTGGTAATGTCCTTCCAGAAAGATCCCATCGAGGACCGGCTGGATGTTGGATCCTTCCGGCTGAGCTCCTTAGTGGTGAGGGATGGTGAGGTTTACCCTCTGGTCATTTGACTGTGAGATACAAAGGTACATCATCAGAATGGATCAGAATGGGCCATTTTCCATATGTTGAATTGCCGTGGTTAGGGCCATTAGTGAGGCATGTGGTATTATTGAAGTGGGGATCGGCTACAGCTAACTAAAGCACCAATGACCGTTTAGATCTGTAAAGCCTCGGAAGAGGCCTACATCCGTGAAGATGAAACTCACGATGGCTCACAAACGGACTCCTCTGGTTCCAGTACCTTTGCGGCACCCAAGAAGTTTTGAAGCTCACTTGGACAAGACACAACGGAAACATATGATGGGGCAATCCTCTTAATTAAACCATAATCAGTACTCAGTCCATAATCCATTTATAATCATTTATATACATCCATTTGCCAGTTTGATCCAAACAACCATAGCTACGAAGTTTTGGTTATCATTGGGTTTACCACGTGCCACATTCTCCCGCAGAACGACCGGTCTTAGGTGGTGCGGTGAAGATCACCGGTGGAGGCTCACGACCTGAGTTTGTGGCGGAGCCTTTGGCTGGAAAGTCTGGTTATTGATATGATACTGTATGATTATATAAAGGAATTATGAAGGGATGTGATGTATTATGGCAATATTACAGGGATATTTTAGTGACCGTGATGATTTTTATTCTTATACTGTGATATCTTATTTTAGGATTTAATGTAAATCTAAGTCTTATTATGGCAATTTGTATGGGATGGATGACCAAAAACCATATACCAACATATACCAGTTTCATGACCATCGCACATATGTAAGGGCTTAGGGCTTAGGGTATCACAAAAATCACTGGTTAGTCATCATCTCCCCGAAGAAAAATCACCATGGGGATAGAGCCCATTTTCAGGCATAGTCGCAATTGGATGAAATGGACATATTGATTGATCATGATTGATCAATCTTGAATTATCAGCAAAAAAAACCAGGTGATTGCCATCGGATCATGAAAGATCCCATCAAGAGGCTGTCCAACACAAAGCCCCATTTCGTGCCCCAACTTACTGTAAAAAGTCGGTTTAAGGAGCCAACTTCAGATGTTCACCATTTATTTCCAACACTTAAGCCAATTAGATGTATATATACAATATATATATATACATAATTATATATATATATATATGTGTGTGTGTGTATCATTATATATTGCATTTTAACCAACTTGACTGACTTGACTTGGCCGTAACAAGGAAGCACCCGGAACAAGTCCGCAGTCCCTGAGGAATGTCGCACCCTGAAGGACATCTTGGCATCTCAGGGCCTGGGTCGACCGAAGCTGGTGGATTTCCTGTCGGTGGATGCGGAGGCAGCAGAGGCCGGCCACGGCAACCCCTGGAAGAGTGGGAGAGTTATTGGATAATCTAAGAATGTAGATGATGATATATAGATTATCCAATAACTCTCCCACTCTTAGATTATCCAATAACCGGATCTGATGATAGATAATGATAGATAATGTGGATCTGTTCGGTTTCTGTGACCTTGAAACTTTGCATCGCCGAGAAAGCCAAGCCAAACAGTATCACAGTTTGCCGGTGACACCGGTGCGCAAAGGCGACAGACATGACGTGCTGCTCTGACCAACTCGCAGCGTACGCTTTTCATGTTAAAATCAGTACTTTACAGGTTGGAAACTTAAGTCGTTCTAAGACTCTAAGACCCTATTTTCCAATTTAATGTTATCCCCCCTAGACTATAAAGTCTATAGATCTATACTGCAACAACCCCCAGTGGGCAACGATACGCAGGTGGAGATTTTCCGTGATTTCCCGTTTGATGAGTTTGACATCCAGGTGATAAATGTGGAAGCCAAATGCTCAGCATGTGAAGACCATTAAGTACTGGAGGTCTTCAGTGTCAGCTTAGATTTTGTCCAGCAATCCGCAGTGGTAGTCGATGGTGCTTTCAAGAAAATTCACCTGTTTTCCCATCCCTTTTCTCCGAGTCGTCGAACGCCTTCAGACCCAGAGATCGACACGGGCGACGTGTTTCTGCCAAGTCACAACTGCCATCCAGCCTTGAGGTTCAAGCTAAGAACTACTATGACTTGGACAACATCATTCTGACTCCCGGCATTTGCCGCGTTAGCCTCCAAACATCTTATTATGGATCTCATGAAATCTCACAAATTTTTGTCAAACAAAAATGGTTGGGACTGGAAGATTGGAAGGTGTTTTTTTCACAAAAACAACGTAAGGGACATGAACCTGTTTGGGTTCTATGCCTTGGATTGGTACACAAATAGGGGTGTGAAATGCGCATTATTGGCGGATAACAGTTACCCTCTGGTAAACTAACATAGCTATTGAAAATGGCCATTTATAGTGGATTTTCCCATTAAAAATGGTGATTTTCCATAGCTATGTTAAATTACCAGAGGGTAAGAGACCCTTTGCCAGACGTGCTAATCCTGAAGAAAGTTGAGGCGGAACTGCGGAACCACCCAGATTTTGATGAAAATCTAAGGGGGCCTCGTTTTCTGGGTACAGGTGCCTTTATTACGGTTTCGGAAATCAAGGCCAGATAAAAAAGGTCCCTTTTGCTCTCCTTTTGGTTGTCCCTTCCTTGTACTCTTAATTAGTATACTTTCGTTCTCTTTTAACATCTTTTAACCTTGTTTCGGGTCACCTTGTTTTGGCCCCCCCTTCGAAGCCATGATGATAGCCCAGCCACATGTGCTGTCGTGGCTGAGGAACGCGGGATATGCCAAGATTGCGGTGCTGGGAGGAGACCATGTCTACGCTTGGGACTGAAACTGATGTCTGGCTCTGCCATAAATGGTTGATGTTACACTCTGGTAATTTAACATAGCTATTGAAAATGGCCATTAATAGTGGATTTTCCCATTAAAAATGGTGATTTTCCATAGCTATGTTAATTTACCAGAGGGTAGTCAATTTTCACACCAGATTGATAGCAGCGTATAGCACTTGAGCACCTGCTCTGTTCACATTGGGGTTGATGAGTTGATTGCCACCAGGGCTCAGGGTGGGTAATTTGCCACCACTCTACTGGACTGGTGGATACTGGTATAGTTACTGGATTGGACATTCTGGATCTTCTCTGCCCCAAGGCTAAACTGGACTTCGCCCTGAAGTTCCCAGCCCGAATGGCGGCCTGGAGTTGCTTGACGCAGCGAGCCATGGAGGGCTCCGATCTTGTGCATTTTTTTGGGGGGATGCAAGTAAGAAAGAAATCAATCGAGAACGGGAGAACATGAATGAACAAAATATGACAAAATTGTGCATCATTTGTATTTGTATTTAAGAACTATTTAAATATTTACTTAAATGTATGCATTGTAATTGTGCGTATGTGTTATCATATATATATAATATCCAACCAGTCGCTGGGACTAATTATAACTGAGAAGAGCAACTGGGGAACCAACAGATAACCAGCGAAACAACCCCTCATACAATTCATCCTGTGAACCTGGTGGTTCGCAAGGGCTTGGCTGAGTGCGGGCTAAGGACAGGCTTTGGCGAAGGATTTCTGGGAACCCTGGCACCACTTCAGCTGGATGTCTTTGGGCGGGAGGATCCGTCCAAATTCAAAGAGCTGAATTAATTACTATAGGTTCCTGTTAGGTTCCTAGATCATATGTTTTTTTTGTTTCAAATTATCATTCCCCAAACTAACATAGACAGCAGATCAGGGGTTGCAAGATGTTGGTAAAGGGCTGTTATCAAAACATCTCCAACAACAAATTGGACCAAACATCACCATCATCACCACATTAGTATCATTATTTCCTGTTACTGTATTGCTAATGTTATACGATTGCTATTGTCATTGTTACTAGAATATTTGCTATAGTTTTACTATTACCATCATCATAAGACGATCAATCATTGCTATTTTTCTATTATTCTTATTATATCTATATAAAGTATTATTACAGTTATTAACTAATTATCATTATGAATTATCATTATTAATTACCGTTATTAATGTCTATTATTACTATATTGTTTTTACTACTATTGTTTATCATTATTGTTGTTTTTTTGCAACATCATCATCCCAGACCAAAGGTCCTCATCCTCCCCTTGGCTTTCACCCTGCTTCGCTGCTCGCTTCACTCAGTCGCACGAAGCTCCAAAGACCGCAGTGGCCTTGAACAGTCGCGCGGGTGGGCCGAGCGCCTGAAAAGAGTGATCCGTGGAGCCAGAGATAAATCGTATAATGATGTGATATGGATCATCCAATATAATTCAATATATTTCAATACAATACGCATATAATATGTATATATATATATTATATATATTATATATATATACAGTGTATATATATATGTTATTATCATTACCATGATATTCCATCATATACCACCATATATTATATATGGAGATGACAAGAAAAGATGTGAGATATGAGTGCGCAAATTAAGATGCATCAATTATATTGTTTGTATATGTTTATTGGTTTTTAATGTAAATGCACCGTAATTATATACACATACGCATACACATTATACATGAATTCTTTGAGGTGATCAGCTGGTACGTGACGTAAGAAGGACCACACATATGGCGCAATTTGGCATGGCGCTGTTTGAAACTGTTCCGGCCCAAAGTGAGCTGAGCGGTAAGTGCATCAAGTCTGATGGAAGACATTCAGCACATTTAGCACCCCACTGGGACGGATGAAACCCTACCTATGGTCAACCAAACCGAGTACCAACAGTAACCCCGGAAACCAATAAAGCGGGAAAATTGCAGCAAAGTCATAGCCCTGGAATTGAAATTTATCCTTCAGCAGAAAAATAAATGCAGGCTATGTGGCTATGTTTTGTGTCTTACATAGCAGATCATAGCAGGATCACAGGACAACTTATGTCATAGCTTGACGCAATTTCTGGGTATATACTTAGCGCTCAGGTGGGTTTCACCAATTTTCGCAGCAATGTCACGCCGGCCCTCCGACCTCTACCAAAACCCTATTGTTTCAGTCTCTTGCCTCATGATGCTGAAGCTTTTTCAATCCTTACCCTTTGGTCAACAAACCTGGCAACGGGAATTTCAATGGGAAAACGATCTACAAAGTGTTGTTTGTGCAGGGGGGCTTGGAATAACTATCAGGTTATCGGAGGGCAACCCGTTGGTTTGTTGTTCTCCTTGTCTTATTGGCCCTTCGACGCGGAACATCAAAAATCCACCTTCAGAAAATCAGGTTTGTCCGGATGATCTGCGAACGCAGCCGGACTGGCTGGAGCAACAAGCCTGGTTTTTGGCAACCTTAGATGCCAAGTTCTCCCAGCAGGCAGACTTGATCAAGGACTTGCTAGACACCTCACTTGCAGGTGGAGGTGGAAGTTTTTGCCATGGGAGTCACTTAGCAATGCACTTGGCACGAATCACTTTGCATTTTTTGATCTTTTTTGGGTGCGTGATTTTAACGCCGCCCAAATAATGTAGACCGATGTTCAGCTCATGCTTCGGTTAACCTTTGTTGGTTATCGTTCCTGGTTGGTGTGGACATATGTGGAAGACGGATTCAATGTGGTTGGATTCAACAACCCAGATGGCGAAATACTGGTGTGTGAATGTGTTTGTGTTGATGAGCTTCAGTTTGCTCTATCTACACCAGAAGTGCTCAAAATCATGGATGCCATATCCCTAGATCCGGAAAAAGATGTCAGCAGAGAATGTTCATCGAAGCAACGTTACCTCAAGTGGGGTTGCAAACTTCTTGGGTATCCCCACACAAATCAAGCCAAATCGGACGCTGATGATATGAGTTGTAATTGGAGGCACCCGATGTTCAGTCAATCCCAAGCCGATGATTTTTCAAGATATGTCAAAGTCAAAATGTTGTTAAAACATCTTAAAGCAAAGCCCAATAATATTTCGCACCAATTGGGGATGATTGATACCATCCACTTTAATCTACTTTTGCTATCTTTTGCTGGAAGAAATGGGATGGTATGGGATGGCAATATGTACACCGCTTTGATTAGTCACCATCCCCACCAGGTCGCTTGGAGCCCCACGGCATTCATGGCTCCGACGCGCCCGGCGACAACGAAGAAGAGCTACCTGTCCTTGTGGCAGCCGACTGTGAGGAGAGTGAGGAGATTGAGGAGGGATTGTTTCAAAACTGGGAGATGTAAATTGATGTAATTGGGTCTGCATAGGGAATGTTATAACTTTATGATGTTTTAACTTATTCTTCTAACAAGTCTATAGAATTGAATTACTGTACATGCGAGTTTGGATTGCGTGATTCTCCTAAAATGTTCAGTGAAAAGGAGGATGTCGGGGAGCTGGAGCAGCCGGAGAACAAAGATGGCTCTTTTGCCACGCTCCGTTTGCGATCCCTGCGAGCCACGCTTCGCGGCTCCAGGGACTCAGACGATAGGACTGCCCGGAAGTCTGACACCATTCGGAAAGCCACACAGGTTTTGGGTGCCAAGGTGGGGATAGATCAAAATATCAAAACCAATTGTGCCATATTTATCGAGATTTTGGGGGATGAAGATCCATAATTATTCATATAAATATCATAAAATCCAACCGCGATTTGGGGGTGAACAGCAGGGGATTCCATATGATTCCATTGGGTTTGTATAGTTTTGACCCCCAGGTGATGAATGAAAAGCTGGCAGATGAACCGCCCTTGAGACAGTTTGTGAAGAAACGGCTCGACACCTTTATGGCGCTCGTGGTCGCTGCCAATATCTCTGTGATGGTGTTGATGACCCAATGGGCCGGGAGGAATTCAGATGTAGCTCTGGGACTGGAGGAAGAGGCATGGCCATTTTTCTCGCAGGAGTTCTTTGATGGATTGGAATATGTATCTGAGTGGTGCCTTCATTCATTTTTTGTATGTCCATCCTATTTGGGATGATGATTCATGATGATCCTCAGTGTCTCTCATATTTTCCAGCTGGTTATCTTCAAACATGGTATGAGGATGCCTAATGATTATAGTATAATTCATATTCTATTATATTCTTATATATTATATTGTATAATACATGTATGTATATATATATATATTTGATATTATTTGATAACGGGATGGATTGAAGCCACCAACCAGGTCTTTTATTCCTTGTACCTGATTGATGTTTTACTGCGAAGCTATGTTCTCCGACGAGAGTGGTGCTATGATCCCGTGGAGGGTGTGCAGTTCATGAATCTCTTTGATGCTACATTGGTTGTCATCAGTACCTTCGAACTCATTTTGCTTCCTGCCATTGTTTCAGGCGCCGGCCGGATCAACCCCAGGGTTGTATGGAGCATGTGTGCATTCAGTGGTGTGTATGTGTGTGTAATATGCGCACTATTATCATTGTGTGATATAGTGTGTCATTATGTGCATATAAGAGTCATAAAGGGAGTTTAATTCGAAAACTTCCGAGCTACGGACCAATGTCCAGGGCAGTTTTGTCATCATGTCATCATTATGCCATCATCATGTCATCATCACATGTCATCAATCATGTCATCATCATGTTAACAAGCGTGTGGGAGCAGCAGGGAAGAAAACACATTTTTGCGCGCGAAAGCCTGTGTTTTGAGTGTTTTTTTTACATTTTTTTAAGTAGACTTTGCATTGTCACAGTGAAACAAAATTCCAAAGCGAAACGAGATGTTATGATACTATCAATATATATATATATATATACATATAATATATATATACACATATATAGCGGCATGCATACCTGGATATTCATGGTTGCAGATTATATATTTCTGCCCGGGGAAGATTTTGGAATGATTTTTGCATTTTTTCCCCATGTGTCCGTTAAAAAAAAACTAATTTACGGTTCCATTTTTCAGCCATGTTGACTCTGCCCGGGTGTTTCCACCCTTTTCCCGGGTCTTTCCACCCTTTTCCCATGATTTTTTCCCCGCGAATTTCCGCTGAGAAAAATCGACACATTTTTAGGTGAAGTAAAGTAAGGTCAGCCCAAAAGCTGCCAAATACAAAATCTACCATATCGCAAAAATAATGATCATTTCCAGGTCCTTTGCAGAAAAAAATGCCCCAAGGGCAGAAATCTTGCAAACCGACAATTATTTGTCCTTTCGAAGATGCAGGTATATACCATGATAGGCCATATGTGCACATGTGTTCAAGCCTTTTTTTACACGAAAAACATATGTTATGCTGGTGTATATCTACACATCAATTTGAAGTTACACTACATCCAGTTTAACACGATTTCCAACCCACCTTTTGTTTCCAACGCCTTTGCCCCAGCCGGCCTTTAAAAAGGTGGCACGTCGGCGCAAGCAAATGCCGTGCGTCTGCTGAAGCTCGTGCGGATCGTGCGCACCCTGCGCATCATCAAGGCCGTCTCGGTGTTCCGCCAGCTGCGGGTCTTAGTGGCAACCTGCCTGGCCAGCATCGGCGCTCTGAAGCCTGGTCAAGTGATGTTTGATGCTATTTTTATTGGAGGATTTTCCAAGGAATTCTCCACCAAAAACAGCAATCTATCACAATAATCCCCGCAAAAAAGTTCAAAAGTCGCCTATCGCAACATAATTTAGCATTATTTTGGTAGGATTTTACTTTTCGATCTTTGTTGGGGTAGCTACACGGGGAATATTCTTTTAAAACCCCACCTGTCAGATGAGGGTTGTTAGATTTTATGTCAGCTGGCCTCCTCCTTATTCTCCTCCACCTCATCCTCCGCCGGACCTCAACTGCAAGCTCGCGATCGTCCCCACCGCTGACAAAGCTATCAAACTGTCTGGCAAACAACCACAACCGAAGGTGATGTGGTTGTCCAGACCTAAAGATATGACGAGTGAATAATATTTCAACACTGCAGTTGCCAAGGCGAGTACTGCCAAACTTCCATTAGCCCTTCGACAAGGGGGTCACAATGATTTAGGCATTGTCGGAGGATCTGACGAAGAAGTTTTTCTCAAACGACAAAGGAATTTTGAACTTTTTGGGTGCCCAAGATATTGGACGCATGATGACGTTGCTGTTTTTTTAGAAAAAACCCAATGGAAATAAGCTGAAATCAAAGCAAAATACAGGCAGGGTCCTCAAGTGATTTGGCTGTTTCGAGCTTTTGCCGCTCCTACGCAAAATAATGACACCAAGGGCTCTTTTTGGCATTTTTCAGACAGTGAAGGAAGATGCAATTTTACTGTGGCTCCTCAAACTCAGGGGAAAATCAAAAACGCGCCTAGTGAATGGTTGCGTGGCCCTAACCGAAACAAGGTTCTTTCTGAACAAATCCGGGCAGATCCTGATCCGCCTTCTGAATCTATAGCGGCAGAAGTGCCGGCCACCGTTCATGATTCCACCCAAGGATCGCAAACCGAAGCCAACCAAGGTGATACCAATGGCCAAGGCAACGCTGGTGGAATCCAAGGTCAAGTTCGAGAACGCTCGCCACGCCGAGAACAGAGGCCAGGCGCGGGTTCATTGGGGGAACAGTCTCTCCCAACGGGAGATCCGAAACAAATCTTCCTGCAAGATTACCCTGGTTGGAAAGATTTGGAAAGCAGTGGATTTCCAAGGATCAGGAGACTGTGGCTTCAGAACTTGTGCCATGGCCATCTCCAGCTTTCAGGGAAAGGAACTAAATGAAGAAGCCCTTGCAAGAGAAGCCAGCAAGTTGCGGGTCATGACTGTGGGTTATCTCATCAAGCAAAAAACAACCCTTGCGGCCAAATGGAAACCTGACCCTGTGGCAACCACTGAACAATGCGCCGGGGAAGATATCCCGGTGGATTTCTCTGATTACTGCATCTTGGCGTCAAAACAAAAATTTTGGTGTGACAGGATGGTACTGTTACTTGACTGTTTGACCAAAAAAATACGAACTGTGTGTGTGTGTAACATCTAAATAGATGTAAAACTTCTCTCTTTCTCTTCCTTCTGCCCTCTCCCTTTTTTAAACCTAGTGCAGGGGGCCAGGAACCCATGACTGTCTGTCCTGGCCAACGAAGACCAGACAGCATGGGGGTGAAAACGTACCTGCGATTTTTTGAACTGTTGAACAAGCTGTCGTATCCATTATTTTGCAATCATTGCGTGTGAATGGCGAGGGGCTAAGCCAAGTACCCCAAACACCATGATTTTATTCCTTCACGGTTGCCACAATCTGTATTTTCTGCATCAGAACCTTCCTCAGTATTTTCGCCGAAACCATGTCGCCGACAGTTTTTTGATTTTCTGGATTATTTCGCCGAAACCAGGTCGCCGATGTATTTGGATTATTTTGTCAAAACCACGTCGCCGATCTATAATTTTTGATGACGATCATGGACATGGAAACCATTCAGGAGAACCTCTATTATTCGTAGGATGCATCGTTAATTTCGTTGTTTCGTATCTAATCTGCATGTTTCAGGATTCAGTTCCTGCCGGATCATATAATGATCGATCCATTCTTGTCCAGTGTGATTTCCATGGTGGCTCCGACATGGTGCCATGGAGCCATTTGAGGCAACCCTTTTTAGGGTGAGTGATGACTGTCCTGACTGCCGAATTTACACATTTTAATTTAGTAATTCATCTAAGTAAATCGCAACAGTTGGCCTTTCCGTTTTGCACCTTTTTGTGAAGTCCCGCGTTTCCGGCTGTCCTTTATGAACCCAGTGGAATGCATCTCTATTGAGTGAAGCCACTCCGAACTGCCACAAACCTCATTTTTATCACTGCAGCTCGCACTTTTGAAGTTCAACATGTCATGTGAGACAACAGGCAACAGGCATGTCCTTTTCCTGCAGGTGTGGTCTCTTTGGTCTTTGGTGAGGTGAAACATATTGTGCATCTAATTCGATGGAACCTGTAAGCCGTTTATGCCCTTGTGGCTGACTGGAACACGGGCCTGTTGTGGCACAATCGCACGAACAGTAGGTCTAGGAACTGGATCCTGTTGTTTAACTAGTTGTTTTGGTTTTCTTGTCTGTCATCAACTAGTCCCCCATTTGGTCCCTAATTTTCCCCGCGTGCCTCTCCGTAATGTGTCGTGGGGTTGAGGTGTGTGCGCTGTTTTGGTCAGGTCCGTTTCGCCGTGTAGGTTGGGTCCGGAGGTCCGTCTGTTCCCCTCCCCCCCTGCGCTGTTTTTGGCCGTCTGCCCGTCGTGTGTCCGCTTTTTTCTTCCTCTTGCCTTTCAGGGTTGACCCGGCTCTGGCCGGGTGTGTGTGTGTGTAACATCTAAATAGATGTAAAACTTCTCTCTTTCTCTTCCTTCTGTCCTCTCCCTTTTTTAAACCTAGTGCAGGGGGCCAGGAACCCATGACTGTCTGTCCTGGCCAACGAAGACCAGACAGCATGGGGGTGAAAACGTACCTGCGATTTTTTGAACTGTTGAACAAGCTGTCGTATCCATTATTTTGCAATCATTGCGTGTGAATGGCGAGGGGCTAAGCCAAGTACCCCAAACACCATGATTTTATTCCTTCACGGTTGCCACAATCTGTATTTTCTGCATCAGAACCTTCCTCAGTATTTTCGCCGAAACCATGTCGCCGACAGTTTTTTGATTTTCTGGATTATTTCGCCGAAACCAGGTCGCCGATGTATTTGGATTATTTTGTCAAAACCACGTCGCCGATCTATAATTTTTGATGACGATCATGGACATGGAAACCATTCAGGAGAACCTCTATTATTCGTAGGATGCATCGTTAATTTCGTTGTTTCGTATCTAATCTGCATGTTTCAGGATTCAGTTCCTGCCGGATCATATAATGATCCATTCTTGTCTAGTGTGTGTGTGTGTGTTGTTTTTGTTTGGAACACTCAAGAGATTTTTTTTGGCAGCGAAATGTGCTTGCTCATACGTTTCAAGGGGATGTTGCGAAGAAAATTGAAGCTGGAATCCCTGTTCTCACAACGATGCTGATTAACAATCATTTCTGGCTTCTCCAGCCACCCGATGCTCAACAGCCTTGCCCGGATGCGTGGTTGTTGAAAACTCCTGAAAGACCAAGGGAACATTTGAGCTCATTTGAAAGGAGCTGGAAAAAGTTGCATCCTTTCTCTTCCGCCCAGTTCTACTAAACGATCTAGCCAAGTCCGTGCTCGATCACAGCTCGGGAACAAGGCAACTCTTAGTTTGCCAGCCTCCTCCAGTCAAGGGCACAAACGCTCTAAGGCTTTGTCACTGCCGGATACTCAGTCCCACATTTCCCGGAAAGATGAGGACCGTTTGGGTGACTGTAGTTTTGCGCCCAGCAGCAGTGGCCTGGGGCCTAGCCGTAGTCAAAGGTCCTTACAGAGTAAGGGCATAGTAGGGCATAGGTCAGGAAAAAACTCACTGATGGGTCTTCTAAGGCAATGAAGGCGAAGACCTCAGCATGCTATCAAAAGTCAGTAAGGTCTTGGAAATGTCCCATTCCCAAATGTGAGTTCCAGACGAATGGTATGATGACTACTACTCAGCTTGCTGAAAGAAAATGCAAGCACTTGACAAGAGCTCATGGCCTCACCGGGGTCAAGCTCAAGGCCATTACCAGAAAAGAAAGAGCCGATCGGAGACTTCAGTTGCAAAAATCTCTTCAATCTCCTGTCCTCACGATTCGTCCGGATTTGCAATTCTCTTTCAAACTTCCTATCTCCCCTGCCTCTGAAGTCCCTCCTGCTCCTGGCTCAAGGGTTTGGTGGAGATGCGATTGTGGTTTTGAAATTCGGAATAGTGATGAAAGAACTCAAACTACCGCCAAATGGCGCCATTTGCAACAGGAACATGGCATTCTCAGAAAGGAAATGCCGGCCAGCGTGAGGTCAGTGCAGCATACAGCCCTTATAAATCCTTATAAGAGAATTGCTGGTTCCAGAAAGGCTTTCGACATACGGTGGCAAGCCCAATGGAAGGCATTTCAAAAGCTCCGATGGCCTGGATCACACGATCTGCCAATGGAAGCCACCTCGTGGCGTCAATATAAAACAAAAGGCTGACGGAACTGTCTACCATACTGGCAAACAATGTGGAATCGAAGTCAGCAGAGGCGCTTGGTGGGAATTTGCTTGCCCAGTTCACAAAAAGAAAACTATCCCAAAAAGGGAAACCAGGAAAGCCAAGTGGCAGAAAAGCGGTGAGAAAGGCAAACAAGCTTTGCAAGATGCCCGAAAGGCTGCTGGCCTCAGACCCACGTGTCGAGGATATAGAGGCCAGAGAGTTGGAGAGGCAAAAAACCTTGGTCCTGATAATTTACAAATTTGGTCACAGAACATGAGATCCTGGAACACCAACAGTATGGCCTTGTTAACAGATGCCAATGACGCGCACATCGATGTGCTTCTTCTTCAGGAAACAAACATCAACCCGATTTCTATTGCTGCCATGATGAATAAAGCTCACAGATATGGTTGGCAAGCTGTTCATGTGCCTCCCACTTCCAAAGCTCGAGGAGGAGTTGCTGTTCTGGTCCGACCTCCCCTGGCAATTGTGGAATTGCAGCGCTTTGAAAGTGAACAAGGGAAGTTCCTTCTTGTGGAATGTCATGGCCTTCAAGAAGCTATACTTCTCGGCTCTCTGTACCGCCACAGCAGTGATGCTCAGTTCCATGTTCCACAAACTCTCTGCCATATTTTGGCTACTCGAGGTGGTGCTCAGTGGGTCGTTGGCATGGATGCTAACGATGACATGGTCAATGGCGCTGTTGCTGGTCAACTGCAACACATTGGAGGCATTTGTCATGGCTTTGCTTGCCACAATACCAGTACTGTCCCAATAGATGCTACCTGGTCCTCTGTCAATACTTCCGGTCTCCATTTTGAAATTGATGGACCTGGCGACCACAGCATTGCGCAAACCAACTTGCACCTTTGCCGTAAGCAACGTGCTCGAAGTCAGCTTAGGTTTTAAACACACCTGTGAGCTCCTTGACAATCCCACCGAAGTGGACTCGGCGCCTACGTGGGCTGATGTTGCTTGCTCTAATCATGAGCGGCAATTTCGCTCAAGCAGCATGTTGATCAGGTTTGGGAATGCTGGATTGACGATGTGGAACTTTGGCTACGCGCGGCTGGGCTGTGTCAACCTCGCCGCCCTGAACGAAAATTGGGCAGTGCTCCTACGGTTCTTCCAGGTCAACACAGGATGGCGGATCAACAAGATGTTTCCGAACGTCAACTCCGAAGACACATTCGTCGTCTCAAAGAAGCCAACTATACTGCCAACAGCGGTGGCGCCCCTGGCCCTAATCTGCTCAAGAAATTTCGGCAACATGATGCTCCTGATGACGAAAAACGTGCTGTTTATCACCACCAGTGGGGTGGGGCTTTGAGGATGGCTTCTGCAAGACTTCAGCGTCATCTCACAACTAAACATGACATGGCCATCCAAAACTGGAAAGAACGGGTGGCGGAAGTCAGCGGCGCTTGCCGTTGGTTTAAACAGGATCATCCTACTCCTTGGATTATCAAGGACTCGAGAGGTGCTATCATTGGTGATCGCGCCCATGTTGTTCAAGAACTCAAAGATTTTTGGCAAGGTATCTTTGGTCAAGATCCTCTTGATCTTTCCGCCTTTTGGAATTTATATGACATGGATCTCCCAGTGGCCCATAGGGCTCCCCAACTGCCCACTATCAACTGCGCTCAAATTTTGACTGGAGCTCGGAAAATGGCAAAAAAGGCAGGTGGCCCAGACGGATTGGGCGGAAAGATGGTTGCCCTCCTTCCGCAAGAAGCACATATTCGGGCGGCTGAAATGTTAAACCTTTTCGAAAGACGAGGCATGTGGCCTCAACAGCTCATCCATTGGAAAGTTGTCTTTTTGCCAAAGAAGCGCTCTGAGGCTGCTGCCTTGTTGGGCGACACTCGTCCAATCTGCATTGGCCCGAGTCTGTACAGACTGTGGGCCTCTCTGAGGCTTGAGCAGCTTAAAAGTTGGTTGGCTTCTTATCTGGACAAATTTCAAGCTGGTGGAGTCGGCGGCCCTGATGTGCCGTCATTGCTCCTCACTTTGAACTTGGATAAACATCCTGAAGCTTTCCTAGTTGGTCTATGTATTGACTATGCGAAAGCCTTTGATTCTTCGGACATTGATTTGATCATCAATATATATACTCAATCGGCTGCAAGCTCCCCATCGCGTCGTCGGACTTCTGGCTGATCAGTGGAGATGACATCGGGGTTGGGTGACTCTTGCTGGCTGTGTTGCTGAAACGCCGCCGCTGGTCAACACTAGAGGACTCCCACAAGGAGATCCGTTTTCCCCAGTGGCACTCGCTCTGTGCCTGCTGCTGCCTCTTCGACAACAGAAACGGCTTCATCCAATGGCTACTACTCTTCTTTATTTAGATGACAGAACGATTGTCGCCCCTGATGCTGCCACGTTGCGTGATGCTGGAAGACAAATGAACAGAAGACCCAGGTGTGGGCTCGCAACATCACTGGGTTTATGGATCTTCGAACCGTTTATTCCAATCCTCAGTTTCAAGTTGAAATCTTAGGAGTCAACTGTTGCCTTCACGGCCGATCGACAAGCGCGGTGGAGATAAAAAGGCAAAAGACCTGCCGACGGTATGCAGATCGCCTTGCTCTGCTCCCCGAATCATACAAATTTGTGAGTACTTTGTGCTCCCTGTTGATTACTCCAACCATGACTTGGGGGGTTTCTTTTGGGGGTCATTTTCCCACTAAACAGCGTGGCCAAGAAGTTCTCAATTTTTTGTGAAAGCGGTCAAAAGGCCGTATCATCAAGAAACGCAGATGAGTAGGGACTTGCAACAAGTTTTTGCTATTTTTTGCTTTTGGCCACACAAGTGACTTTCTTTTGATTGCTGCTCAAAACAGCATGCGAGCACTGTGCAAATGGAAAGCACGAAACTCAGAAGTTGAGGTCTATCAGGATGCTTCATTCATGAAACTGTTGGGACAGGCCATGACTTGTCTCAATTGTCATATCGTAGGGGTCGGTCGGTACACGTTTGCTGGATCGGTTTGGAGCTTAGATACCCCAGTTGCTTGGCGTGACCAGTTGGGTCATAACTTTTGAAGCCATTGGAGGGTTCACAAAGTAGCTGCTTGGCTGCAATCCAAGCGACTTGATGCCAAAGTGGCTAGAGAGCTGCCTTTGGTTGTCACGGCTCCAGTTGGTGAGCGGCTGCATGTTGCTTGTCGTCATTTTAACGGTCATGCGACCAGTGTCATGGCCGGTGGCTTAGTCTCCGAAGCTAAGTGGCAGAGTAAAACAAAATGTCGGTTTGGTCACATGGATTTGTGTCCTAATTCTGACCATTTACTGTGGCATTGTCACACTTTTAGTCATCTTCGCATGATCCGTAAACCTTCATGCCCCCTTACGGCTCGGCTTGGTTAGGGTCCTCGTGGAATAGGAGCATGTTTGCAACAAATGGCCGCAATTCGTGAAGCTGCTAGCACTTTGCGGCTTCGACTTGAACAAACCCCCCCTGGGGAAGGGGAGATGGGGGGGGGCGGGCGGCCAGCATGCGGCGGCTATCGCGTGCTACGGTGCCGTCTCGACTTTGCATGGACCTCAACTGCAAGCTCGCGATCGCACTGTTCCCCGCCGGACCCGAACAGCAAGCCCACGTTCCCCACTGGACCATGCCGGCCCTTAACCGCGAGCTCGTGATCGGAGTGGTTTCCGCCGGACCCGAACAACAACCGCTGGATCAAAGTGCACCGCCGGACCCCCCTGCAAGCTCTAGATCGCAGTGTTCCCCGCCGGACCCGAACAACAAGCTCAGGATCAGAGCTTTCCCGCCGAACCTCCACCGCAAGCTCCAGATCAAAGTTCCCCGCCGGACCTCCACCACAAAGAATCTCCGAAGATTTAGTAGATAGAATGCCAGAAAGAATTTTATAGACATGCCAGAAAGAATATCAGATAGAATGTCAGAATATATGCCATGAAGAATGCCAGAATATCTTAAACACATGGATAAAATAAAATGAACAAATAAATATTAGTAAATAAGTCAATAAACAAATAAATAAATATATATATATATGTGCCGCTTATATGCCATATATACTTCCAGCTGATATGTCAGAAACTTTGTCAAAATATATTATGGTGTGTCAGGGTGGGGATTGTTCAAAGAAAGTAATTTTTGGAGGTCCCGTAAATCGTTGAGGATTTGGTCCATGGTTCTATTGATGCTCCTGAAGCTGGCGGTAAGCCTCATGGCGGGACAAGCCTTGCAGACCTTCATTCAAGATGAGTCGGAAGACTTAGATGCCAGGTATGAGGCTTGGACGTTGCGAAGGTACTTGTGGAATTTCCATGAAAAGACATGACCAGACAGGACCGGACTATTTTTGTGGGACTTTAAGTGTAAGTGTATGTGATCTTATGTGGGATATTTGGGGCGTGGAGGCTTTGACCTTAGTCTCACGGATTTTGAATCATTTTTCTCCGATCATGTCTCCATAACCTGTGAAACTTCCGCAACTCGTCAATCCAGTCTGCCGGTTTCTGGGTTTATTTGTGATGGTTAAATCCCAGTTGGTCAAATCATAAAACCCCAAATATATTATTATCATATATATATATATATATTTGATAATAGTATATATATAATATATATAACGATATAAAATATATACAATTACATAATATATATATATAATTTATATAATTGTAATATATATATATATGTATATATTATTTATAATATATATATATATATAAATATACTTGTAGTATATATTTATATAAATATATATATTTTAGTTTATTGGAACCGGTGAAGCAGCAGAAATGCATTGAATCCACCCTATAGGATATCCAACAACCCCCTTCTAGTTGGATAAATCAGTGAGATACCCCCACGTTGGTGAGATGAAATCCAACAACTTGAACTGGCTGGTGGCTTCCAATATTCTCAGAATCATGCCCCCTTGCCTCGGGATGACATAACCCCCAGTCAAGAACAACAACATCATCCAAAACGTCGTTCGGAAATTGCTTTTAGCAACCATGCCATATCATCCAACATCATCCAATCAGTTAACTAAGGAGATGAACAACCTCTATGGTAGCTTCACTCGTGCCTTTTACACCTTCTTCGAGATAACCCACAGTGGTTCGTGGCCTTCACGCGTACGGCCTGTGCTGGAGAAAGTCAGCCCTTGGTATAGCGTCCTTTTCTTGCCGTACATTGCTTTGGTGCCTTGGATCTCAGGGGTTGATTTGGGGATGTTGAGACTGTTGAGCTATGAAACACCCATCCGGTAAATCTGGGATGATCTACAGCCACGAATACCGTGTGGTAAATAAACATAGCAATAGACAAAGGTAACCAATGTTACTATTTCTTGAGAATTTGTCTTGATAGCAAATTCTTAAATGACCAAAGGCTAATTGGCATGCTAATTCCCATGAATCACAATATAATCACAATCATTAACCATCATGAACCACCATGAACCATCATCAACTATTAACTATCGCTAGAACAACAATTAAATCACCACCATTCACTGGCTGCGAAAGAACCAGGTGGTCTTCGCCGTGATTCGCGTGGTGACGGCGTTGTTCATCAAGGAGACCTTGGCCTCGGCGGCCAACGATGCGGAGATGGTCATCGAAGAAAGTCGGCGCATGGCCGTGGAGTACCAAGAGCGACTGGAGGCCGGAGATGGTAATATATGGTTAATATATATATATATGATCGAAGGAAGTTTAGAAGTGAAACTTCCGACAATATGGACAGTTGAAAAGCAGAGGTGAGAAGAGTCAGAAGAGACAAGATCAGAAGAAAGAAGATGCAGATGCGCGAAAAGGTAGGAAAGTCGCGAAACGCTGTGTTTTTCCAATGATTTGTGGCTCCGGTGGGTCGAAAAGTAGGCTCGCTAAAGCGGCGGGTGCGGAGCCAGCTGGCCACAGGAGAGATGAAAAGTTGCACGGCGTTGTGGCGCGAAGCACATTTCGAAGTCAAAATGTGCAAAACACCAGGGGTTTGGACCACTTTTGGAAGTTGAGATGTCGAAAAAGTGCACGCCGTTGTGGCGCGAAGCACGTTTCCAAGTCAAAATGTACAAAGCACCTCAGCGTCGGACCACTTTTGGAAGTTGAGATGTCGAAAAAGTGCACGCCGTTGTGGCGCGAAGCACATTTCGAAGTGAAAATGTACAAAACACACCATTCTCGGAGCACTTTTGGAAGTTGAGATGTCGAAAAAGTGCACGCCGTTGTGGCGCGAAGCACATTTTGAAGTCAAAAGTGTTAAAAACTGACGGTCTCGGACCACTTTTGGAGGTTCGGATGTCGAAAAAGTGTCGAAAAAGTGCACGCCGTTGTGGCGCGAAGCACATTTCGAAGTCAAAAGTGTAAAAAACTGAGGGTTTTGAGCCTTTTTTGACGTGAAGATGTCGAAAAAGTAGACACTGATTAACTTAACTAACTTCACTAACTTAACTACCTTAACTTCGACGACAACAGCAACAGCAACAGCAACAACAACAACAACAACATCAAACACCAACCACAACAACTACAAGTACAACAACTACAACTACAACAACTACACAACAACTACAACTACAACTAGAACTACAACTACAACTACAACAACTACAACAACTACAACAAAACAAAAACAACAGCAACTACAACTACAACAACTACAGCTACAACAACTACAACAACTACAACTAGAACAACTACACAACAACTACAACTACAACTACAACTACAACTAGAACTACAACTAGAACTACAACTACAACAACTACAACAACTACAACAACTACAACTACAACAACTACACAACACACTACAACAACTACACAACAACTAGAACTACAAATACAACAACAACAGCAACAACAACAGCAACAACAACAACAACTACAACTACAACTAACAACTACTACTACTACTACTACAACAACTACACTACACAACAACCACAACCACACAACAACTACAACCACACAACAACAACAACAACAAACTACAACTACAACTACAACTACAACTACAACAACTACAACTAGAACTACAACTACTACAACTACAACTACAACTACAACTAACAACAACTACAGCTACAACTATATGACTGCAACTACGCTACACTAATTACATTACACCACAACTACAACTCCACTACCCTACAACTACAACTACAGTTGCAGTACATCACACTACATCCAGCAGTTGTGGGTGAGGTGACCACTGCAACCATTGCAACCACTCCAGCAAACACAACTCCAACCACTTTTCGGTCAATCAGTGGATTCGCTCTGCCATCCGTGATTCACAACAACCAACGTCTCCTATAGGTTTCCTATTCTGAAACTTCCGCCACCGCCTTGTGCGGTACTACTGGTATGATGGTGAATAAAATTATATTATGACGGGTGGTATATGATTAGTAGTGGAGTAATGCCGAATAGTAATGATCATGATAACACAGGTGAATATATGGTTAGTATATGGTTGATATAGTTGATACTCGTTTTTTTCAAAACATATTGTTTGTATGTGTATATTTATATATATATATCAGTATATTGTCAATATATGGTGATTAATGGTGGTTAGTCGTTGAAAAAAAACATATGGAAGAGATTTGGGGAAATCATAGATCATCTATTATCAAAGGGAACTTTTCCAGCTAGCCTTGTTTGATTGCCTGAAGGTATCAAGAACCAGATTGTAAACCATAAAACACCATCAAACTCCATCAAGCACGATCACAAACCATGGAGAAAAGAAAAAAAACGCCATCCAAATTACATGTTCAAGACAATTAATAAACAACAATCATAAACACCCCATAGCTATTCCCCCTTTTTCCCCCTCCATTTGTTTCGGCTGAAGGAACTCTTCCGCTTGGTGGACAACGACGGCGACGGCTCGCTCTCCGCTGAGGAATTTGTTCAGGCCATGGAACTGCCATCCGTGCAGCAGTACCTGAAGTTCCTGGACGCTGGGCATGGCGCCACGGGATCGTCCCCTGGGATATCAACGGCCCTAGTAGCAGAAAGGGGGGTGAATATATATATATATATATATCTATGTATGTATGTATGTATATATATATATGCATATGTATGGTGATTTTTGTCACGAAAGCTAGCGTCAGCTAGCTGGAGTCTTCTTGCTTTAGCAAGTATTGGGGGGGCTGCTCAAGGACATCACGTGATTTTTCACGCGAAAGGGCCCCCCCCCACCACCACCACCATCACCACCATCACCACCATCACCATCATCATCATCATCATCATCATCATCGTCGTCATCATCATCGTCATCATCATCGTCATCATCATCGTCATCGTCCTCTCCATCGTCCTCGTCCTCGTCCTCATCATCATCATCATCCTCGTCATCATCATCATCATCATCATCATCATCATCATTCATCATTCATCATTCATCATTCATCATTCATCATTCATCATTCATCATTCATCATTCATCAATCATCATTCATCATTCATCATTCATCATTCATCATTCATCATTCATCATTCATCATTCATCATTCATCATTCATCATTCATCATTCATCATCATCATCATCATCATCATCATCGTTATTCAATTACATTTTATCATTATTGGCAATTATTGTCATTATCACAAAAGCTAGCGTCAGCTCGCTAGAGTCTTCTTGCTTTAGCACGTATTCCGGGGCTCCCCAAGGACATCACGTGATTTTTCCCGCGAAAGGGCCCCCCCCCTGCCCCCTCCCCCATATATATCATTGTTATATATCCACCCCCGGCCTCAAGTTGTTTGTTGGGAATATACAACTGGTTGTTTTTTGGTTTTCATGGAACATGTTTTGTTTGAATGGGAATGTGTGTGATTGCAATATATCATATAATGTGATTAAACGGGATTATAAAGTAATATGCTGATTGTAATATAGTTGTAATATACATAAAACAAGGGGATCCCCTTAGACCAATCCATGTATGGATGATTCAATTTGCGATGAGTCTGAAACCGGGAATTGGTTTTCACTGGTCGTCATTATGATGTTATTCATGAGCATAATAAATTGATATTGCGTGACATTCCATTCTATATTACAAAAAATATCACATAGGCATAAACCAATGGGGGAACATATGCATACTGAGGGGTTGCAACAAGCTCTAACACATGAAAAGTGCGAGTTGGCAGTGTTTTGAGGGTTGTTTGAGTATGCAGAAGCATGAAAGAACATGCGACCATATAACTAATGAAACAAAACAGAAACATACCTTTCAAACATTATTTCAACCGTTTCATCTAACACACACACACGCGCACACACCCAGTAAGCAAAACCTTGAAAACTAAGAGATGTTAAGAACCAACCAGTTTGGCGGCCCACCCCTTTCCAATTTGCATCTGTATCCTGAATCAGTGGCTGGTTCCGTCCAGCTGTCCCAGGAAGTGACGGTCCGTGATTGCGGGCCGCTCTTTGAGATTTTGGCCCAGGGCGATGGGCAAATCACCATCACAGAAGCCTTGGCTGGGTTTCAGCCAGAATTGTTATTTTTTTTTTGCTTCCATTTTTTTAGGATAATCCCAAATGCTGACTAGGTGTCACAAGTGCATTTTTTCATGGGTTGAAACTAGTTGAAACAGTGAACTAGGAATTCTGCAAGGGCCTGATGCAAATCAAGGGCCAAGCACGTGCTTTGGACATCGTCGTTTCTTGGAACAAGTGTACCTTGTTGTTTTGGGTTCATTATGTTTTGTTGGCCGCTGGATTCTCATTTCCCAACATATTTCTATATCTCAAAGCAATCTATGTCATCCTGAGGTTCTGCAGCATGAAAACACTAAGTTGCAACATGATATCGGCGAAGTTCTGCAAATCGTGAGGGGTTTTGATCTGCGGGCGCGGGAAAGGGCTTCACGGGCCCACGCGGCTCTGCAGGCTCGAGGCTCGGTCCTCTCCTCTCAGCGCGGGTTGTTAGCCAGTCTCGCCTAAGGTGAGGCTGACACGACAAACATCGAAGGAAAATGAAGAAAAACAGCGGTGCGGCGGTGGCAAATGGATGATCAGTTTACTTCGCTGAGAAACGGGGGAAATTAAATACATCATATACATCCAGAATCCAATTGTTTGGACATATATTTTTCCATGGGTTTCGCTGACTGAATTTCAGGTTTGAGGTGTTACACATCTTTGGGCAGAAATGCGGAATAAGTAGGTGGGATAGATGGCAAAGCTATATAGGGGAAACAGGACACGCCAAAGAACATTTATGAGAAAGATTTTGTTCTCTTCATGAAAAAACTTCATTATAGAAAAGCAGGGATTGAAATCGAAGCATTGGCAATGCTTGAGCGTTACCAACATCAGAAGCCCCTGTATCGAAATTGCTTGCATTGCAGAAGTTCTGTCCCACGTTCATACCCTTCCAAAAACTCTGGCTCTTGGCAGCTCTTTGATGTCCAAACCACCCCAACCTTCATTTTTGTAGCAAAATTGTCCACTCTCCGTGCCCTTGGCCGCCCTTGGCATTGTAAAGTGCCACATTTTGGGGTAAAAATGCCGGTGCCTGGCAGCGAATGTGGACCTGGCCGGCCGCTGCAGGAGGAGTTCTTCCTGGCAGCCTTGGATGCCAAGTTTGCTCAGCAGGAGCAGCTGATCCGCGGGCTGCTGGAAGCTGCGCCTGCGCCTGCGGTGCAGTCTGCGGTGCAGTCTGTGCAACCACGGCAGGTGGCCTTTCTTTTTGGGGGAGATTCCAAGTTCTCGCAACCCGAGACGTCGGTGTCTCACCAACAATCGGACGATCCATCAGTGGAGCCACCCAGAACGGTGAAGCCCACCAAGAAGACCTTGGCAACTTTGGGGGCTCAGGTCATGAGTGAGAAATGGATCAAAGATCCTCCGCTGAAAGCTTTCGTGAAAGAAAAACTGGACCTCCCCATTGGCTGCGTGGTTTTGGCGAATGTGGTGCTGATGATCATCCACTCTCAATGGGTTGGAATATCCACAGACGTCAGTTTGGGCCTCATCGAGTCGTCGGATACTTTCTTCTCGCAGGAGTTTTTCGACATCACAGAGTACATCTTTTTCGGAATCTATTTGGTAGATCTCGTCGTGCGAATTGCTGTTCTGCGAAGGGAATGGTACTATGATCCTAAGAGGGGCCTCATGTACATGAATGTCTTTGATGCCTTTCTAGTGTTGCTCAATTTTTCAGAACTCCTGGTGCTTCCTTTCTTAGATTCTGGTGCCACTCCAGAGCTCAATACCAATCAGATCCGGCTCATCAAACTCACTCGGGTCTTTCGAACCCTCCGAGTTGTCAAGACCTTGTCCATGTTGCGACAGTTGCGACACTTAGTGGCCACATGCATCGCGAGTATCGGCGCCCTATTCTGGTCTTTGGTGCTGCTGTTGTTTCTGAAGCTGATCTTTGCCCTGATGTTGAGCCAAACTATGCAGCTGTACATTCAGAGCCCTCAAGAGAATTATGAGGAGATGGGTCCAGTTCTTATTCCATGAGCAGTGCAGCAGTGATTGACGTATGGGGTCACATGTAGCACACATGTACATGGGTCATATGCATGAGATCACAAGCGCACTGAAATAATCTAAAATCACTAAATCATACTAAACATATTTTGCTGATGATTTGTTTATATACAAATGAAATGTAGACACGGGGGCTCGTTTCAAAGTTCAGCTATGTTTCAAAGTCCTTCTTTCACTCTTGGCCCTATGGTTTTGGAATGTTTTGGAGGACCGGTTGCTGATGAACAATTGGTATGGCAACTTCAGCAGGTCCATGTACACGTTTTTTGAAATTACATATTCAGGTGGCTGGCCTTTGTTGGTACGACCTGTGCTCGAGAAGGTCAGTGCGTGGTATGCTATTCCCTTCCTGCTTTATGTCGCGGATCCACTATTCATCATTTTTCGGTTTCTATTGAATTCTGATACTTTTCAAGACTATTGACAAGCCAAACGCATGATAACAATTCAGTGTTATCATATATTTCAATATAATTTTATATAATTTTTATGTTATTTACTAATGCCTTAGCCACTTTTTTGCAATTGTATTTGATTTTGACTTTTTTTTCCCTTAATTTGCACTGTCAGCTTGGACCCAGCAGATCTTGTTTCCTCACCACAGGTCACTTTAGTGGTCTTTGCCACACTGCGAATTGTGACGGCCCTGTTTTTGAAAGAAACATTATCAACTGCGGCGAATGATGCGGAGATGGTGATTGAAGACTCCCGGCGTTTTGCCTTGCAGTACCAAAAGAAGTTGGAGGCGCTGGGTAAAAACAAGAAACAAAGTTGGGACTGAGTCATCAAATCTTCCAGACGGATTGAAATATGAAATTGTGTGAAAATCATATATTGAATCAATGCAATGCAATGCAATGCATCACGAGTATCTATTGAATTATTGTTGCTGATAACCTGTAATTACAACATACCAACACCATCCAATACCCATGTTCGGACATGCATTTCATCCCAGACTTGGATCTTCCAGAACACCCGATTTTGTATGGTAAAGCACCAGGCTTTCACCTCAAAAGTGTCCTCAATTACAGACATATCCCATAAAATCATATAAAACACCTATGTTGATCCATTTTGAACCGTAAATCTCAAGGGTTTGTTTCAAGCGTAGATGCCTTTGGCCATCTTTGGCCTGGTGCAGGAGCTGTTTCGGTTGGTGGACGATGACTCGGATGGGCATCTAACAGCAGAGGAGTTCGTGCAGGCCATGAAGCTGCCCAGCGTGGAGCAATACCTGGCGTACCTGGAGAGCCTTGCTATGCGGGGGAGACGGTGGGTTGGATGATGGGATGGATGGGATGGATGGGATGGATGGGATGGATGGGATGGATGGGATGGATGGGATGGATGGGATGGATGGGATGGATGGGATGGATGGGATGGATGGTGGGATAGAAATTCTGGGAATTTCCGACAGTTTGCCATGGCAAGTCAACATTTTTGGTGGTAAATCATCTATAAGATGGGATTTTTCCATTGGTATGTTGAATTAAAAGAAGGGTAATTGCACTATCCCAAAATTGATTGAGATCCCAACATATGTCATATGGTTGGGGTTGATGATCAGAAAGTTACGAAGAATGATGTGAGAGAGAGAGATATATAGATATATATATATATATATATTATGTATAAACAAAATTAAACAAGCAAACCAGTCAAATACATTCAAATACGGGATGTGATAGTTTAACATGGTACAATCTGTTTTTAATAAATGGTTTGATGCATCAAATGGATGATACCATGGATTTGTCCACATGGGTGTGAATGACAAGGGCCTCGGGGGCCACCTCATGGCCATCCGAGGAAATTGATACCCGGTGGGGACCTTCACAGAAGTGTCACACTGACAGAAAGGTAATGATAGATATGGTAAGATATGGTAAGATATGGTAAGATATGGTTATATATGGTGATATGAGAGTTGTATCCACACGCTAATCATATGTACAGTACTCATATCGGTCAACATATGGCCATGATCCCACAGAGATGGGGGGATAACTGGCTGGGGATTTGATCAACAAAAACATGGGAAAGCAGACCGACAAGAGGCGCCGATTGGAAGATTTGGTTGAAAGATAAGGGATTTCAATGGATTTCAAACCATCCAAGAACTGGGGATGTGAATCAAGATCCGTTGTGAAGTGATCCAGCGGATGTTGTGTTGGCGGTATGGGCCAGAGGATGTCCGAAATCCCCCGGCAACTGGTGGAACATTCGCCATCAGCACAGACAAGGCACCAATTGGGATATGAAGTCAGGACTAATATGGCCTAATCAACAGGACTCTGTGGATATGTTTGAGAAGAACCAAGGAAAACCATGGAAAACCTAGAAATATTGTGAACTAGTGACCGGCACAACATGGGCATGGCTTGCCAGTCTTGAGCCACCTTTATGTCGATCAGCAAAGGGAGATGTGAATCAAGCAAGACAACTGGAGGTCCAGGACAACAATTGAACCTGAATCAAGTGTATCTCAACCATCGCCTGAACAGATGTTTTGTTTTCTTTTACTATTGCCAATCTATATCTTTATATTTTATCTACATAAGCATACATAAGCGTGTAACTATATGATATATTAAGCAAAGGGCGTCATATGACATGTAGACAATACATGACTTTGTACACATGATATGCCGTGATATCCCCAATACGAATCACCCAGGATCACTGTCCGTGATTGTGGCCCCCTCTTCGACATCCTCGCGGGAGATGATGGGCTGATCACGATCTCAGAGTTCTGCCGAGGCATCATGCAACTCAAAGGGACGGCCAGGGCCCTGGACATCGTGGTGTTGCAGCATGAGAATTCGAAACTCATGAGGGAGTGCAGCTTGGACCCACATATGTTGTGTATGTTTAAAGCGAATCATCATATAAGCATTAATGCAAATATATAAAACATACATGACATATACACGTATACACACAAATAGTATATATATATATATATGTGGTATATGTTTTTATGTAAGTCTGTTTGTTTCTAGATTGCTTACTCGCCCATGTTGAAAACCTATCTCAAACCTTGGGCACTGAAAAGATACTCGTAGCATGTTTCTAAACAATGTTTCTTCTCTCCCCACTAAGCAGTGAAAGGTAAGAAGACTCGCAAAATGATGGAGACGCTTGCTGCGACATCACCACCGTTGGACTCACCTGGTGCCGAAACCATAAGCTGAATGAGAGTCTCTATTGACCCATAAATCCATGACCCATATGTCATATCCATATCATGTTTCACCCTGTGAAATGGCTCAAGGCATATTCACCCTCAGATCGAGACATTTGAAAGCGCATTCCAGTGGGAAAAAGCAGACGGCTTTGGTGGGGCAGCAAAGCTGCTTCCAATCTGTTGGCGGCCCAGGGCACCATTATGGGATTTGAATGGATTTGAGCATGTGATATATTTCCAGGGGTGGTTGATGTTCAGGGTAGATTTCACTAAACTTCTTGCTAGTGGTTGTTGCCTGTATTTGGCAGATGTTTGATCCGACGTCAGATCTCTCGAATGAAATTGAAACTCGATCCAAACTCTTGCAAACTCATGGCAGCAAGGATTTGGTCAACTAAATGCACAGACTGGTATACTTGTGTGAGATGTACATGTGGGACAAAGAAGATGGTTCAACAGCAAAACGCCACATGTTCGTTTCGGTGCGCTGAAATCAGCTATGGCCTGTCAGACACCACATTTTTTTGAAGCAATCATCAACACAGAGAACCCTTATTTGCCGCCATGTGGTCCTGCAGAACAAGCAGCAGGCAAGACCCGGGGTGATGTATACCGCTGCGCTTTTCTTTGCTGACATGGTTGTGGTTGGCGGTTGGTTGGGCTATCAACGTCTATGTGTTCCAAAAAAACCGTTTGGTACAGAGCAGTTTGTTGATTCAACCACTGTGGAGATCACACTCTCATGACTTTCCAATATACTGGGTGAATCTTGGTGATGTCCATCCAAGTTCGGACGAATCCTACAAATAAGCCACCAAGACCTTCCCATGAGCCGGGCTCGGCTGGAGACAGCAATGTAGGTCCGGGCTCGGCTGGCCAGACTTGTCAGAGGAGGTACGGCTTGAAGTGGTGCTGTGCTTCAGCTTGTTGGTTTGATCATTAAATTTGAAGACCTGCGGATCCCCTGCTAGTTGTCGAGTGAGCATGGCTTCGGTGTTGCTGCGACTTGTTTGAGACAATCCCTTTAAAGGAAGTGTCAACTGATTAATGTCTGACCTGGCACATGTCGCCCATCGACTCATCGAGTCTCAGCCGTGTTTGCAGTATGAGGCTATTTCGCATGAATGTCATTTGCTTTTTGATGATGCAGCCACTCGTGGTGTCGGCGTGCATATCCTCCAAAGAGTGACTTAATCTAATTATTGATGGAACATTGCCAGTTTTGAATACATAATTTTGAGGGTTTTCTGCTTTTGATGCCGGTAGTGGCTAGTGTCTTGTGAAAGCGGGCCAGTTTTATTTCCACCTGGAACCTCAGCCACTTTTTAATTCAGTGTCTTCCGTCTACAGAAGGCTTAAATTACTTGAATTGGCGGAATGAATGCCTTCAGAAAACTACATGGTCCGGCGCTCATAGATGGCCGATGATGGCCGTATGATTTCGTGCATCATCATGTTGACTTTGATGCCCTTTGATCAATGGTGAAGTGATAAAATATCCACGCAGGCCATTCAAAATGAACATGTAGTTTTAAAGTTGCATGCTATCATCTTTGCGGTCCCTTTTGTGGCATCCAAAAAAACTACTTCACTTGAGGCATCTTGAGGTGTTGTCTTGGTCAGCGCAGTTGGGCACACGCTATTGTTTTCCATCTTACGCTGGGTCGCAATCCACGAATTAATGTTCGAACAGGCTAATTGTTCAAGAACCTGTTCAGGTTTGTCCCCCTCAAATTGCATGGGTTTCAACCCTACAATGTTGTATCTTAAATGATTTAAGCATCTTCCCCATTAGTATATCAAAAAGACAACAACAAAATGAAATTGCCATTAAAGAAAAGAATGTCTCAAGGAACGTTATTACACCCCCGCCCCACCCCAACCCCCCACACGTCAAACATGGCAACATGTACGCGTGCAGTTTTTTTTTTTAATCGTGGTTGCGTTGGAAGCGCTTGCCTTGTGCCCTTGCATGCAATTGCCCAAGCACGTTGCGGTTGTCTCTTCTTCGCGGCTGTGTTTTTTGGAGGCTTTTTCCAAGGAGCCACAAGGCGGAGTCTGCAGGGGTTGTTGTTGGTGCCCCCCTTCTGGCTGGGCATTTGGCATGTGAAAACCATTGAAAACCTAGATGAGATCCATCCTCAGTTCCTGCAGTTTCTCTTCCCTCATGGGTTCAGCATGGTGCGGGAGTTCAGGTGTTTGGGGTGCTTTCGACATGAGGATTTTTCACCGATGCAAGTTTCGCAGTTCTCGGCTCAAGCCATGCCGAAGAAAGGAGGCAAGGCTAAGGACTGAAGGGAAGAACTCGACACACTGAAGAATTCGTTCTAGGATAAGAATGATAAGAATTGAGTTTCATGATCGATGTTGATGATTGTGGCAATTATTTACGGAGGTGAGACTTCAACATGAACATGTCCCCGCATGAATGAGTTTAGTCAGTGGTTGCAAGCGTTGTTCCCCTGGCTCTTGGCCGCAGGAAGACGAACCACCAGCTCCCACAGAAGCTCTTGAAGAGCAGGAAGAGGAGACTGCAGGGAGTTGCAAAATTCAAGGATCAGAACCTGATCTCGGCGCATCAGTTCATGCACCGAACGCATGGACATTCCCAAAAATCACCACACTTCTGGCCTAAGAAACTCCTGTGTTGCAGCTGTTCCGCGATGTTCCATGATGTCTGACCATCTCTGACGTATCTCTTCACATTTATTTTGTCCTTCAGGTTTGTCAGCAAGCAACTCTTGATAGATAGCTATGGTAGGTGTTGCCACCCCAGCCGCGCCAGGAGCCAAAAGAAAGGAAGGCATGGGTCTATGGCATTAACAACCACGTAGAGCGTTTGGATACTGAAGTCGTTCAGGCACGTGACGTGAGGATCCTGACAGTCTTCAAATTGTTTTGAGCATTTTTAGGTGGAAGTTTTTTGAACCCCCAAAGCATCCCACCGTTTATTCTTGCCTCCTATATACATGCCACAATAAAGTTATAAACTATCCTCAACGGGTGAAAATTCAACATCTTCCCATACCTGTTGGATCCTTTGATGCCTTTGATAGGTTGTATGTTGCTGCACTGGTCATTCCTCGCTTCCAGGCCTTTCGTGGCAGCGGTCACCTGCGCGAAGATTACGCGTTGCTGTGCCATCGACTGAGCCTAGTGGGTCATCATGAGTTGATGCCCGAGTCCAAGGACTGGGTTTGGGACCTGCAAATTTAAAGGTTACCCCCAAAAAAAGAAAAGTGGTCTAAATATGTCTAAATACTTTTAGATACTTATTAATTGGTATAATATGTGTGTTTGTGTTTATCATGATTTTCCCCTCTTTTGATATATGGCAATCTTCAGACAGACACATTTGGGGTGAGATGGGTGGTTTTTGCCAAAGGGACTTGATTGTTCAAAAAGGTATCATGATGGTGCAGGCCAGGCCACAGGCATTGTTTTTTTTTTGATAGACGCCATGCGTGTGTAGCTTCCGTAAACGATATTTTTGCACACAACCCAAACGCCCACGAAGCACGGAGAAGATGCAAAGACCAGTGGTCACCAGTGATCACTTTTTATCCTCGATGCTACACCCATCACCAGCTCCCGGCCGACCAAAATTGACCTCCTGTCGCAGGGCCTGCCGCCACCCAAGAGTTGACTTTGCAGAGCTGCTTGTTGGATCGTGCGTCGATGCTCATGCTGCAAGTGGTTTTACCATACGCCTTGCGCCTGGGTTTTGAAGCAGTGATGACTAGTGATGTCCAGGGAAGGGTTGCTTGCAAAAGAACCAGCATTATGGTCCTATGGTTTGAATTTATTGATTTTGGTGGATTTGGGGGTCACAAGTCCTGGACATACATTTGCGTACGTGGACCTTCTCAAGTAGAGAGGTGGGGTGTTCTGGCATGTGATGAGGGGGTGCAAGTTGGGTGAACATGATGTGACCATACCCCACCATGACAACCACTCTGAGACATGGCAACAGGTTTCCCATTAAAAGTTCCGTGAAATCGATCCAGTGATCATCAGTAAATCTCAATTTGTTTAGCAACCCCTATATAAAGGCCCTATAAAGGCCCTAAGTAGATAGAAGATTGGACAGCTGGAACTCATAGGGGAAACATCCTACCATCCTGGAAATGATTGTGTGTTGCTGAGGTTGCTATCGTCAAGAGATGTTGATCCCAACTTTTCTAGGTAAAATACGGTAAATTCATGTAAATTCACCATGTTGTGTTCGTTAAATCACTTCAACCCAGGGATCATCAGGAAATCCCAGCCTTTTTTGGTAAAATCCCGCTTTTTTGTTGCTTAAATAATTCAAATCCACCAACAAATAAATCAGTCAAAAATCCATGCAGATCCTAACTGTTCTTGGTAAAATCATTGAAATCATCAACTTTGGTGAATATCCATGAATATCCATGAATATCCATGAATATGCAAATTATCCAATAACCCACAAAAATTAGTTCGCCAAGATTCCAACCATGATTCCAACGAATATCGGTGTGAAATCCACCCTTCGCCTTCTGAGGCACCTCTCCTCCCTTCGCCTCAGCGCTTGCGCCCTGGATGTGGAGCTGTTGACCTTGCTGCGGCAGGCCTTGGGCGCCGACTCCTCGGACGCCTTGGCCCAAACGTTGGGTGGATTTAACCTATGGGTTAATGATGGTGAAACCCTTAAACAACAGGGGGGTTAATAGAATATGGGTTCATGGAATATTGCTGGGGATATGAATGGAATTTATATATATAGAACGAATTTATGATGAGATATGATACCGATACCCCGGTAAATTGACCGTGTGCGAACTGGAAAACCACAATCTTGTCATATCTTGTCCCACCTTTTGTCTAGAGGTAACTGGATGCGAAAAATCGGACCAAATGGGCCACAGCTTCCATGACTTTGTTGGATTACCGTAAAAGATGGAACCAATAGAAGCCACTAAGAAAATTGGGGTTGGATTTGAAAGCTAGATATATGTATAAGTTGATATTATTTGGCTTTCAAACTTTCGCTTCCATGTATGTTGAATTTGGAGGTGTAAAACTGAGAATCAGCATGTTCTTCCGAATCAAGCTGGTGACTTTCATGGGGTACTTGAATGAATTTAATCATTGTTGACACATTGGAAGTGCATTCTGGATCAACCCGGGCTAAGGTGCAGACGCTGCACGTGGAGTGGAACCGTGTGGAGCTTCCCATGGAAGACAGCTCCAAGAGCAGCATCAAAGATGCCCATCATTGGTCTGAGATCGATGAGGCTGCTGAAAGCTGGGACGATTGTTGTTTTTTGATTCTGGATTTCTAAGAAGGGGCTTGGTTGGCAACCTGCAACTGCTGACAAGTGGCAAGTGGAAGGAACAGGAATACAGAGATGGATGTTCGGCATGAGCGGAAAGTAGATGTAAGTAGAGCAATGGGGATTAGCGAGCTGTGCAGGCTCAAGTTCAGGACACCAGTTTTTAGATGTTTTTAGCACATAGTTTTGCCATGTTTTGCCCATGTTCTTCAGCAGGAGCGGTGCATGTCGTGTTTCCATGCTTCGATGCCACTTCAGGCAGAACGAAAGCTCGAACAAAGGAAGAGTCAGAGATATCTTCTGACCTTCCGTGATGAGTTGGAAATGCTTCAAGGAGCCATGCGGAAAACCCTGGTAACAAAATGGGAACAACATGTTGGGACCAAGGATCTAAGGCTCAAGGGCCTTCGGGTCTCCATATCCTTTTCGAGGGTTGGAACATGTTTGGACTTTAGAGCCGGTCCACACTGCAAGATGAACTGAAGAGTCAACCTGGCTGCCACAGGAGGTACCATTGCTGAAGCGGTCCAGCAGCAACTCGCCATAGTTTGGGGCAGATCTCCCAGGGGCAACCCAAATCTACAACTTAAAACCCAGACTTATCATGACTTATCCATAGGTCGTGGGGTGAAAGAGATGGCTTTTGAGGCTAGTGACAGCTAGTGATAGGAAGGTCTTGGAGTATATAAGTGAATCCATTTATCCATTTACACACCCAAAAAAAAATCCATCTGATGATACTCAACATTTGACCAGCCTTTAAGTCAAAGTTGCGGCGTTTTTTCAATATGGCCGCCATATGTCCGGCCAGAATCAAAAGCGAGGCCAGCCCTGGCCGACTGGCCACCTGATCAAGCGCCCTCTAAGGTTGGCCGAAAAAGTGGTGCCAGGTCGGGCCACGTCAGCTGTACGCTGGCCAATGGATTTACAAACCTGGATTTCCATCTTCTACGACACATTTCACATGGATGTCTTGGACTCTCGGCTAGTGAATGTGTGAGAGATGTAAGCACCCATGAGCATCATCTGACATCAAATAGCATCAACCAGCATCAACCTGTATCCGTTAATTATCCATTATGGTTTAATGGAGATTGCGATCGGACACCATGGGTTTTCACCCATCAATCCAAAATTATATGTTTGGCTTTTCACCCGGTTTTCCCATGGGTTTTCCCATAGTTTTTCGATGGATAAAAACAGCAAGCGACTAACTTAAGATGTCTGGGACCAGACCAGTCTGGGGTCAGAGAAGCGAGGACTGTGAGCCCATCTTCCATATTCTGGATTCTGACCACGGTGCTGGGGATGGCCTCGTTCCCCTGGTCAAATTGCAGGAACCGCGCAGGGGATGGGCCCCAAGAGTTGGATGGTGCTGGGGATGGCTTAGAATGGAAAATCCTATAAAAATTAGGGATGATTTCTTGGGGTAGCCCCTTTTTAGGAAACCCCAAATAAATCTTCACTGGCAAAGTCATGCAAAGTCAAGATCCAGGGAGCATCTTCCCCTTCCGTGGTTGCTTCGTGTGGGGTTTAATTACACTGAGTGTACAACAGGACATTCTACCAGACTTTGATGCAACAATGCAACTCAGACATGAATGAGATATACTTTGAGATACTTGTAGAATATTTTTTGAAAATCATCAGGCATCAGGCCTATTGAATCAATGCTTATCTCCATGATTCATGATTATCCTACAATTTTGTAGGGAATCTCACAGAGGTTGGACGTTTGGATGCCCCACTTAACAGGCTCCAAAGGACACCGGGGCCTGCTGTGGCTGTTTGTCCTCGAAGGAGGTGTTGCAGGGCCTGCCGAGACAAGAGGCATCCACAGAAGAAAGGCAGCTGGGACTATGCCTTGCTGGGTGGTAGGTATACCATTATCACATATTATCACTAATTACTGTATAATTATATAATCCATTATACATGGTTATGCATGGCATCATATAATTTCTGGTCGAACAAATATTGTTATACATCATATACGTTATACATACATATGAATTATTGCATATATATATATATTGCATATGCATTATATATATAATATGTATGTGTGTGTGTGCGTGTTTTCACCATCTTGAACTTGAACCTTTGATTTGGATAAAACATTATGGTAATGGAAGGCCTGTGCCGGCGATTTTGTTGGTTAGACCGTTAGACCTGGATATTTCCCTTCACATTTGATGACCAGGAGGATTGAGTTTGTGTCGCCAAGGCTTCTTCCTCCTCTCCAACCGCCGGAATGCACTGATGACATTGGCTCTTCATTTGCTGCCTCTTGGCTGCCCAGTCCCGGAATTTCTGATTCTGAGGAAAATCAGAGAACACTTCAGGAATCTGATGTTTCACCCCCAAAAAAAAACAGGGCTGAATTCACCTTCTTTTCCTCTGATCCGCATCGACAGCTCTAAGGCTTTTCTGGACAAGACCAGCCCCTTGGAAATGCTGTCTTTCAGGCAAAAGATCTCAGCTGCAAAGATGATCGGTTGTTGAACATGTTTTGCCTTGGATTTGTCTTTACTGCGCAAAGCATTTTTTAACATGTATATACAATTATGTAACTATATGTAACATTTGTGTAACTATATGTAACTATTATGTATGCCTATGTGTGGTGATCAACTTAGATTTGTCCGAAAGTGGATCTCCAGCAGTAGCTTCACTGAGTGTGGTGATGGTGAGATGGTAATTCATCCGAGTCCCTCTGTGCATTGGTTGTTGCAGTGTTGGCATGTTGGCAGCTGCTGTTTTTTTTTGGCGGTCAATTGATGGTCAATTGGTGCCATTGATGACAGGTGTTGCAATTTGAGTCGGCTCGAAGTTCAGGCAGGATCACAAGACGTCACAAACCTCAGGGTGGGAGGCTCCGTGCGTGACAAAGACTTGAAAGTTTGACAATCAACAATAATTGTATTGCTCAGAGGGTATGTTCAATAATTACTGGATACTCTGGTTAATCAACATTCAACATACCCTCTGGATACCTCTGCTAATCTAACTTAGCCATTGAACATTTGCCACATTGAACGAGAGAGAGAGAGAGAGAGAGTTTATTAATCCCATAGGATCCATGTATGGAAGATTTACCAACATTTGCCCCATAAATGACCCAAATGTAGATAAATATACCCTACATGGATCCTATGGGAATGTTCATTTCTCTAGAAGTGCGCGATTTTCCATGGCTATGTTCAGTTGGTATCGGGGTATCTCAAGGCCGACTTTACGATGGGATCCATGGCAGGCCATCAGTTCAGCCTTGGCTTCGCCATCGCCACATTTGAGGGCCCTGAATCTTTGGGGCAGCTCTGAAGCATAGCCATGCTGACTGATGCAACAACTTATGAAGGATCCATGAATTCTGGAGAAATCTATAGAATTTACTAACATATTATCTCTCTCCCACACACACACGTATATATATATATATATTAATATAGTCATATATTAATTGATTATATCACCTGTTCGCCTTGAGCTTCTCTTAAACTTTCTGAGATGGCGATGGAAAGAGAGAGAACATTACATATGTTCCATGAGTCTCGATTTGGAGTGTCTATCATGGTCTTCCACACGGACAGGCTTTTTGAGACACACCTCAGAAAGTCGCGCCAGCAGTTCAATCCAATCATGATTAAAAATCCCAGCCTTTTGCGGGGCCCTTTGAGTTTCCATGGGGTCGACGATGTATCCGTGACTGCTGGCACTCAGGAAACAAGATCTGCGATCATAGCACCAAATACTTGGCTGAGGCGCCGCCGGGCAGTGGCAGCTGACGAGGGGAGTTCTGTATGAAACTGGGTTCCAGAAGTTTTTACACAGAATAAGAACGTAATGATGGAGAGGTGTTTAATGATGTTTATGTTATTTTCTGGGATTTGCGGTTTTGCAAAACTTTATTGCAGATTTGGAATGTGCGTCTTCCATCCATTTGATATTTCTTTGACATTGGTTGTCACCAAAAATTGGGATTTTCGAATGTTCCATGGTTAGGATGAGGCAATGTCCAAGCCCAGAAGCAAAGCCTTCACAGGCGCTGGAGTTTAACTTTGGGCTCCAGTTCCTAGGGCTTGGCAGATGCTTGGCTGAAAACCAGTGGCTGAAGATGTTTGATAGAAGAGATACAGTAGGAGACGGTCCCAAAAAAAGCGTGCGACCCGGGAATTTCATATCACAGCCAGAACAATCATCCTCCACCTCCAAACCCACATTCTGGAAAGAAGGGAGACGAAGAGCTGAGTTTTATTTAGAAAGAAACGGTGTAAGTATGATTGGATAGTCAACTCGTCCCGAGATTTTTTTTTTTTGCGAAGTTCATCTCACACCTAGTTATTGTTGTTGGACATGTCAATGTGCAGACCAGTCATTCAAGAATTCAACTGCGGCAACATTTGATCTTGGATCCTAATCATCCCACCCTGCAGTATGACACTGGGTCAGTTGCTGCTGAGGAAACTTCGTCACACACGTGGGACTGCAGACCTTGTGCCAAGTGCTTGGGGTAACGCACGTCACGGACAAGGCCACCCAAAGCAGGTGTTAAGTGATGTCTATGTTTGTTGGGAACGGTTGAAAATATGTTGGATGACTTACAAACTTAACATTGCCTTTCCATGTCAGACAATTTTGATAAGCTTCCCAGTTGGACAAACCTATGATATTGATGTTACACAAGCAGGGGATAATTACACATTGGAAGACTGCACCATTCAGATAGGTGTATCAATGCTACAGGTCTGACTGCTGATGCTTGATTTCCTTTGGGTCTTGACCACTGCGCTTCGGTGTCGGCAGGCTGTTGGAGACAAGATCATGAAGCATTTGAAGGCACACGCAGAGTTCTTCACACTGAGCTGAAGCAAGCCTTTCACCCCAAAAAAACGCTTGGAAAACCTGCTTTTGTGCTGGATCTGTTCACTTTGAGTGCATATGGGTGAAAAGAGAGAGAGAGAGAGAGTCGGAAGCCAACAGTAGCTTTGCTTCAGTTTGCCTTTGGCATAGCTAATCGCAGGTGCTTTCTTGTTTTTTCCGCTGATCAATCTGCCGTGCTGGGAATAAACTGGGGGACCCCTTAGGCAACTCGAAGAGTACCAGAGTCATTTAGAGTTGGAATCGACATCCCTTGGAATCGCATCCCTGGTGGCCCGGTCAGGATCAGCGGAAGGACTGTGGATGTGGTGGTTGTCGCCCTGTTTTTTCCATTGGTTGAGGGGCTGACTTTTTGAAAGCCACGTTCCACGAGGTCGTGTTTTTCAATGGCCCTTGGTCGACTTGTCAGGAATTTGATAAGAAGAAGAAGGCATTTGGAGCTGCTCCGAAAGATGGCAATGGCAGTGGGCACCTCAATTCCTCAAACATCCTGAAACATCCTGAGACGTTGCAATGTTGACAAAACTTTAGGATCTTTAGGGACTCCTCCACCAGAGCAGCCATGTTCATTCCCACACCCAGATCAGCCGGTGCCTTGCAGCTGTCAAGGAGAGCGATATTGGCCCTCTCCACACCTGGACACCTGCGAGGAGCAAAAGGATGAAGCAGGCAAATTTACCCAAAATCATGTCCCAAATGCATCCTTCATCCTTCATTATTTTGGGGAGATTTTGTGTGTCACTTAATACTGTAAGGGGTCATATTGCTGATATTTACTGCTGATTTGGGATATCCTTCCCGGAACCAATATGTTCTACAAGCGAGCAAAAAGATTGGCCGTCGCCGTGCTTTTTATTTGGATACAATACATTAAGCATATAACTCACGGGTTATGGCCCTGCTATGGCTATATACTGTATATAATATATATATATATACATACACACACATATATATATATATTATTATTTATTTATATACATATATACATATACACATATATACATATTATATATATATATATTTGCTATATGGCTGAGAGGTTTTAGGAGTTGAGGCAACCTTTCGGTAGACCACATTTATGTCCCTTGTCCCACCCTGCACAGTTTGTTAAGCTTGTTCCAGGCGCGTCGTTCTGGCTTTGGAGACGGAATACGGAGCTGCAAACGTTGAATTTGGAGGATAATCCCATCAACGATGCTGTTACCTCGCCGCAGTTGGCGCCCACAATGCTTAACAAACTTGGTAGGGATGAAATTACATGATGGTATATCTGATATAGTATATCTATCTAATTATATCTATATCTAATATCTAATATCTATATTTGCATCTACATCTACATTTACTTCTATATATAACTCTCTCTCTCTCTCTATATATATATATTTATTCACTCAAGGGAAACTCCTTGATTTTTGCTGCTGAATCCTACACTAAGGACGCGGTGGAGGCCCTTCAGCCTTTCGGAATCTCGGTGGCACCGCTTTGTGGGGATCGCTGCAACGTGTTGGTGCTTTGGAACATGTTTCATTTTCCCAATATATTGGGAATGTCATCATCCCAACTAGGAATCCCAACTATTGGGAATATATCAATGGCTCATTTGCCAGCTATAAATGGCATACCCTCTGGTTATGTCAAAATAGCTATGGAAAGATCCACCATTTTTAATGGGAAAATCCACTAATTATTAATGGTCATTTTTCAATAGCTATTTTGACATAACCAGAGGGTATATTGGGAATGTCATCATCCCAACTGACGAACTCACATTTTTCAGAGGGGTGGGTATACCACCAACCAGATAATTATTTGATGATTTCGGAGACGAATTCAAGAGGTCTGGTCTTTTGTTTATAGAACCAAGACTTTGCGGCATCCATGTTTTTCATATACACCCGTCATTGTTTAGAGAGATGTTGATGTTGCATGATATGATCATAAGATACCATGCCATAACAAGATGATGCAATGTGACGAATCTATGCGTCAACCACCTCCAAAATTTACCGGACATGGTTGATATGGATCATAGTAGCCAGTAGTACCCGTTGAAAATACAAAGGTTATGCATTTTGTGGTGTTTTTCCCGTCTTTGCCATTATATTTTGGTAGGATCTACCCTCTGGATCCCTCTGGAAATTTAATATAGCTATGGAAGCCATGGCCCAAAGAAACGGATGATATAAAGAATATACACATATATAAATATGTATATATATATACTATACACATTAAAAGTTGTGATTTTCCATAGCAAAAGTGCAACAATTTTAATGGTGCAGGCACCGGCGCATTGATCCTGAGATCGACCCCCTGCGCGGCAACGTTGCTTGGGCGTTTTTTTTTTCAATCGCTGGGGAATGGCGGCCTCGGTGGAGCAAATATGTGGTCAATATAGATGTGGGATGATCAATATGGGAAAATGTGGGTAAAACAATAAACCACCCATTTGGGAATAGTTTGTATATACCACCTATTTATGATGATTTGGGGGATGGTTTATGATTGTTTTACCCACATGATTGCTGGATATCAATGGAATATACATGGAATATTGAATATATATATATATATGGGAAAATCCCATTCCCCCAGTATTAAACACCTCCATTCTATGGTCACAAATATGCGGTATCATACCCTGCCTACATTCACTATGGTTTCTGGGGTGTGTTTAATATGAACGGGGGATGGGATTATTGCTGGTTGGTGTGAGAATGGGATATCTCTGGGTTCCACTTGTGCAGAATAAAATTATGTTCCCTATTGAACGGGACAATCAATTGGGAGTATACTAGCTGTATTCAGAGACACGACACTAGTCAGCATCAACATGGTGATTGTTTGTTTGCTTGGCGGAATTTGATTAATGGTGGGTACTGTAGTTGGCAAAAGGCATCCATCTAGCACGGAAGCCCACATGGAACCGCAAAGATGTGACGGCAGCATGAACCTATGCTCCCAGTCCACATGTTTCAGAGAAGCTATGCTGCAAACCAGCGTCCAACATCATTTTAATAATTTCAGTCATAGGTTATCCATGGTTCATAGAATTGGATGATGGGAAAATTTACAGGAAAGCCCTATATTTGATGGTAAAAACCATGGTTTCCGGTTAAGATTTTCCCCAACAAACCAATCCAATGAATGGTCATCCAATTGAGCTAGTCTAACTGCATCCCCTTCTGGCTCTCTTCGAGGCTGCAGGAGAGGCTGCCTCCGACAGAAGCCACAGGTCCAGTGATCTCCGGTATTTTGTCGAGCAGCTCATACGTTAATGATATATATATATATATCTCATGGGGATAAATGATAATAAATGGGGTATATGAACTGACTACGTCATGGGATATTCTATGGATTCTATGTTCTGTTATTCTCATAGATAAATTATGATGTTGCGACCTCACGGCGCGACGTGTTCCTGGAATGATGTGAATTGGATTGCAGGGATCATCCCCTCAATTCAGGTTAATGAACTAATATACTGTACTTTATCCAGATAGATGTCCCAAATGAACCCCTTTGCCTTGCAGCCCAACCGCAATTTCTTGGGTTTTAGAGTTCCTTTGTTGCGTTTGGGTTGAGTTCTGGTTCCGTTCCGGTTTCGGGCTTAACAACCAAACGACGCACCACCACCAGATCCAGAGATTGAAACACTACAGGCACTGCTAGTGTGACTATTCCAGAATATCATGTCATCGCGTTGAAATCAACCAGGGTCGGTTACTTGTAGCAGAGATGTCCGAAGTTCCTCGGTTTTGACGCTTGATTGACGAGTGATGCTCGTACTATTTGAAGAGCCAACAAGCAAAATAATGGCAAATGGATGCAAGCAATCAAGCTGGTTTCAATTAGTTCTACTATTCTGACAAAGACATCATTGGCTGAATATTGGCTGTTATCATGTGAAATCCATGAAGTATTTCAGCGATCAGTTTTGGTTTAAATGTGTTTTGTGTTCTTTGTTGGTAGTTTGAGGTCATGCTTTACTTTCCAGTGTTATGATGGAATCGTCAAATTTCCCGGGTAGCCCCGGGCAGCCTGGCACAGGCGAAGAGCCGAGGAAAGGTTGGAGACTCATTCTTTCATGAGCGTGGCAACATGGCGAACATGGCGAACAGCTGTTCCGAAGACCGGACGGCTCAACTCTTCGCAGTTGGCAGGGTGTGGTATCCTCACCCGTTGAAACTGTGACAGTTTCCCTCTTGGCAATGCATCAGTCAAAAAGAAGTCTCGTCAGCCACGCTTCCTAGATGTAGATGATGTAGACCCCGGCGAGGGATTTCTAAGGCCTTGCCAGGCATCAGTTGCACCCCATCTATATTCAGGATCATACAATAAAAATGGAAAAGTTGAAAAAGTTGGTACATCATTGGACTCAAGGTGTGTGTGTGTGTGTGTGGTGGTGTAACAGTGCAGCAATCATTTGGGTACCCATCCCTCCTGTGGCAGGTTGCACAGATGATGATGAACTCTCTGAGGGGCTGAGCGATGTGCAACGCAAAGGGTTGGATGCTCTAGGTATACGGGCAAGCGCTGGCCCGGTCGGGCCGGCTCCGCCAGTGAAAGATATTTTAAAGCTGCGGAGCGCTTCCGCATGTCTTGCTATATTAGCAAGACATGCTTGTACCGTTCCGCAGCTTTAAAATTTGTACGTATCTGGATCAATGGTGGCTGGCGTATGGTGGCGGATCAATGGTGGCAGGGCTGGCCAGGGAAGTTTTTTTGCCATCGAAACTGAGTTGAAGACAGGTTGATGCTTAAGCCACGGTGGCCGCACCGGCCAATGCGATGTAGGTAGGTATCTGAGTTATTGGGGAAATCGAAATCGATCACCACAGAAAAAGTTTTAATCAGCGATCCGTTTCAGTCTGCTGCTGCCTTCTGCAGTGTTTCTATGTCCGTTGCTCCTCAACTCTCAGGGTGAAGCCTCTGCCTCTGATTCTCAGAAACATGAATGGAGCTCGTCGAGCTGTTGTGCCCTCCTCCGAAGTCCCAGACTTCAGCAATCATGGTGATTCCTTGAAGTGGGGAAAGTTATGGCCGATATCAGACTTCGGACAGTTCCTTTGAGGTCAAGCAAGGAAAGTCAAACAGCAGTTTCAAGGTCTTTCAAAAAAGGCTGCGATGTCGCATCGTTTTGGAGGTGATCGAATGAATGTAACGAATGCTTCTGGAGCTTGATAGAGAGGGAGGATGAACTGCTGATGAACTATGTTTTCTTTTGTTTTCGCCCTACTGTGGAAACCACAAGAAAACAGTTTTTTGTTTGACTTTTCTCATTTTTACCTACTCTAGAGTACCTCTCAGTGAGACTAAAATGACTAAAATCCAAAGCCAATCCAAGCAGATCCAAACAGCCTGACACCACGTTGATATCGGCTCAGTGTCAGCTTGTGTGCGACGCCTTGCTAAAAGAGCGGAGCTGCCCTTAGAATCGGGGGAGTGATGGGAAGGTGCTGCTGGTGATGGGATGATGGCAGCAGAAAGATTACACTCTTGGCCTGGTCATATCTGGCCACTTGCTATGCTTTGCTGCTCAGGGCATGGCACCTGCTGCGGGTCGTGAGCTAAGAGCTGGGCCAATTTCTTGGGCCTGTTGCTGAAAACCAATGAAAACCCTTGACACCCTCCAAACATGCAAACATATTCAACAATTGCATGAATTTGAACAATTATGGTGGAACATGTTTGTGGTTTCTATTTGGTTGATTCGACAACATTTTGCTATTATACATATTGGACCAGAGAACTCAAACTTGAAGAGCCATTTCTGGTGGCAAAATTTGGTGTTTGTTGGTAATTATATACTCCACCTGTCTCCTCCCAGCCAGGTGTGGGCTATGACCTCGGGTCGTCCAGCCATGGATTTGAACAGAGGTAGCTGGTGGCCGCTCCCAGTTCCATCGGGTGCCCAGAGTCAATAGAGTAAACATGAGTAAATCCCAAACCACTATTTACTATTTACCACTATTTACTATACACTCATATAAGGATTATTTTTACTACATAGCCAATTATGATCAATTATGGACACTCAAATGCACGCATGATAATGTTGGGGGTGGTTCATTGTTGTTTTACTTACCACATCAGGGTCAGGGTATTCCACTCTTCGAGATGTTGGGGTATTTATACTAGGAACAGGGTATTAACAGCCAGAAAATGATGAACTTGGGTTTGACTGCTATGGCGGTTGCCATATCATCGGGGTTCGGGACAACGGGCTGTTATTCCTGTATATATATATATATAATGGGTTTTACTTCTTGACAGTTACGCGCAGTTTTTGCCAACATCAAAAGCAGTCCAAGAGGGAATCAACCTTTATAATCCTTTATATAGATGAGAGAGAACCTATACTTTTCCGCTGGTTTCCTGCAGAATTGCCATGGATTATCCAAGTTTTTTCTTACATGGTCATTCAAAGAATCCCTATCTTCCATTGATTTCCTCCTAAATTTTCCGTAGCTAACCATGATTTTCCACAGTTTCTCCTAATTTTCCATGCGTGATTTTACCGCGGGTTTTCCCTTGTTCAAAACCAGGCCCCCGACCAAGGTTCGCAAAGCACGGGGGAGCACGGCTCCGCTTTGGTGCTGTGCCTGGAGGTGCAACAGACCTCCACATATTGGTAAATTAATGTAAATTACCATGTAAATCCCATCCCCCAGCACTATAATATATTTAAACATGTTGTGAATATACGTGAATATCAGTATATAGTACTCACATTATCTTTTGGCTGGTCGACCTGCCTGCCTTCAGCTTCGCTGAAGCCTAGGGATGGCCATGGAGAGAGAAAGAGATAGATAGCTTGCAGTACCTCCAAATATGGGGAAAGTACCATATTACAACATGTGTGCAACTTTTGAATCCAATCCTAAAATAGTGGGAAGTTACGCTTTTGACTATATTACTAAGGTCATAAAAACAATGACTTATTTCAGAAAGGGCAAAAAAGGCTCGGAACAAACATACATCAATCATAAAAGATCAAACGCATACAAAATCATCCAACGGATCCTTAAAGAAGATCCATCAGTGGTTTGTATCAAGAATCCTGAGGGTCACACTGTCAAACTTTCAATAATTCCATGTTTACTCAAAAAATGCTATTGGTTGTCACATGTTGTAACCCCACAGTTACTTTTTGATTTTGCTAAGGGTTGGTGAAAACCCCTCTGCCATTTTTGCACCACCGGAAGGCGCAAATGTGAGCAGCAGCCAGGGCTTTGAGCTTAGGCTTTGAGTGTGCGGGAGTGACTGGAACAAGATGAACTGCGCCAAAATGTCTGCCATGTTCAAATGTTCACCCAGCTTGTTTCAGGTGTTGGCTCTTGCACTGGTTTACCCACAGTAAAGAATCCTGTCACGGCGCATCAATATGGCACCTCTTTTTGGTGCTTTGACGGACAAAAAACACCTCAAGACAGGAACTATCCTGCTGCCAAGCTGTGGATCAATCAATCAAATCAAATCAGTCAATCAACCACTCAATCATACTTAATCGATCGGTCCATCAATTAATCAGTGTGCCAATCAGCTAGGAGCTGGTTGTCTCCCTCAGTTTGTCTACCTTGACTTCTCTTCTTTTTGAAATTACAGCTATACATACCATGACATTTTGTCCTATCCCCTTCTGCCAACTATGGGCGTGCACCAGTGTAGTGCATGCCTGCTGAGGTATTGTGGTAAACCCAATCATAAACCTCCCATTGAGCAGGGTCTATACCAACCATTTGTGGCAAGCTTGTTGATACAACCCAACTAAATATACCCTAACCCAATATTGAACCATACCTCATTCACCCTGTATTATGTATCTATATTTCACCTCTGGACTAATGGCCCAGGTCCAAACTCTGCTGAACGGAAAGGAAAGGTGCCGTGGGGCTCCCAGCTGGGCCCTCCACATCCGTGATGAACATGGCCCTTCTTTGAACATCTCCTAGGCCTGCTCCAGCCAAGCACTTCCCCACGAATGCCCGAGCCCTTTTGTGTCAGTGGAAACTTCCCAAACAGTGATGTGCAGACTAGGACACTATAGGACTACTTTTCCTCAAAAAATGGCTTTTTTGGAGGGCCCATGACAGTCCAAAGTGAATCATCTCTATTCCTGCTGATAAAGATCCATTCCATCGTTTTTTTTTGCCTTGGCCATTCAGATTTGTTCAGGTCAGAATAGATCAGATCGCTGCTAAGGACGTTAGTGATGCCTTAGATGACTTGCTGCTGCACGTCCGGGGGCCCAGCTTGTTTAGGGAGGCTTCAAATTCACTGTCCGACCGAGTCCTTTTCTTTGTTTAACTTTGCCCAACTTCTGTTGAAATATGGCAACAATCTGAATATATCTGAATCCTTCCCCAGGGATCCGGCCTCGGCCTGAGGCGCGTGCGACGCTGAAGCAGCTTGATGCCATGAGGGCTCGACAGGCAGCATCCTCCAATCGTGAGGGTGCCACAGGCGCTGTTGGGTTGGGCTGAGTAGGTATGTAGGTATGCCATGGTATGCGTGGTTGAATGTAGCCAGTCATGAACTTGGGAAATTTGCTCGGGCCTGCGAGCGGCTCAATGTGATCACTTTGATGTGCTCTTTGACTGTTATTGATGGTGTTGCATGATTGCTTTGTCCAGAGAAAACCCGTAAGCTTTTCAGCATTATTCGGCAGCTGGAGGTAAGAGCAATCGGACAGGCCCTGCAATGAGAGGACTAGGCCCGCGGGCTGCCAGGGAAGCATACGGAAGCTGCTTTGACCCACCACCAGAGGTTCAATCTGGACCAAGACACCCTGGACACGCCCAGGTGGTGTGCGACCCCAGTTCTGGCGTCCGAGTTGCCAAGCTCACCTTTGGACAGGCTCGATTCAGGATGGATTATGATGGATCATGCCGTTTGGGTTCTGGGAATTACAACCATGGTTCTTGGCGGCTGTGCACCTTCCAGGTGTGACCCATGACTTTGATGGGTCAGAAGCATAGCCCAACAAACTTGGTCGTCCGTTGCTTTTAGCAGATTGCAGCAATGCGGCGATGAGTGGTGTTTGATGATGGTTCATTCTGTGTTGCCTTAAAGCTTGGTTCCAAATAGTTTCAGCGAGCTATTGATTTCCCATGTTGTTCATCACCAAAAAGTTGGATGACCAATATGTCATGATTTTTACTGATATTTAGCGAGTTTAATGATTTGATGTGACTGATAGGTGTTCAATTGGATCAAGCAGCTTGCCCAGGTTGTTCGACAGCGACGACGAGGATCTGGAGTCGACTGACAGTGAAGGCTTCGAGTTTGTCCACAACTTGGGGACAACACCAGGATGCTTCTCTACTCGGAAACATGATTTGGGTTCCTGGGTGGCTTTGTATCCACCTTTTTGGTAGAATTCCACTCATTTTGCCTAAAACTGCAGATTTTACATGATTTGACTATCCCCCTCCAAAAAAACAACAAATGCAGAATGACTGCAGCATATTTTATCATGGTAAAATCGCCCAACCGCAGCCGCAGGCAGCGTCGATTGGGACCTGCTCCACGGCGCGCGGAGCCGCCCCGGGCGCTTCCGCAGCCCGGCCGCGGAGGCCGCACGGGCGGCCAGTGCTGCAAAAGCGGCACCGTGCGAAGCTCAGGGCACCACGGGGGACCCCAACAGATTCTACTTAGAGAGATATGGCTATGCCTCAAAACCCTGGTACCATAGGTACCCTAAAATAGCTGGTTAATGAATGTTTATTCCCCCAATATGGTAATAATTAATAGGTTTTGACCCATCCCCATATGGAATATATGGAATGATATGTGGGTTTCCATAAATGGACGTACTGGTACCCCAAATGGATGGTTTTTAGTGGAAAAGCGGTATATCATATCCGCAGAGAGTCCAAGTTTCCCAACCTTGATTAAGTAGACGCTGATTCTTCTGAAAGTGTCTCAAGCAGCAAGCGTATTAAAATGAATGGTTTGGGGGTATCCCCATTTCAGGAAACCTCAATATCTTGTCATTTTTTTTAAAAAAGTGTCTAACTTTTAAGACCTGACATGTTTTTATATAGCATCAAAAAGCATCCCATTGCCTTGAAGGCTTCTGCCGTAAACCATACATAAGCATACCATTTTTGGAGACCTCCATGGACCTTCTTGAGTTTTTGACAACGTAGCATAAGACTGTGGATGGGGCATGCAATTTCTTTGAGTTTTGTGCTATTATTTATTTTATGACTACGGTGCTCTTCCAAAATCACTCCAGAGACTTTGAACATCACTGGTGTATATGATGGATGGTTGTCAGATTTGTGAGAGAAAAGCTGCCCAACGGACCAGACTGATGGGACTATGTAGTAGCTGGGCATAGATGTGGAACTTTTGTGATTTACGCCCATCTCTTGAACTAATTATGTGTATCATTCACATCATGTCCAAATCAATACACTTCACTTGAAGTGGTAAAATTACATATCAATGGTAACCCCAACTCTCACTGGCAAATTTTCCCTTTCATGACATCCTTTCATAACATGGCACCTTGCCTTGCGCCTAGGCTTCCCAAGCGCGGCTTCTCGATGCCTCCCCCTCGACCGAAGGCAGAACAGAAACCACGAGGCCGGGCTGGTGGTAGCGTGGACACACCTAAAACACGCATAGTTTTTGGTGGATTCTTCATGATTCTTCCATTTTGAATATTTTGATGCTCAACTATAGTCCTTAAGGATCCTTAAGGTGGCATTTCATGACGTTTGACAGAGATCTGGAAATTCCTGGAGGTACACCTGCCGGAGCTGTCCCTGGTGCATCTGGTGCCGGAGCCAAGCCAGCACCCAACCCTCAAGGCACGATGACTTCACGATGTCCATATTTTTCGGTGAGCCACCAGCCAGAACAGGAATTCAAGATCAGCTGAGAAAGATAAGATACGGGATACATGTTTGATATTGAACATTTGAAATTTGAAATTAGGAGCAGTAAAATTTAGATTTTCTCCAGGTTAATCAAAGATTGTTCGGATGAGCTTTTTAGAAAGGAACTGTGCTCCTTGGAATGACTTGGGAGTTGATACTGTACAGATCAGTTTGTCGAGTGAAAACACGATTATTGATGTCATGTTTAACTCACTTGATCGGGCTGCGTTTTTCAAACGCAGGGACATCCAATTTCATGACGTATTTACATACTTTTATACAGCATACAGTATAGCATACTTCGTGGCTGCATTGATGAGATGCGACATGCAGCTGGAACAATCAAGAATCGATGCCCAAGTCCGCAAGCTCCCTGGCAAACAGCAACTTGAAGACACTAACCCTGATCATTGCTTTTAGCTGGAGGGTTTGGATAAGACATGTTATTGAACAACCTACTGTCGGTGTTGTTGCCACAATGACCATCATGGGACAACACTTTCTATCCGAGACACTTTTTACGCTCTTAATATACTGCATCATGTTATGTAAAGTGTTTCTTCGACCTGGAGATTGACACAACCTGAAAGAACCTAACCAAAATGGATCAAATTTGGACTTGAAAAGGATCAATGATGCTCGACAAAACTGTTACTGTAGGTGGATGCAGTTTTACAATTGGATCAAACAAATCCACATCCCCTTTGTCTCTGGCTGGTGGTTTCCTTCTTTTCGACCTGATCCTCAGCCGTTGACCATAAACCCATTTTATCCCATTTTCTTGTTGGTTGTAAGCACCCTACAATGTGTCATGATAAAATTTGTCGTTAAATTACTCAATGTCCACGTGAGATTTTCAATCATTTTCTGATCTGTTCTGTTGATTGATCAGTTATTAAAAAAAGAAAACATGTTAAATGCATCAAAATTCCCATAAAATTCCCATAAATTCCCATAAGCTCCATTTTTTTCAGCTTGGGCCAAGAACTTCCCCACATTTCCCAAAAAAATGGCGCCATGGCGACTCACCTGGCTACCTTCCTTGATCTGGCTGGCCATGGCCAATGAGGAGCTGCCGTTGGGGACCGAGTTTCTCCGGCCTGCCTAATTTTGCTGGAGATTGGTGGGATGTTCATGGGGTTTTAAGCTTTTAACCATCATGGAATGGGCATGAATTGGCGGTTTAGTGTTGTGTGTGTGTGTGTTTGTGTGCCATGTTAGAGAAGTTATCAGGCGTGCGTCGCACAATGCGATGTTCGTATCATTCTACTGCGCATTGATTTGTCAGGGAGTGGCTGTCTTCATGATCTGTATTGGAAGATGAACTGGTTGGTGGTTTGGACATTTCCAACATTTTTCCATATATTGGGAATGTCATCATCCCAAGTAACTTTCATATTTTTCAGAGGTGTAGGTCAACCACCAACCAGTCATGGTTCAGGGGAAACATGCCCGCTGGATCGCAGTGAGGCCTTGGGAAACCCTGGAGACTGAGTGCTTCTGCTCAGCCGTGGATTTTAAGTGAGACCTGCTGGGAAGCCATGGAACATGAGCCATTTATTCTCTGGTAAACTAACATAGCTATTGAAAATGGTGATTTATAGTGGATTTTCCCATTAAAAAATGTGATTTTCCATAGTTATGTTAAACTACCAGAGGGTATGCCATTTATAGCTGGCAAATGAGCCATTGATAGTAATTGAGTTTAAGTTGATTTTCGCAGCTAGAAACCTCCATTTAGTTCGGGGATTTCCCAGCCAGCCATGTTTGATATACGTTTGATTAATAATCCCGTTTGATTAATAATCCCATTATAAACATTAATCATACATTAATCACCAATTCGTCACCATTAATTACCAACCATCATCAACCATCATCAACCATTTTATATATTAATTATTAACCATCATCAGCCATTATCAACCAATTATTAAATCACTATTTGCCCACTAATCACCATTGTCAACCATTGATTCAGTGAGTTTTGCATCCCAACCGCCGGAAGTTCACGAAAAAAGGCACGGGCCCATGAAGATCCGCGAGTTCGGACCTGCGGAAGGCCCGTTGATGGCCAGAGGCCTAGCTGCGGGTTCAGAGTTTCAGATTTGTTTATCAGCTTGTTTGTTCCATAGTCCATATTGGTCATATATGGTCATATATTATATTATATCTTATTTTACGATGTTCATCTATTTTCTATTTCGGGGGCATATGAATGCACAACTGACTCGTTTGTTGCCCAGAGGGATGAAACATTCACGCCATCATCAGGTTTGATTGTGATGTCAGTGACTGTGTTTGTTGCTGATTCTGATACTTGACTGTGGAATGCATGGCCGCAACTTATTGGTTTCACGCGAGGCATCACAGCTTCAGGGTTAGTAAAAGTAGGTTCCCAAAAGCATGACTGTTCCACTCTTGAGATACATTGAAAATTAGGCATCCAGCATTTTCGCGAGCTTTAGAGGTAACACTGCGACTGCGGGGAAACCGCTGATGGAACCCAGCACCTTTTCGAATATGATGCCTCCAACATAGCTCCGCCGTCATCTCTAAGCACAGCTCTCTCGCTGTTGGATCCTAATGGTATTGCATGGATGTTATGCATCATGGTGTGATACATTATTACACATTACTTACACGTTACCCTCTGGTAGTTTAGCATAGCTATGGACAATGGCCCATTTATGGATGGTTTACCTGTTTACCGTTTACCTATTATAAACATGTGATTTTCTATAGTTATATTAGATTACAAGAGGGTAGATCACATTAGTAAAGATTTGACTTCAGCCTGCTTCTGTCATGGCGGATTTGATGGAGTTCACAGCTCCCAAACTACTTGGCCCGCGGAAAGGACACCTGGCTGCACGCTGGAGGAACCGTTGAAACACTTGGCCAGCTGTGAGCCACCAACAGCCGTTGTGGCCGCATGCTGCAAGGAACTGAGCGAATGTTTCTGAGCTGCAATTGTTATGCTGCATTTTGGGGTGACACTTGAAGATGAAATGGAGATGCTGTCATTGAAAATGATTAATTATATAAATGATCATGAAAGGGAAAGTTTATGGAAGCTTCCATTATGTACCACTAGGACAATCATTTTCCAGGAGTCAGGAGTTCATTTTTGCCGCGCTCCTCTTGGCTTTGCCTCTGGAAACTGAGGTATGCCGTTGCCAGTCAGCAAGCGCTTCTGAGAAGGGTGCCCACCTGGGTTAAGTGGCTGCCAGCCCGTCATCGAATCTCCAAGCTACCAGTAGTTAGAAAAGATAAATACACAACCGGAAAATCACAATGAACGTAAATTACATGAGATTGTGGTCCGCAAAGGGTCTGACATGCTACATGCATTCAAGTGACCGGGAGAGATGTCAGGGGCCCGGCAGAGAGCACATGGGCACGGGCTTCTTGCGATTTGGCATGCGCTTCCTGGCGATTCCGGAGGAGGGTTGATGTTTTTGTGGGGGGATCCTACTGGAACTAATTTAGTTGATCTTAGTTGGCTGGGTGGGAGGAGAAAAAACAGAAAAAGCAGAAACACCAGTGTTGAGATTTTCACTTGAGCTGTTTCTGAACTTCAGAACTGATTCAGTTGGCTGGTTGCTTCCTAGGCCATGTAGCATTGCACCTGAAAGACGGCTGTCCCCGCGGTCACCGCCAGGGCGGCTGGTTACGCTTGTGTCCTCAAAGCATCCGCCCCCCTTTGGCTTCCCCTTCAGCCGCTGGCCTGGAGGTGGACCAGGAGAACTTGCCGCCAGCCTCAGATTGGTTGGCATGTTCGGTTTGGGCAGAAATGGCATACTGCTACATATTTTATAACATACATGTAATATACTAACACGCGATTTTTGCAATCACAGCAGCTGGGAGGCCGGCCCAAAATGTCAGTGGGCATACCTCTCCATCTCTCACGAGCATTCCTCCGATGGCAAACACGACTTGGACGCCCCACGGCTCTTGTGTTCCTTGATCTCACCGAAGCGTTTTATCGAGTTGTTCGGCCTCTCGCTGTAGGAGGCTGTTTTACTGATGAACACATTGCTGCCATGGCTGCCAAGCTCAAGCTTGATGCGGATGCTGTTCATCAACTCCATGAACAATTGCTTGAGCCCAGCGCCCTCGTTGAAGCAGGAGCATCGCCCGTGATCCAACGGCTGCTCCAAGCATTACATTCCAATACTTGGTTCCGCATAGGACAGCAAGATGACATTGTCCACACGACCATCGGTTCCAGACCGGGTGACAGCTTTGCTGACGTCATATTTGGTTTTCTGTGGGCAAAATTACTGAGGTCTTATGAAGTCATTCTTGAACAACATCACATCTTGGAACATGTGCCAGAAATCACATTTCCCAGCTTCCAAGCTCTTCCAGATGTGCAAAACCCAGTTTCCTTGATTCCTTTTGTCGGGCCAAATTGGATGGATGATTTGAATGTTTGCATCGCGGCAGATACCAATCTCGGTATTGAACGTAAGGCAGGAATAGCTCTCAGTATTCTCATTGACAAATGCCATGAATTGTACATGCAGCCAAATTTGGGGAAGTCCAAAACGGAGGTGATGTTCACATTTCGTGGCAATCAAGCTAGAACTTTCCGGCGGAAATATTTTGCTGCACAGACAACACTGCCTGTCATATGTGAAAAAGGAACTTATGAAGTCAATGTGGTCAGCAGATACCTCCATCTCGGAGGACTGCTACACCATCGCACTGTTGACAGGATTGAAGTTTCACGCAGACTAGCGATTGCACATCAAGCATTTTCCACTCACCGGAAAGTTCTCTTTCACAATTCCAGCATCCAATGGTCTAAACGCAAGGACATGTTTACCACCTTGGTGCTCAGTAAACTTGTCTACGGACTGGAGTCCTGGACGCTGCAATGTCAGAGATCCAAAGAGCAGTTTTTCAGCGGTGTCATGAAGCTTTATCGAAGATTGCTGAAGCTCCCGCATGATTTACATATTGATGATCTTGAACTTTTGGTTCGAGCTGGCATGCCCAAACCTGATGAGCTCTTACGTAGCTGTCGCTTGAGGTATTTTGGCACGATACACAATTGCGGCACTAGTTCACATTGGGGGGTTCTGCAAGAGGATGAAGCTTGGATCAGCTTGATTCGGGATGATTTAACATGGCTCTGGGACCAGATTTCCAGCACCTCCAATTTGGGGGAACCATTTGCGCATTATCCAGTTTGGCAAGATGTGTTGGTTTTTCATGGAGGATATTGGAAAAAGTTGATCAAAAGGGGAATTGCGCATGCCATTGCGCAACGTGAAAACTACCACACTGCTCTCATTTTGCATCAAGAAGTTGGTATTTTGCTATATGACCAGGGCTGGGTGGCAAAACTACCAGCAGCCCATGAACAAACCAATCCGATTGCCTCTTATGGCTGCATGCAATGTGAAAGCAGACATTTGACGCGCGGTGGAGAAGCAGCACACATGTTTCGTAAACATGGCAGAATTGCTCCAGCACGATTCTTATTTGCAGAAACGCATTGTCCAGCATGCCTGCGCGAGTACCATACGAGAGCCAAGGTGCTTGCACATTTGAGACATGCGACGCGCTGCCGACACACTCTTGTAGGCAGGCATTCGTCATGTCAACCAGCCCCTGGCACAGGCTCCATTGTTGACTCTGACTTGGCCGCACGAGTGGATGACTCATTGCCGTTCATGCAAGCTGAAGGGCCAAAGCTTCCACCAGGACGACTGCAAGAGTTTGAATCGTATGACATTCGTCTTTTGGAAGACCTTTATTTGAGAATGCTAGATTGTGAGAGCACAGCTGATTTGGAGGAGATTCTGAAGGATGAAGTACGAAAATACCCCATCAGTTGGACATTGTGTTACAAAACTCTCGCACAATTCCTTGAACAGTTCACTGTGGAGGATGCAGAGGTTTTGCCATTTTCCTTTCATGATGTTCGACAATGTATCAAAACGATGCTGAATGTTGACACCTGGCCATTTTTGCGTCAGACATGTACCAAGAAAGGTGCGCGCCTATCTGGCGACATTTCGCACTGGGAACATTGGTGTGGCGACCTTGCTTATCAACATGAGACTCCATGGAGCCAAGTACAACCTTTGCCACGTTCTTTGAGCCGGCAGAAGGTTATTCTGCATGCTTATGCAGGGCGCCGTCGTCGAGGAGATATCGAATGGTATCTTGACGCAGTTGGCCGCCAACATCCTACCTTTCAAATTTTTGTGGCTTCTGTTGACGTTGTCATCGATTCTATCTATGGTGACATTTCGAAGATTGCCACACGACAGTATTGGATTGGTCACATCATTCAAGGGCATGTTGTTGGATTCATTGCTGGGCCGCCATGCAACACTTGGAGTCGAGCACGACACCATGTGCTTGACGATGCAAGAGGGCCACGTGTTGTCCGCACACCAACAGAGCCTTGGGGTTTGGCATCCATGAGCCTCAAGGAATTGGGACAAGTTAGCATCGGCACGTTGCTATTGGGCTTTGCATTTCAAGGCATGGCGGCTTTGACAGTGAGGTCCGGTACGGGATTTGTGGAGCACCCGCGTGACCCAGAACAGGATGACATGGTAAGTATTTGGCGGCTGCCGATCCTACAGCTCCTCCTGAGATTGCCGAACATGCGCTTGGTCCACCTCTCGCAAGGGTTGTTCGGAGCGCCAACTGCCAAACCAACGACTCTCCTTGTCTTAGGAATGAAAGGACTGGAAAAGGAGTTGAATTGCCAGCGTGTATCTGGACAGCTGCCAACCGGAGTCTCAGTAGGACGTGACCAGAACGGCCAATTCAATACGGCGCCGCTTAAAGAATATCCGCCGGCGATGTGCAGGGCCATTGCACTCGCCATGCACGCAGACATCATCAGCACGGAGTGCGATGATTGTGCACTTCCAGCCGAACTGACACGCAAATGCACAGAAATGTCAGAGAAGCTGTTTGGTGCTTACATTGGTCATGATGGATGAATCATCATTTTTGGCCATTTTTTTTTCTCTTCTCAGGGAGGAGAGTTGGTGCGAATTCACAAGGAATCTGCCGCAGCGAGACTCGCATCTATGAGCAGGGTGTGAAAAAAAAAGTAATATACTAATATAGTAATATACCTATATAATCTACATATATCTATCTATCTATCTGTTATCTATCTATCTATCTATCTATCTATATATATATATACATACACCGAAAAATGTCAAGAACTCGAATTTTAGTGGTGAACGAGAGAATGAATAATTGGAATGTATTGGAATTGGGGGATGCAGTTTTTGGACAAACATGGGCAAACCATGGCAAACCATTTTTTTGGCACGAAAGCATTCTGTTGTTGGCATTTCTTGGGACATAAATGGATGTGATCAATCACCATATGAGGATATAGAATATCATCCCTTCATGTTTGAATTCGCCAGTGTGACATGCATCAACATAATATCAACATATTGAACGAACACCTTCACAGCAGTCCTATAAATATACTAGTAAGAAATACTGCCTCAGTGGTTTGATTTATGTGTTCTGGTGTTTTCCATCCCGCCCATGTTCTGGGGACTGGGGATCAATAGCTCACACTCACCAGCACCCATGTTATGTGTAGGAAAATACTGAAACAGGTGTGAAAGAGTTGGATTCCAGAATGAACCATCATACTGTTTTCATTCCCATAACTGGTTTCAGATGTTTCAGGGCACGTAGGGGAACCTTAAACAGCAGGATTTGTCCCATCCTTGGTAACGTCATCTAAAAGCCATAGCTTCCTGGCTTCCCTGATGTCTGGAACATGCTTACCCAATCGTATCAAACACATCTTAAAATCATTTAATAAAAATCCTGAATTTGGCAATCTAGAGGGATTCCGGTGTTATAAGCATAAAATTCATCAAGATCAAAATCCATGGTTTCCCGAATCTCAGGTGGGTGGAAGCCGCTGAGCCCACCATCCGAGCCTGGGACGGAAACCCATACGGCCCATTAGATCATAATCATGGTGGGCTCAGATTATATTATCTATATTTTATCTACATGTATGAGATGATAATTATATATCTATAGATATCTACCATTATCATATTTATATATCTATAGATGATAATTATCTATGAGATTATTTATAGATTATAGATTATAATTATCAATGGTCGGAATGATTATGATTGGGAATGATGAATATTGCCTGTCAAAGATGTTTAAGACCTATCTCAAACTGGTGGGAATGAATTGATTATAATTATGAACAATAATCAATGGGAATGATTAATTATGGTTCAGAATTATAATCAATTCCCACTTATAATGATAATTTTAATCATGGATATTAATCATAATTAATAACACTAATGGGAATTATTCTCCACTATAAATGATAATGGGAATGATAATGTTAAACATCCAACCATTTGTTGACACCTTTTATGCGATTCGTCGTAATGAGCATTAGATATCATGGTTCACAATAACCATCACATATAATCATGATAATCAGATTATAATCAGAAATAATCATGTAATAACAATAACAATCAGCTTATATTTTTAATGAAATAATGGCGATTATATGATGTTGATGAAAGCTATTAGGCTATGATTCTAGATGATTCGTAATCAATAGAGTTCACGTAGACCATTTGTCCTCCTACAATGGCAGCCATGGCCGATTGATATAGAGATAATGTACCTGTCGAACATTGGGATTTGCCATAGCCATGTTGAATTACCAGTCGAACATGTAGACTATATATATATAATGGATATGCATGGATATGCAAAAACATATTGATCATATTATATGATATGTATTGGGTGCGAGTACCTAGATGCAATCCATTGGATAAGGTCATAACAAGCATATACATTTGCACGCATATGTATATTTGTATGGCTAGGTATGCCTGTATGGGTTGGTGATGCAGTGACTGGACTGAAAACCCGGTAAAATTACTGAGGGACAGCATCAGCAAAAGATAAGACATATGCGATTTCAGTGATCAAGCCTGTGCACTTTGTTGTCAAACCAATTGTGGTTTGTTCGGGGTCCCTACTATTGGAAGAATGTGCACGCTCTTGTACAAAACTAAAACTCGAAGATCAGCTGGGATTAAACTTCCAAGATGACAAGTGCTTCCATTTGAATTAGGGCGGATAACCCGTTCGGAAAAGACATGCAAAAAGTTGCCGCTGACACAGTTGAGTGTTTGGCAAAGAAAGAAACCATCAACCATGGGTGCAGCTGGCGAGTCTTAGAAGCATTTCAATACAACACATGTAGATACATGTAGCTGTTTCATGAGTTCCATGGATCGTGGGACCCTACAACCATGTAGATTTCATTCTGTTTGAACCAGAAAAATATGTGGATAGCGGGGTTTCCGAAGAATCAGTTCCTCCAGGTCCAGTGCTTGAAGATCAGCACCGCTTTTCGCCGGGTGAGACTTGGCTACAGCTGGTGCTGCCGTGTTTGCCGCGCGGACGGTTAATGAATCATCCAATGTTTATAGCGTGTGCCATTCTGATCTATACCATATATATATATATATATATAAATTATACATATATATATATATATATATGCATATCACTTTCAACGAAAATGCGATGTTACACTTCAGCGTTGAAGACCAGGGCATGGATGTCTCACTTTCAGGAGGTTTGAAACAGGTCAATCCAGTGCAGAGCCACCAAGGACAAGGTTGAGGTCATTGTTGGAGAGTTTTTCAGCGGCATTAAACATGAATCGGAGGGGAACGCGCATTTGGTGTTGTCACTTCTTGCGATTTCTTTGAACAAGATGAGGTGCTGATGGATTTTCAGGATTTAGTGCTTTGGTAACTTTGATTCCTGAAGATTTGCCACATGTTTTGATGTTTTAGGTATGTGTTTCCCAAATTTCCAGTGAATGATGGGACATCGCTTCACCATGAGTTGTCAGGCCCGGGCCCCGACTGGGTGAGTGGCTGCCGTGTCAGATCCAATCCTTAGGGGATTGGCCCGGTACGTACCATATCTTCGTTGAAGCTTGGCTTCGAGGGTTGTGACGGTTGTGACGGTTGTGGGAAGTGCTATGGCAGTTTTGGCATGACAAGTTGGGTGATGAAGACAGAAGCTGAATGAAGCTGAAAGGTCTTCATTTGTTCTCATTCCGATATGTTTCATCATTCTCATGGTTTACACACTGAAGGGATGTGTTTGAGACAACTCAGCGTCCCTTCATTCTGCTTTTCTAGATCACTGCTGAACCATTTTCAGCACCCTGTGAAACAATCCGCTGCTGCCAAGGAAAACCATGAGCGGAACAACATTCCCATGTGGTACTTCCGATCCTTGGCGATTGTCACATATATATATATTATATTTTCACACATGTTCACTTTGAAAGCCAGCGTGCAGTTGTGGCCATGCTCCAATGGCCGCACCAAGGAACGCCCGGAGATGACGACTGGGCTTAGCCTCGCGGAAAAGGATGTCAACAGAAATGGCCAAGCGCAATGATTCAGCTTTTGCCAAGTTGGTGGATGAAACTCTGCGTGGATTGTCATAACTGTATATAACTGTGGTCAGTTCCTTTGGCAGATGATGATATGCACCATGATGCATCAAGACCTAAATCATAGGCATCATATTGTTTCGAGGTCTTGATCCATGGGATGCCTGGAACTCAGAAATTCCAACACCCCAATACCATCCATTGAGTGCGGCCGAGGAAAGGAATGATGCCTCCAAAGGCCAACCCATGTACAGTATGGTACTTGTACACTTTTCTTTTGCGGTATGTGTTTCTTCTTACTGCATATATATATATATTCTGCATACGTATATACATATATATATATATATACATATATATATATATATATAGTAGCTCATACCGACAGTAGGACCATGACCATCTCCATAAACGCGTGACAACATCCCAATCTTTCCAACAAGCATCGGCCAAGGAAGGATGAGGAGCCGAAGCCTCGGAAGCTGAAAGCTGGAAGGGAACTGCCGTTGGTGTTTAGCAAGTTGCCCTTCGATAATCAAACATGGCAATTGAAAATGCACCATAAATGGAGGTATTACATGGTATTAATATTATTAATAGGAACATCCTCTATAAACGGGGTATTGTCCCTTGCCACGTTTAATTGCCAGAGGGTATGTAACTAGTCCACGTGTGTCAGTTGGTTGCCACTGTGTGGCTCGCTCAGTGAGGTTCATCCGGAACGAGTGGAACCCCGTGGCACTGAAATTGGCTGCGGCTTCCTTTCATGTCATAGCAACTTGGGCGCTTGCTCTGGTGTCATGGGGAAGGACATCCTTTGATGTAATTTTTGCTTTGGTCTGGCATTCTTGACAGCTTTTTGGTGTATCATGGAAGTTGCAGTGGAAGTTCCTCTTCAGCTCATGCCAGTTAATCAGAATCAACTGAAACAAAAGCTGCCGAGGGAACCCACATGGCAATACAATATGGAACATACGGAACCTATTGGCCACATTTCCCTTGTTTTGCTTCTGTGCCGATGATTCGAGTATGCTGGTTATCCTAATGATGTGATGTTCAAGTTCATACATGATCAGATATTCATGGATATTTCTCCATCATTAGCGCTCCAGCAAAAGTACACCACTATGAAATGTCCACAAGTTACAGGCACTTTCCCCTCCAGTCAAGTAACATACAATTATATAATTATGGTCAATTATGGTTATTATAATAAATATATATATATATATAAATTCTAGCAATTTCTTACCCATATTCCAGGGCCGAACACATTCCATGCCAAAATAGCTGGGAAATTTCCGAAAATTGCGCAGACCCGTTGAAGGTGTTTTTTTTTCCTGGCACGTGCTATGTCCATGTGCACATGTTCTTCCCTAAAGGAGATCCTGCATTCAACCATTTTCTAGAAATATTGTAATGATGGTGAACTTTCCAAAAATGGCATAGTAATGTTATTATTAGCAATCTAGTTTTTATTTCAGGATCTCAAACCCCAATTAGAATTTCATAAGCTTTAAGCCTATGTCCTGGCGCGCTTAGCTGGCCTTTCGCCAGCAGCGGCGCCATCCCCTTTGTGGCTCCGCAAAGAGCTTTGAACAACAGGCGTGAGGGATTCCCACCACTGCCAAGACCAAGACTCCACCGATTGAATTGCTACTTTTCGAGACCTAGAAGTTCCATTTGGAACCGCCTTCCCCTCTTCATCAGCAAAACAGCAGGCACGGCTCGCCTTGCCCTGAAATTTGTACCCTTTGGGTAAGTGAACTTGAATGAATGGGGATTGCTCCTTTGGGACGCCCCAATGGCTACGGCAACATGGTGGGATATTTATTTTAAATCAGGATTCCCTCGCTTCTCACGGACACCAACGTGAAAGGCCTCCTTTCGCGGTTCACGAACCTCCGGAACAGCATGCCCACCATCATCTTTCGCGTCTCCATCCTGCGTGGATGCGGCACCATTGCGAGATGACTGAAGCACCAATCATTCCAATAAGATTTCCCCTGAAATTATTACCTTTGGAGATTGAAACGTGCCGTATTAGTAATTCGCCCTTGGTTTCCACAATTTAAATCTTGCGCCCAAAAGGTTCGCAAGTCGAAGTTGATTCGTTCAATCCCTAAAGGAACCATATGGTTGATCTCCCCGAAATTCTAGTGAGTAACAGACTTGTAAAACCCCAGTGGTCCTGCTCGACAATGGCCATTTGCTCATCTTTGTTTTCTTCCACCTGCGGAACAGTTACTTTATATAGTAACTAAATATACATATTATTATATATATGTGTGTTTATATATATATATATATATATTACATATTATATATATTAGGTTTTTTGATATGATATATATATATATATATATGCATATATATATATATAAATATAAATATTACATTTATAAATTATACATATATATAATACATTAATATTGATATATATTGTACATATTATATATATATTACATATAATATTATATTATTAACATACATATTCAAATTGTACATATATACATAATACACACACATATATATATATATTAGATATATGTTTTACATACAGATTTTAAATTATACGTATATGTATATATATATTATACATTTATATTTATATATACTTATTTATTTATATTTATCCCCTACCTGCAAGGTGAAGGCCTCTAGATTTTAACAAAGGTCGGTGCTCCCTTGTTCCCTCCAGATTTGAACAAAAGTGCCAGGTGAACCCATGCCAGAGAGAATGCCAGAGAGAAGGAGAGACTGAATGTTAGAATATATGCCAGAGAGAGAAGCAGAAAGATTGCCAGATTGCCGGACAGAAAGTCAGAAAAGATGCCAATGGCTCAATAGATGCTAGATAGAAATCTAGAAATAGAACGCTGAAAAGAATGTCTGAATAGAAGCCAGATAGGGTGCCAGAATGAATGCCTGAATAGATGCCAGATAGAATGTCAGAATAGATGCCAGATAGAATCGCCGAATGAATGCCTGAAAAGATGCGAGAATACGCACCAGCAAGTATATCAGGCAGAAAGTTGTTGCCCGAAAGAATGCCAAGTAGAATATCAGAGTATCTGCCAGAAAGCATGCCAGATAGAATTTCAGAATTTATCCGGTATATATATATATATAGTATATATATAGTTATATATGTATATATATATATACAAATAGAATAGTACACATATATATATATATGTAGATGTGTATGCCAACTTCCAGCATATGTACGAATAGTGTTTCAGGGTCGGGGCCAATCGTAGTAAAATGTAATACAGTTTGAAACTTTGGTTTTCCTGTGATTTCGGCAAATGTCATGCCAACAATTACACCAATACACATGTGTTTTCAGGGCTTATTATTGGTCAAATAATTTAAAGTCAAATGCAAAATCTGTTACTCGAACTACCATATCTACCTCAGCTGGTTCTGGGAGCGCTGTGTCATCTTCTTGGAGAACACACATCTCAGCCACCATCTCCTGATACTCGTCGTCATCATGTTCGCCTTCCAACTGCTCATCTCCGTCCTCATTGAAGTCGTCCATGGGCTTTTCATCCTCGCCCTCGCCGTCCTGGGGCAGGAAGGAATAATATACCATAGAAATATAAGGTGGAAAATTGTGATTCTTTCTAATATACCCTCAGTTTTTTGTGGTCTATTTCACAGGCTGTTCTATGAAGCTGCTTTGGGATTGGAAAAAATATCCATGAAGCATGCGTGTCTAGAAGGTCAAAAGCTTGATGGACGACTACTAATACTGGATGTTGTTTCAACCCAGATCCTTGCATCTTTTCCTTGGAACTTTCTGAGGGAGACTTTCCAAAACAGAGGAGATATGATCTTGGGGAGATCCCACGTGTTTCATGAAAAGCTCCGCCCGTCGTTTGTGATCGAGCTTTTGGTGGCCACGGAGGTGCAAATCACTGCACAGTGCATACAGCAAGCCTGACTTGATGCCGTAGATACCGTGGTAGGCGACAAAAGTGGAAATGGTCATCCAGTCTCCCTGCATTTTCCACCCCAGTCGACGACAACCTGCCAGGGCAATGGGCTGAGTAACGGCTACCTCAAGCTCTGAGATGTCAGTCAAGGGGATTTCCACCACCCGGGCACGATCAAGAGCCAGGAGGGTCAGCGCATGTTCATCATCTTGGAAGTCAAGGAAGTCCATCTGGAGAGCAGTGATGGCGTAAGGACCTGCAACGAGGGTCATGAAGATTTGGTCAGACTTTCTGGGTCCTGCGCAGAACCTGAAGACAACGCCTGTGCTCAGCAATCCGCATTTCCAAAGCTTCTTGAAAACCATCTCCACATTGAAATTCTCATGGTTGGTGTCCTCCAACCAAACCTCATGCAGAACACGTAGCAACTGCAAACGGTAGCTGAAAATGTGAGGCTTCGTCAGGTCACCATCCGCTTTCTTCCTGGTCAATCCGCTTGAGTTCAATCCAAGTGAAAGGTCGGTACACCTGGAAGAATCAAACACTTGCTTCTTCACTGTTTTTCCGGGCAAAGGTCGAGACCAATCGGAGCTTTCAGGGATCAAAGTATCAACTCCAGCAATTCTCCTGCTGCACGACCTCGCAACAATGGAGTGGATGTTGACTGGAGTGGTGACCTCTTGCTTGGAGAACCTCCGGCACGCATCTCGCAAATCGTTGAATGTCATCTCGCACGGCACTGATGTCAGAAGGGATCCAAACAGCTCATGGGTGATGCCACATACAGAGTGGATCACTGACAACCAGTAGTCATCACGCGAAGCCAAGCGAGCATCAAAGTTGTTGGACCTGAAGTTGCGTGGTGTGATCACCATCACTTCTTTATGTTGAGAGAGTGATAATTACACACATTACTTTTTTGTTGGGAACCCCATTTGGCTATGAGTCCGCGCTGTTCCATCGGTGTGGAACGAAGGGTTTTCGTGACTGGTCTTGTTCCGAATTCTTGGAATGTGATGAAATAAAAGCTGTACATTGACATAATGTTGAAGCTACTACCGCTGGCTGCAGCTCATTTCCACTTCTCATCTGCGCGGCATCCTTGTTGTTCACCTGTTCAACGCAGGTTTGCCTTGCATGGCTAGTGCTCGTGCACTAGCTAGGACATATCCGGTAGCCAGCCTCACCCACTGGCTACTATGTGAAGCTGTCCACTCAGCTTCAGACCTGTCACACAGGTACATGGGTGGTCCGGGTCTGGAACGGGAATGGACAGGTATGGAACGGTGTCTGGAACGAAACGGACCACTCCAGCACAGCCCTGAAAAACCACGCAGCACATCTTTATCAAAATTTTGGCAGTTTGGAGCAAGGGTAGCGCAGCAAGCAGTTCTTAGACTGCGAGCTGGCAACAGCCAAGCACATCTCTACCATCAAACATCACAGCTGTGCCACAGAGGGCAGCAACTGTAAGTGGTGCAGACGAAAACCTGCCACAGGTTGAGAGGGAGGGAGGGTTACAAGCAATCCTTAGACTGCCAGCTGACAGTAGCCAAGCACATCCCTACCATCACACAACAAACGCTGCAGGCACAGACTTGCCAACACAATCACAGGGCTAGGGCTCGGGCATAGTAAACTTGCATGTCACACTCATGTATGTATGTGCGCTCAAGCATGAGAGTACACATGTGAACGACTGCACATATTCATATATATATATATCTGTTTGCATACATATTATACATATATATATATATATATCACAACGTATGGATCGAGGTATGGAACATAGGTATGGAACGGATCCAGTGACAAGATAACTGGCACATGTAGGGCTAGAAACTCAGCCACCACAAAGACTTCCCGAAAGCATTGAGCACGGGTCCAGGAGCATGCTTTGTGCAGAGTGGACTTTGGAGACAATGTGTCAATGTTTTCCGTGATGAACGACCACAAGGATTGCATTTCCGTCATCAGGTCTTCTCGATAGCATGGTTGCGTGGCCAAGATTATCTTCCAAGGAAACGATATGTGGTACTGGTGGACTTCATTCAAGTACCCCAGATGTGCAAGCAGTAAGGAGCTGTGGAAACCGCGAATGTCTTCAGCATCCTCATCACCACCTATGGCACCAATGTAGTCCAAACTTTCCCATGTGAAAGATTCAGCCAGGGTTTTCACCATGATCCTCCGCACGCGTTTCCCACTTGCCAAGTCCATGGCATGCACGAGTGAAGCCTCGTCCTGGTTCTGCACGTCCGAGACCTGGGCCAAGAAAAGACGTTAATTCCCGACAAGAATGGTCAGTGAAAGCCCCAGGACAAGTAAAAAAAAACATTCAGAGGAAACAGCAATAGAAAACATATGGGTCCCATAAAGTATCAGGTGAGGTGCAAACTTTCCGACAAAGATTCGGGCTTGCTTGAAAATGCTGATCATGGATCGCATATAGTTTTGGTTCTGGTCATCACTCAGTACCTGATCCACATGTCGAATCAAGTGTCCAGTGGTGGGATCCGCGTTAAAAAAAAATAGAATTGATTTCCTGAGTGAAATTGTCTTGTTTGGCAGAAACAAACCATGAGCCTGCCAGCGAATCTTTTTGATCGAGTAGGACCGCTCATCGGTAGCATCCTCCGAAGTGGCCAATGTGCCTGTCCAAGGGTTGTCGCCAGCCTCCCACATGGCATACAGCATGACCATTGTTTCTACATGCCAAGCCCGATCCCAAGCTTGGGCATGGTCAATCCATGCACCCCACCTGACATCTTTGCATTCCGTGCTCTGGACGTGGAATGAACTAGCCCGGTGTGCCAATGCACAGATGGCTTGGGAAGCTGTGAAGCTGGCAGGGTCACATCCCAAATCTCGAGCGATGCCGGGCATGAACATTTCCAGAATTTCATGGTCAGGGTTCCTTTTCAATTCATCAATCAACCGCTGTTTGGACTCCTTCAAAGCTTTTCCAAAACGGGACGTGGCAAATGGAGCCCTGTTTGAGCGGAAAACCTTCATGAACTGCTTCAACTTCGTCTTGGCCATGCTGTCGGATGCCAATGCCATAGCTTGCTTTCGTTGGAATTTGTGGGGAAGATCCGGCCAGAAACATATCCAGTTACCAGTGTGGGCCAGGTGCTGAAACATCAAGAAGACCTTGTATGCCCAAAACAGCTGAGATCAAATCAAATTCCTGTTAGCCAAGAATCCTTAACAAAAAACATATAGTGTCAACGCTGGATTAATAACCGCCAGGCCTGTTTACTTGGGGTGATAATTTCCGAAACACTATTTAGAAAGTAACCCTGCATACAATAAACCCACCTTAGGTTATTTATCCCGGGTTGACAAATGTATGTATGTTACAAATATTATATGTACATCTACATAGAGAGTTTTGACCATTTAATTACGATTAGTCTTTGCGAAAAGCGAGAAGGTACTAAGTAAAATGCTGTGATCTAACTGTCTTACAAAAGGACATCAGTTCCCTCGTCGCCACTGAAAGTCAATCTGTAAAAGGCCTTAGGGTCCAGATAGAAGTCAGGGACTCGGCAAATCTTGTCAGCATCTTCAGACCACAAGAAGTGACATGAACGCTCACATTCCATGCCATGGGTCAGAAGGAGGAGCTCCTCTTTGATCAACTTCTCCCGAGCACATGAACCACGAGGATGCAAGAGGTTGGCAGGTTTGCAGTGATTCATTTTGAAGCCAGCGGGGAGTAAGTAAACCAGCGCATTCCCAAGAGCAAGCAAAAGGTTTTTGGTGGTCTGTCTGTACTCCCGATGTCCCCATGTTTCAGAAGTCGTCAGCAACTTGGCACCAGGGTCTGGTATACATCCTTTCAAGGCAGCGGACAGGCTGTCAAGCACCTTCCCAGCGTCCATGCCCGAGCCACTTTCCGGCACCAACTGAGTAGGGGCCGGAATCAACCGCCCGCCAATCTTCAAGAGGATTGGCAGTACCTGGCCAAGGGAAAGACAAATGTTACCAGTTGAACGCAGCATAGACATTTCCACCACTCAGTTCTGTCCGTGACTGGTGAAACCGTTGGACATCTCTAAGTTCTCTTCTCTATCACACATAAGTAGTTGAAGTTCACCGAAGAATAAGGTTTTGAGGAAAGCCCTGCCTGTTGTTGACAGACCCTGCTTTCATCCAGTGTAAAGTTGATCACCTTGAAGCCATACTTCTTTGTCTCCGTTGCAGCCAAGTGCTTCTCAATCCAAACGCTACACATCTGGAGCTGTCGAGCCACGAACTCCGTGCTGGCTAGGTTGGCTAGTGCTGACCTTTCACCAACTATCCCCAAACGCTTCAAGGATACTTCATGGCGTGTGGTCACATAGCCACCGCCACGCGCCAAGAACTGCTTGCAAAGAGCTTGTCGGACACAAGGATTCCCCTTGCGCCTGGAGGCACGCATAAACGGGTGAATCTTGCTGCGGAGGCTCGGATCCGGACACTCACTTTGAAGAATGTCTCCATCGATCAAGGAATTTTCTGTGCACTGGCACCAGAGGTGTACGAGTCTTTTCACCATACGGTTGAACGGTCGGTTGTCAGAATTTTCAGGGGCCAGGAGCAGGCATGTCATGACAAAGTTCGCCAAATCAATTGTCTGATCGAAGTCCGCAAAAGAGCGCTTTTTGAACCTTTCGTTCCGAGAGGGTAACAAGATACATACAGTATATATATATATATACACACTATATTACATATATGGCATCTAAGTATGTATGTATGTATGTATGTATGTATGTATGTATGTATGTATGTATGTATGTATGTATGTCACTATGATACTGTATCTATGCATGTACGAATGTATGTGAATGTATTGATTTTTTGATGTATGGATGTATGTGTATGTGTATGTGTATGTGTGTATGTATGTATATCTGGATGGGTGGTTGCATGCAATGAATGAATGCATGAATGCTTGAATGAAATGAATGAATGATGAATGAATGAATGAATGAATGCATGAATGAATGAATGAATGAAGGAATGAGTGAAATGAAGTGAAGTGAAATGAAATGAAATGGAAATGAAATGAAATGAAATGATTGAATGAAGGAATGAAGGAATGAAGGAATGAAGGGATGATTGGATGAATGATTGGATGAATGATTGAATGAATGAATGAATGAATGAAGGAATGAATGAATGAATGAATGGAATGAATGGAATGAATGGATGAATGAATGGAATGAAGGAAGGAATGAATGAATGCATGAATGAATGAATGAATGAGTGAAATGAAGTGAAGTGAAATAAAATGAAATGAAATGGAAACGAAATGAAAAGAGATGAAATGAAATGAATGATTGATTGAATGAAGGAATGAAGGAATGAAGGAATGATTGGATGAATGATTGAATGAATGAATGAATGAATGACTGACTGAATGAATGAATGAATGAAAGAATGGGTGGATGGATGGAATGGAAATGGACATGGAAATGGAATGGAACAGAATGGAATGGAATGAAATGGAATGCATATATATATATATTTTATGTATAGATCTATTTATATTTATTTTAGAGGTATATGTAAAACATATTTATATTATATAGTCTCTCGATAGGTTAGTTGATCTTCAACTGCTTCCAAAAGTTCATACCCATTTTTTTAAACACCCCCTCCTTGGAAATCCGACATCAACAGTTGATAGCACAAGTTTCAGCTCTGATTTGGTGAACTCGCCATTCACCACTTCAATCCAGCAAGCCTCTTCGTTGGGAAGCAAGCGAAATGTTTCCGTGATCAAGGCAGCATCACCCAAGCCCTTGAAAATCTTGTAGGCGCACTCCAGCAAGGGCCTAGCTAAGCCCTTCCCCGCAAGCAAAATGGCCAAGGCAGACACCAAAGCAGGAAGTGTGGTCACATCCAAGGGAAAGCATGACCGAAGGTTTTTCACCGAACCACGATACCCCGACCGTCGTCCAACCTGGAGGAGGAGAAAATGTCCACTAGAAAAACAAAACCAATGAATTTGGTGACATGTTTTTTCATGTTGTTGGAAAATTATCACTGGCATTAGAAAGATACTTGAGGGCAACAATTTAAATTTACAAGACTTCCCCCATATGTCTTCATCAGATGTCCCCGTCCCAAGAGAAACAGAACACTGTGGCCCAGAAGCATGGCCATTGGTAAAGCCCCAATCCCAGAGCAGCGGTAACATCATAGACTCATACGACCGGCTGAACCAAGCATAGAAGGGTGTCTTGAATCGCCACCATTCCGAACAACTGAAGAAGAGAACATAGCCATCCGCTGCATCTCCACTATGGGCCACCTTGAACAAGCCGATAAGAGATCCTAGCAAACTTATTTTACTGGGATAGGATTGAGTGGAACCATGATTCTCACATATTGGGCTTGGATGCTTATAATTCTTTTATCGAACACAATGCTTCAATTTTCAACCCCCCAACCTGAAGAACAGTCCAAACATCATCACCGACTTGTATGAACTTGAAGTCAAAAGGCACTTGGTTTTCAGAAGAAGGTGATTCAGTCGTAGAAGACTCACTGGGACTTCCAACCTTCTCATTCTCCATGACTGTGGGCCCAGCTGCTGTTGACAGGTCAGGGTCGGGGGCAAAGGAAAGAACTTGCGCATAGTCCTTCATCAAACCCTGAAGAATGGTGTTCATTTCCGAAACTCTCTCCTGGATGATGATGCTTTCCGGTCCATGAGACCGAGCCATGTCAATGGTCCTGGCCCACTGAGCAGCAATGGCCATTCTGATGTTAGCCACTTTCTCACCCCCCCGTTCATCATCAACACCATCTAACGACAGGGGAAGCTCTTCACAAAGTCGTTGTAGACCACCACCCCACTCCTGCATTTTGAACTGTTGGAAAGGCTGTTTAAAAATCGTTGAACCCATTCCCTTCACTGACTCCGATAGACATTGTCGAGTGATGGATATATACATGTATGTGTGAAAAGGATTGTTTCGCACAATTGAGGACGTTTGAAAAACATTGAAAATGTTTATTCTTTTATATGTTCGAACATCCCTCATTTTGAGAAAAAAGTATACTGTGCAATATATTGTTGGATGCATTTAAGAATGCGTGATTGAAACAATTGGTCAGGTAGACGATGGTAGAAGATGTTGAAAACATTGTTTCATGCTATGGACAGCTGCTTTGACAACATTGAATCTCCTTGAGGTCCTGTGGTACAAGAGAGTAGTCGGTCAAAATGACCGGGTCAGCCATGGCAGGGTCGCTGGACAATGCCAAATCAACGTTGAAACCAGACGATGTTCACTTGAACGTGTGAAAACAATAAACAGATGTTTGGAATCAGCATCAACAGACAACATCTGTACTGACAGAAGTGTTTACCTGTGTTGTGTCGTTGTTTAAAGCCATGATACTCACCCCTCCTGGCTGCAGTGAAAATTTCACCATCTCCAGAGTTCCCGCTAGTACTGCGCATGCAGCACAATGTTGAAGTTTTACTTGGTGTAACATCCCGCAGTAGTGCCAAAAAATCAGCCAGTGTCTATTTTTTCGCATCCTGATGAATTTGTCAGCTACAGCCAGGCATGGTCCGCCCTGGTCAGGCGTCGTAATTTCTAATTTGGCAGCTAAACAAATATGACTCCGAATCTAATTCCCACGGCCACGCGCCTTTCCGAAGATTTCCTGTCGCATCAGCTCCCTTTCAAAGAGTCGCGACGAGTTGAGGCTGCGAAGCACAGGCATCTTAATGGCCAGGTCAGGTCGACCATGGGTAAAAAGGGTCCACATCAAACACTCACCAAGCACAAATTTGGTCCTGTACAAGTTACAAATCTCGTTTGGGTCAAGCAAATCTATCAGTTGACCCGTGTAGTTGAGAATTGTCCATTTGACAACCAGCCCATTCACTTCAACAACCGGTTCCCATTCATGCACGGAGGAAGCACGAATGTAACTATAGGTGTGGTCGCCACCATAGTACTCCTTTTTGAACTTCAACGCCAAGGGTCGGCAGGTCATGAGGCAACAGACCGGCTAAGGGAATTGACAGGAAATGGTGATGGCCTTTAGATGGAATTGACCCCTGCTTCGAACCAAAAGAATCTGGGAACACAAAGTCACCCCTGAACCAAAAAGAATCTGGGAACACAATTTCAATCTGGGAACACAATCCTGACAGAATAGAGTACGATGAAGGCCCTGGTATGCGCAGATTTCCTGGAATGCGAAGATGATGCAGTATGCGTGGCCCCCTGGACCCTCCTTGGTGGATCCAACACCAGTTTTTTTCCATCATATACCAGAAAATTATCAGAATTCACCATGCGGAGCTTTTTAGCTTTTTTTTTTGCCAAAATTGCCTGGAATGCGATAGTATGTGCAACTACAGACGTCTCACAAAAAACTGCTACCTTACCCATATTCCAGAAAACGTGATTCCAGGCGATTTTAGCCCCCCCAAAAAAAAAACGAAAAAATAAAAAAAAAAACGCAAAAAACGAAAAATTACCGAGTACGAAGATTTTATGGAGTGCGAAGATCTTGCAGAGTGCGCGGATTTTATAGTATGTGCACGTCCCTAGCTGTGGAGTGCGATGTCCCATGTGGAGTGCGAAGAAATTATGGAATGCGAAGAATTCTGAATATGCGTGCCTGGTTCAGGGATACTACTACTACTACTACTACTATTACTACTACTACTAGTACTAGTACTAGTACTAGTACTAGTAATACTACTAGTACTACTACTGCTACTACTACTACTACTACTCCTACTCCTACTCCTACTCCTACTACTACTAATACTATTACTACTACTACTACTACCGCTACTACTACTGCTGCCACTACTACTACTACTACCACTACTACCACTACTACTACTACTACTACTACTAGTACTACTAGTACTACTACTAATACTACTCGTACGTACTACTATTACTACTACTTGCGAAGAGTTCCAAGTATGCGTATTATGGAGCGCGAAGAATTCCAAAGACCACCACAAATTTCGGAGACCCAAATCCAAAATTCCAATCCCAAAGGCACACCAGTGGCTTCTATTTTTTCCCAACTTCACCCACCGTCATCCGAACTTGCATTTCGGAAGAGTCGCATCCAAGGATTCCCTGTGGTCACACACTGGAATCAAACAATTTGGAGAACTTGAAAAATTCCAAACCGTACAACTGGTAATTTGTTTACTCACCATCAGATGATCCTGGCATTTTTCCCAAGCGCTTAACCACTGGAATTCCACATTCGTCTCCGGACGCATCTGCTTTTGCGTCCCCACCTTTGCTGGTGGCCTCGGTACCTTTGGGGGTTGCATCACTAGTCTTGGTGGCTGCTTCAGCCTCATCGAACCTAGGGCCCAAGTTCTTCGGAACAGGTGTCACCGGTGCACCTGCCTCAGGTTCTTTCTTCAGGCGCTCTTGCAGCACGTCCTGAAATGGGATGGGATACCAAATGCCTTTGATCATATCGGGTTAGTGAGGATAGGATTATTTGAGGTGTGACAGTCTGTATGTCAGATTCTATATATTCAAACTCATGGAAGACTAAGGAGTTCCAACACCAAATGCCTAGTGAATTGTTTGTTCATACAGGACATTCTCTTTTGAATACTGGGCCCATAAACTAGACACTAACACGAACATTTTGATCTTCATTGGGGGGGTTAGGCAATTATATAATGGGGGTTCCAGACCCATTTCATGATACTGGTGTTCGTGACCATTTTTTTGTGGGGAAAAATGCCAACCATGTCATGAAAAGGGTTTGGAACCTCCCATTCAAGTCAATTTCTCTGACCGTTAATATGAGATGATGGAAACTAACATGTTCCACTGCGTTTTGAATTGTACCATAATGTTGGAAACGGTTTGTGACTTACTGGGATCCGAAAACTTCACTGAAGTGGCATACATATGGGAGACTATCTTTCAATTTTTTGTTGGTCAAGTCTAGAAGATATCACAGATATGAAGCCCCAAGAATACATTGGATCCGGCCCCACGGAGTGTCATGGACATGGGATGAAAAGAAAATGCTCCACTACTGCATCTAGACTGGCTTTCCCCACCCTTTTTCTCCGAACCGTGGCTTGTGCTGCTGGACAACCACGCTCATGCTCTTGTCCCCTGCGATTGGCATCCGCAAACAGTTACCCCAACAAGTCAAGGATTACTTAAGTCTTAATAGTAAATGTATTTCCAAATGGTGGGGGTCACTGACTGCAAGTTGAAACTTTCAAGGCAAAGCCTGTGTCTAAAACACAGCGGTGCCCGGCTAGCAATTTTGAATTGGCATCCATGACGATGCGCCAAAATATCCAGAGATTTTTTCACTGGGGATCACATCCGGGCAAGATCAATGTTTTTTCTGAGTCTGCCTCGGACACTGCATCATCATCGTTATCAAAAGTTGGGGGGTTCATGGAAACAACTTTCTCTTGGTTATGTTCTTGAACCGCTTCCGCCACAGCTTCACAGATTTCCTCCATGGTGAATGAAGGACCACCCTGACTGGAGCTGTAAATCATTGAGTTGACAAGGCTGTTGATGTAACCCTCAAGGGCTGGGTCGTAGTTGGGATCTTGAGAGTCATGCGGGTACACGAAGCGGTAAATGGTATAAGACCATGGCTCCGATGCCACCGGTACGAGTCTCATGCTGTTCTCAACTATGATTTCCCTATTTCCAGTATCCACCGAAGGCCCTTGGGTTGCACCACAACCACCTGGAACCACACCACTAATAGTAGACCCGCCGCTGGACTGCGTGGACGACCTCAACGAAGACCATGCCGCACTGGAGCTTGGATTCATTTTGGGTGATCTGCTTCTGGGGCGGTCAACTGTTGACTGGGCCCGTGAAAACTTAGGAGCCATGACTCAATGAGATGGGATCACACAAATCCAGGCTTCAGGTCAGGGCTTGAACCACATAAGAGGCTACATGTAAACTGCAACTACGTCCGCACGGTCAGGTGTCTGAAATAGTCTGGAGTGGTGCCCTTTCTTCAAAACTTATTTTCCTAAGATCACGGAAGGTGAAAACAAACTCAAACCCAAATAGTCGTACGTTTGAGTGATACTTTAAATCAAACCAAGGTATAGTTGTTTCATCCATCTTACATTCGCGGTCTAAACAAAACAAAGAATAGTCAGTTGTACTTGAAAATTTACCTTCGGGGTTTTATTCTTTCCCATTCATACAACAGCCAGGCCGCCCACCGGAAACCCAATGGGGGTCCAGCTTGGACTTCAAGTGTTCCATCAGCTTTTTGCACTGACGCTTCCCAATAAAGGACATCTTCCCCAGGTAGCGCTTGCCATCATCACCACAGGAGCAGGGATCACCATCCCAGCCACTGCTCAGGCCCTCCAGAAACTGGCCAACGCTTTCCTAAAACAGAGAGAGAGAGAGAGAGGCGTCACTAATAATGTTCTTCTGGGGGTTGAGGTCAAAAACATTGAACATGACAGTGCGTGGGTTGTTTGGATGCAATGACAGGGAAAAACAATGTCAAATAAGCTCAGGTCAAACCCTTCGTTGGTCATAGCTTGAACCATGTAGCCCTGATCCTTTGCACCCATGTTAATCTCTTTGATTTCTGGGGCCAGAAAGCTGAGCAGTCGCTTGGAAGTAGACGAACGTTGCACAGCCGCAGAAGCAAAGCGGCCAACCCTCAAATCATCATCAACTTGTTGCTCCTCATCACTCAAAGGAGTCACCTGGCGGACCCCACGACCACGACCTCGGCGGGGTCTGCGCTCCTGCGTGGACAGATTGCACACCAGGGAATCCCACCAACAAAGGTTTACAGATGGTTTGTAGGTACAAACAGATCAGAGCTGCGGATGCAT